GGCCCTGCAATTGTTTATTTCAACTCGAAACTTGAGTGTGAATTATATTAATATTATGTACCTTTGTTACTTCCGGGTATTAGGATAGATTGTGAGAGAGTCAGTGTGGTTTAGATGTTGATTTGAGGGTTGAAGATGTTGGCAAGATGAAGGTTTTTGTCAGGGAGGTGATGCTGATGATGATGAGGCAAGGATGATAAGGATGAGGAGGTTTACCTTTATTTTTGTGATTCTTTTATCATCCATTTTCAATGTGTGTGTTTCCGCTTCCAAGTTTCCGGATTAATCTAATGATACAAGTGATGATGATAATATTAATGATGAAGTGAATTCATGATGATAATGATAATATTGATGGTTGGGTGGGTGAAGGGAAGGGATTGTGTGTGGATTCCTTATATTCACAGTTAGAGTTTTGAAAGGATTTCGAATTTTTTTTTATCTTCATTTTCTCCTATTAAAATTTCATCTAACAATGAGAAGAAGATGATGATGATAATGATTATGATGAAAGAGAATTTGAAAAATTTCATCTTCTTCCGGATTTGTTGTTCTTCCTTTTCATGATAAAGTTATCTAGTGAGCATTTATATATCATAATAATCATCCTCATCCTCATCTTTATCATCAATCGATTCAAATTGTGATGATATTGATTTTTATCAATATCATGGAAGATGATTAAAGGTGCTCATCATCATCATCGTAATTCAATGTTATCTTTCATTAATGAAAATCTCCAAATGAGATGAAATTGATGAAGAAGATTATTATTATTATTATTAACCATCATGATGGTAGAAGATGAAATTTTCAATAGTAAATGATGATTAGGTAAAAGTTAACATGATGATTTTCATGTAAGTAGGAAGATGAATAAAATTAATGATGATAAAAAGATGATGATTATCATTTTACTTGATGATCATCTTAAGTAATCAGAAGCAATTTAGATTTAAATATTTAATGTGAATGGTCAAGACACTTTTGTAATGATGAGCATGAGGTAAACATTAGGATAACATTTTACTATCATGATTATTATCATTATCATGTTAAGATTAACTTTGATTTGATTTTAATGTTATCACGTAGCATCATCATCAACCAAGAGTAACAGTTAAATATTTAATCAAGACAATCAACCATAATAATAAATGAACAGATAAAAGTAAGAGGAAAAAACAACAACAACAATTAAGAAAAGCAAAAATGATCGAGAAAGTAATTTAGTTAATGGTTGAAAATGCGAAATTGAAAATTTGTTGTTTCTTATTTTTAATTCACTTTCTTTGGAGTAAATTGTGATGATGATGATTTAGTTTTCTGAGTGTTTGGTGTATGCAGAATCTATTGAATTAACTGATGAAGATGATGGTAAAGTGGGTGAATGGATGATGATGAAGATGATAAGAAAGACAAAGGAAAGAGATGAGAGTAAACAAAAAAAAAAGAGAGAGAGAGAGAGAAAAGAAAAAAATTATTAAAAGTTAGATATCAGAGGAATAGCTTGAAGCGTGACTTGGTGAAGATGAGGATGAGGATGAGGATGAGGATGAGGATGGTGTAGATGGGATGGAGGAGGAAGATGAAGATGATAAAGTTGTTAGAGTTTAGGTTAAGGTTTGGACTGGAAGATGGAGACCGATTGAAAGGACATTTAGATGATGATGATGAGAATAAAGATGAAGAAATAAAATCGATGAAAATGTTTTTTTTTCCTTTCTTTTTTCTCTTGTCGTCCTTTTTATCTTCCTCTTTCAATCTAATTCATGTTCGAATTCAGATTCTGGATAGTGTATCATGCTCTGTTTACTTTGATTCTTTCATTCAGATTGATTTGATTGAACATTTATCAGTTCTAACTGATTGTTATCCTCGGAAAAACCGCAAAATCCTTGAGACTGTAGCATCTTTTTATCATCTTCTTAATCATTATCATCTCAGTTAATCAGTAATCATCTTTACACTGATTAATCAATGAATAACCTTGATGAAATTTTCAGATTCACGATTTAATAATAAGTATAAATTGTGATAACAATGAATTTGGGTTTAATTTAATTTCTTTATCTCTTTCCTCTTTCTTACTCTTGATTCTTTGATTATGAACATGATGATGATTATAATGATAAAGATGAAGATGAAAGTGATTTTTATATAATATTCATCTTCTTTCATTCTGATGATGCTGATGAAGATGAAGAAGAAGAAGAAAAGTTTATCATCATCGTTGCTTTTTATCAACAATTGTTACATCAACATAATCTTCATCATCTTCTTGTTCATCATTTTTCTTTGTACTTTTTTTGTTGTTGTCCCTCATCATCATCATCATCTTCTTCATCATCATTGGTGATGAACACGCTTGTGTGAAGGGAAGAAGATGAAAAGAGGAAGATAAATATATAGTAATAATAACAGTAGTGGGTGAGAGATGAGATGAAGGAGGAGGAGGTGGAAGGAGGAGAAAAGTTTGTCGAGCTGAAAACTAGCTCAAGGGAAAAAAGGAAAAGGAAGTTAAATGAAGGAGTAATACAGAAGAAGAAGAAGAAAAAGAAGATGATGATGATGATGATGCAGTAAAAGATGAGGAAGAAAAAGGAAAAGAGAGATGAGAAAGAGAATTTTTTTCTATAAGATTAAATAAATGAGAAGGGGAGAGATAGAAGATGATGGGAATTGATGCCGGTTTTTGGTTAGAATGAAAGAGGAACAGCCAAAGAGAGAGAGAGAGAGAGAGAGAGAGAGATGAGGATGATGTGAAATAAAGATGAGAAAGGAAAAGAGAGTAATGAAGATGATTTAGAAAGGGAAAAATCGATAGAGAAAAAATTTATAACAAAGAAGCATCTTTCGAGTCGTCTCCATGATATTTTATCACTCCCTTCATCATCTTCATCCTCATCTTTATCATACTCATACTTACACACACATACTCTCTCTCTCTCTCTTCTTTATCATCCTCTTCCTTTTTGGAGACTTTCATCTGATGCTTCTGTTTGAAATACTTCAGATAACTTTAGTCTCTCGGCTTGTAAGCATCAATTTACAATTTCCAACAAAACTACTTACACTTTCCTTCAGCATCCTCATCACTTTTTCAGTTTATATCTTTTTTCACTCCCACTGATACACAGAAATCAAAAACCATCATGAATGTTACTCCTTTCATTTTGTTTTGTTTTCCGCTCTCTCACCGAGATCCTCTTTCTTTTCTCTCTCTCTTTTTCTTATTCAATTTTCTTCGTAATCATCACAATTTATCCGAATGTTTTATCTCTTGGAATCATCGAAATTAAAAGATTTTATCAAGAGAAAATTGTTATTCTCCCTCATACCCCTCTCTCTCTCATTCTCATTCTCTCTCTCTCTTTCTCTCTCTGTCACTCTCTTGTCATTGGATTTGATGAGAGGAAATCAAGGAGCTACTTAAATGAGAAATTATGATTTTTTACGAAAAATTTTCATCATTTTTTCTCTCTCATCTTAATAATCCTAATCATCGTCATCGATATTTAAATGATAATAATCATCATCAAGGGTATGATATTTTTTTATTTTCTCCATATTCTGATTCCACTTTATCCAAAATCCTCTTTCATTTTTCTTGTTTCTCTTTCTTTCTCCTCTCTGTCTCATTTCTCTTTCTTTTTAGCATCAATCTCTTCCCCTCTTTCTAATACTACAACTTGCTCCATCCTCATCTTCATCACTTTTCATCCTCATCACTTTCCTATAAAAATCCTTCTTTCTCTCTTCCCTCCCTTCAAATTCACTTGCTCTTTCTCTTTCTCTCTCTCTCTCTCTCTTTGTCTCCCACTTTTTTCTCTCGTATTTCCAACATTTTCTTCATCAGCATCACCTTCATCTTCATCCTTCCGCCATTTTCCTTTATTCTTGCCAATATACTAACCATTTCTACTCGAACCATTTTGCTTGTTTTAACTCCTTCCCTACTATTTCACTCCAACAATTTAATTCACTAATCAACACCTTAAAGAAAATTATTTCCCTTTAATCCCTATGCAACATTAGAGTTTAAAAGACTAAATTCAAATTGGATCATCAAACACAATCCAAAATCCTTTATCCGGCTAATCTTTTAATCCAAACGATCAGGAAATCGAAAATTCCAATTCTAAATCCAATCCTTTATTCGAGTAAAACTTTTCTCGATCTAATTCATTCATCATCTCTCTCTCTCTCAGTTTCTAAATCATTAAGTGATCATCTTCATCTTTAACTAATTATAATTTGTGATTGTAATTAACTATCGACAATTAATGAACCAACTTTTTTGTTCGGTTCGAATTCAATTTGCTCGATTTTCGTTTCAGTGAATTTTTTCTCTCTCTCTCTACGAAATCTAATCACATCATCTATTCAATGTTTTCTCTCTCGTAAATTGATTGAATTAATTAGTGAATTTTGTTGAGTTCAATTGTTGATTCGCTAATTGTGGCAATTAATCATTTCTCAAACAATTTTCCAATGTTCCTTCATCTCCTTATCATTTCCGCTGTCCAGACAGATTATTGTTTAAATGACCTGGACGGAGAACTGATAAGGGCAAGTGGGGACAATTAACAGCAATTAATTCAATACAATTTCGATAATCAACTAATTACAAGAAAAACCAGCTAATTACCAAGCGTAATAAGTTATTTCCTTTTGGACCGAATCGAAAATGTTTCTCTCTTTCTCTCTGTAAAATCAACTCCAATTATCATCGAATAACAAAAAAAAAGCTAACCAACTAATTAATTAATCGAAAATAAATAATAACAATTAAAAAACAACCACAAATGAAAATCCATCATTTCTAATTCTTAATTTAGCTTATCAATTAGAAATAGAATTAACTTTCTACCAAAGAACAATCAAAATCGATTGTTAGGTTTTCTTTTTATCCAACGATGGAAAAAAAGGTAAATTAATTGATTACTTTTCTTTCCAATTTCAGATTATACAAGAAAAAGAAAATGTTTCAAGGCAAATTGTAAAAGAAAATCAAGTTAATTGTTGATTTATTGTCTTTGGAATCAAATTATTGTACAGATTACAGGTTGAGTTCTATGATCATAGATGGCGTTGTTTTCGATTGATGAGTGACATCTACCGGTTGGAATAAGAGTATTTGGTTAATTGTGATTTTGAACGAAAATTAAATTTGATTAGGAAAACATTTTCTTTATCTAAAATTTTTCCTACTAATTAATGGATGTTTTTTAGACTTTAATTTTAGAATTTTTGTATCCAAATCTCTACGACGTACCATAAGACTGCGAAGCTGCTCTTTGAACAATTTAAGATTAACATTGGCATTGTTTTTTTCTTCAATGGCAGTTTGCAAGAGATCATTTTCTTTGGAAGCTTCTTCTTGGATTTGTTGTTCATCAGTTTTATCTATAGCAATTAAGAATTTAGAATAAATTGTTCGAATATCAGGTTTACGAGAAGGTTCCCCACAAATTGGACATCGTTGACCACTACCACCACCGTTGGACTTTTCTTCATCATCATCATCATTTTTTTCAATCTTCTTCTTCTTCATCAGGTCAAAAAGTGAACGGATACAATTTTCCCCGAAAAAATGTCCACACTTTAATGAGGCAATACGATGTTCAGTATCCAAATTAAATGGTTCCATACAAAGTGAACATAATCTAACACCGAGACTTGAATCATTAAACTTTTCCCAAAGAAACTGCTCATAAAGATAGGAACATGTTTGAACAGCCATATCGACCTTTAATAAATCACCAGCAACACTTTCATCATCCACATCAACATCTACACATTCAATATCCATCATTTTACCACAATAAGATTAAAAACAAGCTCACAATTAAAACCAAAACAATTAACCAAATGTAAGTTAAAACAAAAACAAATTCAAATTGAAACCAAAACAAAAACTCAACGAAAACAAAAAATATCGATACTTATTGATCAAGATACTTTTGGAATTGGATATTTTCTCAGCTTATTTAAGCCAAATTACGATACTAAATATCGATATCGAATATCAACTAATTAGTGTTTAGGTCTACCACTAGAGGGAACCAGTGATATGTTTACGTTGATCTTATGATCAAATTTGATGAATTTTGTTTGATTTAATTGTTTGATTGTAATTTGTTTCTATTATTTAATTGTAAATAATTAATATCTCAATTAACTGATCAACTTTACCTAATCACCTGTTGTATGGTTTTCATCTGAATTTCTATTGCCTGGACTGAGACATTGTTATTGATAAAATTTGACTTGAAGCTTTTTGGTTACATGAAAATGACAAAAGTAAAAGACACTTGAATTAAATGACATTTATAATTGTTGTCGTTTAATAATTTGAATTGTTTTTTTTTCTTGTTTACTTTGAATTTCCCCTAATTGCCAATGGCTGAATTAACACAATCAGGTGTTGGTCAATTAAATTCAATACCTTTACTTTTAACTAGTAAAGTTTGTGATACTCAATTTACTCAAGCAATTTCATTGATTGCCAATTATCATCCTCCCAACGATGCCAATAAAAATGATAACAATAATAATAACATGAATGACAATCAACAGGCCCAACAATTAAATTTACCAGCAACAATTTCAGGATTTACTACCACTACTACTTTAACTGGAGACAATCAATACCAATTAACTTACGATGGACAAGAAAATTATTTCCTCACAATTAAACAGTCAACATTTTCATTGCCATTAGTAACCCAAGTCATTGATTGTGAGAATCCGTTTCCGGCTGTTCAACAATTCCTACTATATCCTAGTTCATTAACAGTTAATCAACATCCAAACCAACCTCTGGCCCCTGTTACCCAACAATTGATTAAAAAACAAACCAATTCATTGCCTACCGGATCACCAACCAATTCAAAATTATCTAAAAGGTTAGTTGGTTAACCAAATTTTTCAAATGCTAATGGAAAGAGCAAAGTGTTGATTATGAAATTGCTTCTGAGTAAATCCATTAAAATTAACGAGAGATGATTTAAAAAGAAAAGAATGAGACTCATTTTTTAGCTCTCTCTCTCTCTTTTGTCTCTCTCAATCGTTAATTCTTTTAAAAGTTTCTTAACTAATTTTCTTCCTCTTTTTTTCTCATCCTCTCCCATCTTACTACAGGACATCATCTTTGCCAGATTTTTCATCGTTGTTAAATTTAACGACAGAACCAGAAGTGAAACCGAATCTTATTCAATCACAGTCTACGAAAAAATGTCAACAATCAGCGCAAAATCATCATCAACGGAATCAGAATAATAATCAGACTATCCTGAAATCTAACGAAACAGCGCAAAATCGTATCTCTCATTACCACCATTCCCATCAAATTGAGTATCACAATCCAATTGAACAACATCAACTTCCAGTTATCATTAATAATCAACAATTAAAACAAAATCAACAAAAAAACCACCTAGATAAACCTAATGTAGAGACATCAAACCACCAACAACAACAACAGCAACAACAAACATCAACAACTAAATTATTACCAACCAGACTAATACTTAATAAAACTTTTCCACAAAGGTGAGTACTACAATTAAGTTAATTCTCACAATCAACACAATAGTTGTGAGAAGTATTTTCTTGTTATAAAACTTTCTCCTTTTCTCATTAGAAAACTAAAAAAAACTAATTCTTCATCATAATCATCTTCTCTATCTTCTCTATTTATCTCCATCTTCCTTTCTCAATCTTTGACGCTCTCTCTCTCGCTCTCTTTCAGGACGATTTCTTTGCCAGATTTTTCATCTCTAATGAACATGAAGACAGATGAATCAGAGACTCATCTAAATTTGACCCACCACCACCAACACCAACACCAACAGCTGAACCTTAACTTTAACCATAATCCAACTATCCAAAAACACCAACAATTGTGTAGTGATGATAAACAATCAATGATGATGACCACGGATGACATGTGTACCAATAACTCAATGGATAAGAATAAGGAATCGTTGAAGGTTAAATTGATGTTACGACGACCAATTCAACAGTTGATTGAACAAGGAATCATACCTCGTAAGTTTTATCTTCATTTTCGTCTTCTCCCTCCCTCCCTCTCTCTCTCTTTCTCTCTCTCTGTATATGTTGTTTATGGTTGATGGAGAGATGATGATGATAGGAATGTAAACGGTGGGTGTAAATGAAAGTTGCTTTCACTTTTAATGATCAACAACTTGAATAGTAAAAAGAGGTTATCTTAAGGATTGAGTGCACATCATCCTAACATCATGATCCTCATCTTCATCTTCATCTTCATCATTTTCTCCTTTCTCTCCCTTCGTCTCTCACCATTTTCCCTTCTCCAACTAACATACTAACTATTTATCTCTATCCTCTCTCCTTGCCATTTCTCATCTTCACCATCTTCTTCTTCTTCTTCTTCTTCTTCTACTCTTTATCATCTTCTTCTCCTTTTCTCTTTCTTTTCCAACTATAGCACCAAAACAATCTCCTGGTATTTACGAACAGAGTAAAAAGTTGGAAAGAGCTCGAACTGAAGATTTCCTTAAGCATAAAATTCAACGTCGCCCTGACCGTCAAGTCTTAATTGAGCAACACATTCTCGAAGATACAACAGTTAGTCCAACGATACACAATAAACAGCGACAATTAAAAAAAGCTCGTCTAACTGATGACCTAAATGACCGTTTATCCCATCGACCTGGTCCATTGGAACTTGTTAAGGGAAACATTTTACTAACTGATGGTAAATTTGCACAAGCCGTTAAAGAGGGACAAATACAGTTTAAGGCCACTTCTGAAGGAGAGCCAATTAAACATCCACCTCCACGATTTATCATTGAAGAGGAAACTAGTTCAGATGATTCAGTTTCACCTCCACTATCAACACAATCAATGGTCAACAATGACTCCAACAAACCACAACAATTGTTGATTGATACCTTTAATAATAGTAATGATTCAGGTCCCTTATCCATTCCGATGACAACACCTTTATCATCATCATCATCATCATCAACGACCAATAATAACAATAACAATACCTTTGAAAGATTAGCAACAATACCAACATCAAATAATTACTTTAATCAACAACAAGGAATCAATTGTATTACTACTACTAATAATAATACCTTAAATTTTGGCCAAGGTATTAACTTAATTCAGCAGAGTAACAACAATAATTTAGATAATCAAACACTAGCTCTTGGTACCTTTAATTGCATTCCATTAGCAACAACAACACCACCAACCACTTCACCAACATTATCAACAGTTTTCCCAACCTTTACCACTGTTACCACAACCAATGTAATCAGTAACAATCAACCTTATCAAACGGAAAATGCTGCCATTACTTTTAATTCACTAACAAAAAGTTCATCTTCGGCCTTTTCTAATACAATTTTATCTTCATCATCTCCACCCTTATCATCATCGTCATCATCATCAACAACACCTACAACAATTAAAGAAACCGGTGGACCGATTTTGACCAAAAATCGTAAAAAATCCAAATCAAAGTCTCAACCTAAGACGAAAACAATTAAATTCCATGAGTATAAGGTAAATATAAATTCTACTTTGTCAATTAATCATCTACAATTAACCCGTTATCTTGATTTTGTTATTTACTAAACCATAATCATTAAACTGAGGGATGATTAGTTTAATTTTTATTTTCGGAGCAACAAATCAACCTTTTAAATCATATGAGGCAGTTATTAGATAGCTTAATTGTTAATTTAATATCCTCAATAATAATATATTGATAATCAATCTAAAATCAAGGTCTTTTAATTACAATTTTGGCTAACAGTTATTGATCAACTGTTTCTCAACTCAATTTAATCCGATATCACACCTGATTAAATGAATAATTTATTTTGTTTCAACTTAGTTTAATTATTTTAATCCAATGAAACTCAGTTGATTAATCAAATCATGAACAATTTCATCTTGTTTATGAAATGATTGCAACAATTGAAACCTTTTAACTAAAAGTTATCAAAATAATTTGATGTAATCGTTAATTGTTATTTTTTTTCATTACACAAACTTTGATTAATCAAAACTTACCAATTAACTAATCTATAATAGTTGTATTGAATAAAATGAAAACACACTATCAGAATTAATTGATTGCTCATAAAATTAATCTCATTGATTGAAAATGTTGAAAGTTAACAGGATAAAATTGATTAATCTTACATCATTTTCAATTAATTTGATTTCTATCAATTAACTATCAATTAGCTAGACAATAATCTCACATTTACATTAATTAATAAGCAATTAAATGAACCGGAAGGAAGGGAAATGACTTCCTTTAAATTGAAAATGTTAACAAACAATCAATTGATTAACCAATGGTACAGAAAATTAAGGAAACAATTGTTTATATTACTATTATTTAACTTATTGGCAATTCATCTAATCCTCTAATCATCCTCTCTCTCTCTTCATCTTCATCATCTCCATCATCATCATCTATTTTAAGGGTCCACCGAGCGCTCAAAAAAATCAATCATCAACTAATTGTAATACCGAATCATCATACGAATTGTTACTTAAACAGCAACAATTATTTCTCCAGTGGCAATTAGAATGGCAAAATAAATATCCACCGATCATCTTACCCTCAACTGCTCAGGTAAATTTATCCAAAAATATTACACAATTAACCTACTATTTAACTTGATCATCATGTTCATGGTTTCAATTACCATCATCATCATCATAATCCTTGTTGTTGTTTTTGTTGATTTTTTTTTCATAAGTAGTAACTTTATCAGGATATTCATGATAATATTAATAGAATTGAGGTTCTCCCTATTCCTCTGGATGATTCTTACAACTCATCATCATTTTCACCCTCTTCATCCTCCTCTCTTCTTCCTTCTTCATCATTGATCTATTTTTACTATTACTCTGTGTTCCTGTTTTCTTGACTCATCCATAGACAAGTAAACTAATAGTCACATAATAATAGATGATGATAACACAATAACAACAACAACAACAACCATGATAATAATAACGATGATGATAATAATTGTATACAAATGAAAAGACAATTATTTTAAGATGAAAATGTATTATGTTGATTTAGGAAAAGTAGATTAGTATTAATCATTTCCGTATTTTTTAATACTCCAACTTTGTAAAAACAATAACATTCTGTTTAACTTACAGAAAAATAACATGGACCAAGTCTCAATTTCTGGTAATGGTACTTCCGCTTCCTCTTCATCCTCATCCTGTTCAACAAGTAATTCTTATAAAAACAATGGTAACTCCATTGTCAACTCTTCCGTTTCCACTACTAATTCAACCTCTAATAATAATAATGTAAATACATTGGTTGGTTCATCTACAAGTAGTAATAATATTCAAGAAAATACTAATAACAATAACAATAATAATATTGTTACTTTTGGTAATTCAAATGGTTTTACTGCTAATCAATCTGGTAATAGTAATAATAATAACACCAATCCTGTTAATTGTGGTAATAATAATGCTAATCCAATCACATCCATAATGATTACTACCTCAACTCGTCCAACAACCGGTGTTGAAATAAATGGCTCCCATAATAATAACAATAATAATAATTCAAATAATCAGATTATCTCAAATCAACATCATCAACATGTTAATTCATTTGTTGTCTGTGGCATCAATTCTGGGTCCAAGAATAATAATAATAATAATAATCTCAATGTGAACAGTTTCACTGATAATGGAATTGGAAATCATGCTAATAACAATAATAATACCAATGGTAATTGTTTAACTGGAACTACAAAGATTATCTTAAAACTGGAAGATATGAAAGTTTCCGATTTAAAAAGTGAATTAAAGAAACGTAATCTACCTGTATCTGGATCTAAACCTCAACTAATTGAGCGACTTAAACCTTTCCTGGAACCACCAATGGCCAATAATGGATTTAAATCAACTAATCAGACAAATGATGATAATAATAATAACAATAAGAATGGTTATCTTGATGATCCCATGTCACCAAATAATAATGGGATGGTCATTGATGAACCAGATAAATTTAAGGTTACAGTTAAAAGTTCACCAACAGTTACACCCATGGAGTTGGATCCAATTGTTTACACTAATATACAAGTTTCTGATTTTCAAAATAAGCCAACGAACAGACAATCCCAACAACAACAACAACAACAACAACAACAACAACAACAACAACAACAGCAACAACCCCAAGGCAATCAACCATCATTTCAATTACAATTTCAAAATCCATCTCTTTTCACAAATTCAAATGGATCAGTAACAATACCTTTAGCTTTGGCTAATCAATTGCAAATTGTAACAACTCCATCTAATCCATCAACAACCTCTACTACAACTACTTACAATAATCGAGAAAAATTAACTTACACAACCAACAACAATCAAGGAAACAATTTATCGGCTATTATATCTCCAGGGAATGCTTCGGCCACTGTTAAAGCCAATTTAGCTGCTTTCTTACATCAACATGCTCAACAACAGCAGAAAACACTTCATTTACAATTACAACCTCAATCCCAACAACAGCAACAACAATCTAATCAATTACAAGGAACAATTGGTTCATCATCTGTTTGTTTAACTAATCAACTTCCAATGGGTGAACTATCCCGATCAGAGACACAGCAGCAATTTAGTTCAACGCCTTTACTTTTAACTAGTAAAGTTTGTGAGACTCAATATAATCAACAAAATGACCATCATCTTGATAATAGTAATAAAAATGGAAACTCAAGTAACAATCAGCAAATTCAGCAGCAACAATTTGAATCACAGCCAACAACAGGAATTACTAATTTCACTGGAGACAATCATTTCCAAGTTACTTCCGATGGGCCAAATAAATATCATCTCGCTATTAAACAGTCAACATTTTCATTACCATTATTAACCCAAGTCATTGATTCCAAAAATCCTTTTCCCACTTTTCATCAATTCTTGTTATATCCTAGTTCACCATCAGTTAATCAACAACAGAATCAACAGAATCAACAGCAACAATCACAACAGAAACAGCCTGTGATTCCTAATTTATGTCGATTGAAACAAACACGAACCAATTCATTGCCTACTGATTCACCAACCAATTCAATTTCTCAAAGGTTAGTTGAGCAAATTGACGAATCATTTAAATATCTTGATTCTTAAAGTTTCTCAACTAATTTTCTTTTTTTTTCCTCCACAGGACATCATCATTGCCAGATTTTTCATCGTTGTTAAATATAACGACAGAACCAGAAGTTAAACCGATTCAATCACAGTCTACGAAAAAATGTCAACAATCAGCGCAAAATCATCATCAGAATCAGTCTCATCTTCTTCATTCTCACCAGAATATGAATCAAAATCAGAATCAAACTTCAAACCAGAATCAGAATAATATGAATTCAAATGCAAATCAGAATCAGAATCAGAATCAATCTTTCCTTAAATCTGAAGAAACAGCGCAAAATCATTACCATCAGTTTCACAATTCAATCGAGCAACAATTAAATATTAACAATCTACAGCAACAACAATTAGTCCAGAAACAAAAACAGCAAATAGATTCACCCAATTTAGATACATTAAGTTCACAACTATTACAGCAACAAGAACAACAATTATCCCCACGATCAAATAATTCACTAAATTGTGAATTATCTCTTACCGAAAGTGTTTCTCAAAGGTAAATTTTTCTAAACTTTTTTAATTGTTTATTTTGTTGTTTGTTGATTAAGAAAGTTTTCCAAAAAATTTCATTCCTTCTTCTTTCTCTTTCCCTTTCTCTCTGCCAGGACAATATCTTTGCCAGATTTTTCCTCATCCTCATCACCATCATCACCATCAACAATAACATCATCCACATCATCATCAACAGCAACAACCACAACCACAACAACAACATTATCATCATCAACAACAACAACAGGAACCTCGATATCAACAGTTACTCCACAAGTAACAACAATATCAACTTCATCTTTTGTCTCAGCTTATCCAACTATTTCATCAGAGGAAATATCATTCTCATCATCATCATCAACATCCAAGGCAACACCAGTTATAGTTGATTCATCAAATGATTTAGATGAAAAAATGGATGGAATTGATTTACTTTTTAATGATCTCCTAGATTTTCAAGGATCTCCCATGAATGTTGATTATGGTCATTGGTTGACAGAAATTATTTCTGACAATAATCCATTTAAATTATCATCCACATCTTCATCATCCACATTACCTTTCACCTCCAATATAACTGCTACATCCATGGATCATGATCCAGTTCTGGCAAACAATTTAGCTGAATCTTGTCATTATGGTGATCCTTTGCTCGATTTATATTTTGATACTGAAAATTTAACTGACCAATCATTGGCTTGAGCTTTTTTCCTCTTCTAAAATAAAAGGGAAGAAAACATTTCACACTCTTGATTTAAATCCACAGAATTGCAATCAAAATTAAATTTAAATTGTTACACAATTGGAAATACGAATTAAAAATAAAAAGACTTTTAAAAACTATTCAATTCTATTAACCTTGAAAATTAACATTCATATTACCAACTATAAAGATAATTAACTTTTTCTACCATAACTAATCATAAATATTCCTTAATTGTAACTTTATTAATTATTTTAATTTCACATTAATGGTTAGCGGGTTTAGAAAGCGGATTAATTTTCGCATTACCCGAACTTCGCTTTTTAACCGAACCGGTTTTTCATTTTCGGCTTCATGTTTTTCCAAATTGATTTAATTTTGTTTTTCTATCAAAATGTTTGATTGTTTGCTAATTAATTGTTAATTATTTTAACAAATATCGACCAACTAACAAAAGCTCTTTCGAAATGGTAAGCATTTAATTACATTGATTCTTTTTATTATGATTTGTTTTGGGAAAATCTGTCAATCTTTGGTTGGCTTATATTTGTTATCCTTTAACACTAGACCTTTGAGCCGGGCTTTTTTTAATTTAATTGCTTGTTAATCCATTAATTGATTTATTGTCTTTTCCATTTATTTAGGTGGTCGTACTGATGGTTGCCGAGAAACCTTCTCTGGCCGAATCGCTTGCTAAAATTTTGTCCAATGGACGATATAAAAGTCGTAAGGGAACCAATGGAGCTTGTTCGGTCCATGAATATCGTGGACCTTTTCTTGGCTATAATGATGCTTTCTTTAAATTTACTTCGGTTTGTGGTCATGTCATGTCTGTCGATTTTCCCGGTAAATATAACAATTGGGATAAGGTTGAACCTGTTGAGCTGTTCGATGCTCCAATAATAAAAAAAGAAGCTAATCCACAGCTTAACATGCCAAAGTTTCTTGCAAACGAGGTTGGTTGTTTTAACCATATTTTGTCCTGTTCATGGATTAAGCTTTCCAATTTTAATTTTCATCTTTAAAAATTTTTTCCAATCAATTTAAAGGCACGAAATGCTACTCATCTGGTTCTTTGGTTGGATTGTGACAAAGAAGGAGAAAATATTTGTTTTGAGGTTATTCAATCTGTCGAAACAGTAATGAGAATCTCATTCGATTCGCCTCAGGTAAATAAAGTTTTCTAATTAATCATCAAACAATAAGATTACAATAATAACAGTAACATGATGATGATCATCATCATCATCAACAACAACAACATGCTGTTTCAACTGTTGTGTAAATTTAATCATCTGCTATTTATTATATTTATTTATATTCCTACTCTTGAATTTTGTTTCTAATCTCAATTTTTCGCCTACGATTTTTCAATTTCAGAATGTTTTTCGAGCCAAGTTCAGTGCTATCACTGATAAAGATATAAAACATGCAATGAGGAATTTAACTTATCCTAATCACCTGGAATCAATATCAGTTGATGCTCGACAAGAGCTTGATTTGAGAATTGGCTGCGCTTTTACCCGTTTTCAGACTCATTTTTTCCATGTACGTTTCAATTTATCCCAATTTTCATCATCACTTATCAATTTCTAATCTTTTATCTATTATTTCAACTGATTATTTTGATTGATTTTCGTTTACAGGGAAAATATGGTAACTTAGACAGTGCATTGATCTCTTTTGGACCTTGTCAAACACCAACACTTGGATTCTGTGTTGATAGACATGATAAAATTCAATCCTTTCAACCTGAACCTTATTGGGTTTTAATGGTTAACGTTGGTATTCCCGGTGGTCCAAATCTGCAACTTGATTGGGATAAAGGAAGGGAATTCAATCAGAATACAGCCAAATCGATTATGAATAAAGTTAAATCATCTAAGAAAGCAGTTATCACTCATATAACCAAAAAGGATAAAGTTAAAGCTCGTGTTGGTGCATTGAATACAGTTGAAATGCTACGAGTGGCCAGTTCAGGATTAGCAATTGGCCCTCATCAAGCAATGTCAATTGCTGAAAGACTTTATACCCAAGGATTTATAAGTTACCCTCGAACTGAGACTAACCAATATCCAGCCAATTTTGATCTTGTCGGAACCCTAAGAGTCTTCAGATCTCATGAAGATTATGGTTCAGCTGTAGATTTAGTTTTGAACAAAGGTGTTGTCCGACCTAAATCAGGCCATGATGCTGGAGATCATCCACCGATTACACCAATGAAAACGGCCTCGATGAACACTTTCTCTGATCGTGACTCTTGGCGTCTATATGATTACATTGTACGACATTTTATCGGAAGTCTTTCTGGTGACTGTAAATATGAACAGACAACAGTTCATCTTCTCATTGGCGATGAGAAATTTTCAAAAACTGGCTGCATAGTATTGGATCCCGGTTTTACTGAGGTTATGCCTTGGTTGGCAATGGCCAACGATGAGCGACTTCCGGCCAGTATAAAAACGGGAGATGAATTTCTGATTGGTGAAACTCGGCTCGATGAAAGATTAACAAGTCCACCCGATTATCTCAGTGAATCTGATCTAATTAGCCTGATGGAGAAACATGGCATTGGAACGGATGCTTCGATTCCAACCCATATAAATAACATTTGTGTTCGTAATTATGTTAAAATTTCCAGTGGTAGACGTTTAATTCCTACCAAGTTGGGAATTGTTCTTATTCATGGATATCAGAAGATCGATAATCATCTTGTTTTACCCACACGAAGAGCTGAGATTGAAAAAAGACTTAACCAAATCGCTGCAGGAACAGCTGATTTTCATCAAGTTTTATCAAGCACATTAGCTGAATTTAGAACAAAATTTGACAATTTTGTTACAAACATCGCAGCAATGGATGAATTGTTTGAAGTTTCTTTCTCTTCGTTGGCTGAATCTGGTAAAGCACTTTCTCGATGTGGTAAATGTCGCCGATACTTGAAATTAATCACAGCCAAACCAGTGAGACTTTATTGTCCAAATTGTCAAGAAACTCTTTCATTACCTCACAATGGTAGTTTTCGAACCTTTAAAGAGCTCAAATGTCCTCTTGATGAGTACGAGCTACTTTATTTCAACGGATTTGGTGCTAATTCAAAAAGTTATGTTCTTTGTCCAAATTGTTACAATAATCCACCTTTCGAGGATATGAAAAAACTTTCTGGTTGTAATCAGTGTTCAAACAAAGAGTGTCCTCAATCAATGATTCACTTAGGTATTGGTGATTGTCGCTGGTGCACATGGGAAGGTACATTAACCCTTGACCCAGGATCAGGTCATGGAGGAAAATGGAAAATCTATTGTAATAAATGTGATTCTTTCATGACTGGACTTAAGGAAGCGGTTAAAGTTACCGTTAAAAATGATAAGTGCTCATCTTGTAAAAGTAAAACGATTCACGTTGAATATAAACGAGAACGTAATCCAAATGAATCACATGGTTGCGTTTTTTGTACACCTGAAGTATCCCAAGGATTGGTCAGTATTCCAGGTAAATCGGCTCGAGGTCGAGGAGGATTAACGGGCCAACAAAATGCTGGACCTGGGGGACATAAAGTTCTTGGAAATCGACAGATTCATCAAAACAACGATCCACGAGAAGGAGGTGACAATTTCCAACGAGGTGGACAACAGTTCAATCCACAAGGTGGCTTAGATAATGGTCACTTTGATGGTGGTCGAGGTGGAGGAGGAGGTTTCAGAGGGGGAAGAGGTAAATTCAATAATCGAGGAGGAGGAAGAGGAGGAAGAGGAGGAGATGATGATGAAGATGACGATGACGGCAGTGGATATGGAGGCCGTGGGGTTATAGCTCGGGAGGAAGAGGTGGAAGCCGTGGTGGGGGACGTGGAGGAGGCCGAGGAGGTCGTGGCCGTGGAGGTGGTCGTGGTGGACGAGGCCGAGGCCGAGGTAGAGGGGGACGTGATTCTGATAATGATTACGCTCCGACACCTTCAGGCTCCCTCAGGCTATCAGATTTTTTGTAAAACCAAAATTAAACTTGAACAAATTCAAATAATTAATTTATTTATAAGAAAAAAAAATACAACCCAATCAAATAATGATAATAAGTTTTGATTGATTGATAAATTAATTAATTTTTCTTATTTGATATTCATGAAAATGACTAATTAAATTTTTTTTCCCACCCAAAACTCATAAGCTAACAAACTAAATGATTCAAGTTTAATTGAAAACTTAAAAAACTGCCTAATTATTAATATACTAAATTAAATAAGAATAAGTCATTAACCTAATCACAGTGATAATCTTGTAATGACGTTGGTTAACAATCAACTAATCATGCTGATTAAAACAAAGACATTGCCAAAATTAAGACTCACTCATGTTGTGAGATAACAAAAAAGTAGATTTAATTTTAATTCCCTCTCTTGATCACAGTTTGAATTCCGGTTTCTAATTGTGATCAACATGATGATCATAATTGTTGAACACAATTTAACCTTAACTCCAATAATTACCTGGTCAATATACTAATAGTGGTTAACAATTACAATTAACCTTGATAATTACAGTTAAATTAATGATAAACCAAATTTAACAACCACACAAAAATTTAAAATTAGTGATTAACAAATTAGTGAAACAATTAAGTTGAGTTATCAATTTTTGGTCTAATTGTTTCCCTCTCACTTACAATCAATTTAACTATGAAACTGTTGAAATTTTAAAGGATAATCAACAATTAATGATAATCTAAATCACTCTTGGTTCAGTTAATTAATGATTAAAACAATGATAATTATTTTATAAACAATAGTGTTAATCATATTTTTAATTGCTCTAAATTGTTTCATTATTTTTTCTTGATTTATAAAAGTAATTAACTTAATTATTACTAAGTAATGATAATCAAAAGTTGATGACGTCCAATTGAATGGGAATTGATTGTTAATTTGGTGAATAAAAATAAAGTCTTAATTGTAACAATTAATTGTTTTAATATTAATACAATTATTATTATCCAATCAAAGCAATCACTCAACAGGAGATTCCGGTTAAATGATTAAATCAACTGAATTAATAACAATCATTTCAAGCTGTTAACTATATGGAGCTGTGATTAAATCTTATAGTCAATGATTAGTTAATCAAATATTAATAGTTAATAGTTAACAATCAGAATTAAGAAAAACAAAACAAAATCTATTTAAAGAAACCCTATTAATCCAATGTAATTGTTGGAGTTGATTATTTCTCATTTAATCATGATAATTAAGTCCAATTGATTAGGAAAATAATCAAATTAATTGTAAAGAATCAAAATTTAATCTCAATAATCAAAATTAATTAGATTATGATTAGGAATTAATGAAAGAATCAAATTAGTTTATTGAAATGGTTTCACTTTTATATTCATATTCATATTGATTGTTGTATATTAATTGTTACGATTTAATTGTAACTAATTGGGGTGAAATAATTGTTTCAGTATCTTTTTAATTGTAACAATTAACTATAATTATTATTAAAAGATTGTAATTGAAAACCCCAAAAGCAAATCAATTAACAATCATTTCTATGAACAATTAATTGTCCTCGTTCATTGTAACAATTATTTATTAACATCAAATGCTAATTGTTTAAGCTAATTAGTTAAATTAATTTTCCTGATTCATCAGCAATTTAATTGTTAACTCAATCAAATGAATTGTTGAAATGTATTTTAATCAATGATCATTACAATTTTATACAATTATAATAATTATACAAAGTCAAGTCAAAAAAAATCATGATTGACAATTAACAAGTTTTATGAGTGATTAACAAATTGTTGGATCTAATTGGATAATTAATAACATTTGATTAAATCTGAAATGAAAGTGATGATGGTGACAATTAACATATTGATTATTAAGAGATTATCTCAAATCAAATCAAAGTAAAGGAGTTAATTGTTACTGTTAATTACCACCATCATCCATAACAATTAACCATTATTTTCACATGTTATTACATTGGAATACATTTAACATGATTATTTTTACCATCATCATAATTATCATCCTTAATTATCATTACTATTAATAAATGAACACAATTAAGGTTCACAATTAATTGTATATATACGATCAAAGTGAAAAAATTTGATTACAATTAAAAATGATGATGGTGTTACAAAGTTAATAATAATAATATCAAAAAAAAGAGATGAGAATCAAATTAACTCTTCAACAATTAAGAATTTTTTTTCTTCATCACCATTATCATAATCATCATCAACATGATTAATTGTAAGCTAACAATTAAATATTAACACTTGATAACAAAACAATTTAAATACTACAAATACTGGCGATTTACTAATAACAATTAAGCTAATTTTGAATTAGTTTTGAAGGACATAAAACAGAAAAGGGTTTTTATCATTAATCATGATCATTTGATTTCTATCTCTTTTTTTTGATTCCTATTGATTAAGTTGATTGTTAATTGTGAAGACTTTAAAGTTGATAATTATGATGATGGTAATGTTGTTGTTAATACAAATGGCAGTAAATTGATAAACAAGAATCAGTTAATAGTAAAGATGATAAGTATATCACTCGGACGGAATCAAGTGAATTTAAATCAGATCATCAATCGGTATCAATGTGAAAGTTTAAACTTATTTTCCCAGTTTTTTGATTGTGATTAATTGTATTTTAAATGAGCATGAGATCGTTTCCAATTAAATGATGATTATGATGATGAGATTCGTTGATTGATAGTTAAAGTTGATTGTTACTTGTCGCCTTTAGTATATATAAAAAAAACTTGATAACTTGTCAAGTTGTTTCGTTAAAAGACAAAATATATTCACGAAAAATTCAACGAAACTTTGACAGTTTCCATCTATTGCTATATTCACCTCAACAGGTTAATTAATTAAAACGTGTTAGAAGATGATAATAGTTAATGAAGATGATGCTTTAACTTTGGTGGGAGGTGGGTTAACATGTAGGTGAGAAATCCTTCATTCTGACCATGAACCAGAAACGAAAGTTGAGTAATCGTTTTTGTAGGAGAGAGAGAGATGATGATGATGATGATAAATAGAAAAAAATTCAAATTCTGATGCAAATGAAGGTGATGATGAAGATGATTCTTTTTTATCATTCTCAATTGTGTTTTGTTTCTTGTTCCGCCAAAGATGAAGGGGTTGAAATGGTGATTATGATGACGATGATGATGCTTATCACCCTGAGATAATCAAGATAATTGTTGTTTGTTTATATATAAATAAGACTTTCCATCAGGCTGAGTGATTAGATGAATATCTCATGACTGTACTCGACATTTTGACAGCCATTTTGTTGATCTGAACAGTAACCTGGTTCTGGAATGATGGAAATAAAAATTAATTGTTAATTAAAAATAATTATCTTAGTCTGGAAATTGAATCAACAGAAAAAAAGGTTTAATTGTAAATAAGAAATAGTTAACTAACCAATCTTTGATGATGATGATGATGAATACTTGGATAACTGTTGATGTTTGGATACATTTAAATCTTCCCAATTATTGTTACCATTTTGATCTGTTACGGGAAAACGTGAAAGTTAATTGTTGTCCATCATAATTAACCAATTTATTTAGATGTAAAATCGTTAAGAAGAGTTGATGAAGCAATAAATTTACTTACATAACCATAATGGTTCAGTAAATTGTTCAGTTCTGATAAAATTTGTCTTCGGATCTAATATTGATAGACATTCATCTCGTTCAGATCTAATGAATGAAAAAAGTTAATACAATCAATATTAATTGTGGTTGAATAAATTAACTTAATTGTTCAGTTATGATTGAAATATTTTATATACAATATCAATATAACAATAACAGTCGTTAAGATTATAGTGTAAAAAAAAGTTAACCAAGTTTGAAAGTTTTTTTCTCTCTTCGTAGTAACTTAATTAGACTAAATTAACTGAATTAACTAAATTAATTACGTACATTGAAGTGAAATTAAGGCAATATTCAATTCGTTTGCCACAATTGTTGTGAAGAAATGTTAACTTAACCAAATTCTTATAAATATCCGGAAGTTTACAGTTGAAAATATTTCGTTCTTTAGTATCTGGACCAATTTTCCGCATTTGAACCAAGTCTCGAAAACAATAATCGTAAACCGTTAACTCTTCCCTGTGAGGATGGATAAAGAAATTAAAATAATTACAAACAATTGAAACGATTAGATTATTTTATCAAGAGTATCATACAAATCAATCAACTCTTGAAAAATATCAACTATTGGGGAAGACCAAAAATCTTGTCACTTGCTCTTGATTGTTATTGATCTGAGAAAATTAAATGAACCATTTAAGAGTAACAATTAACTATAGATCATAATAATAATCATCATCATCATTAATATAATAATAATAATAATAAAAGAAAACTATTATTATATCATTAAATTGAACTTGATCTTGATTTATTAATTTGATTTCTTGTGATCATTATTTTTACATAATAACAATAAGAGTTAAATTTTACACTTTTAAAATTAACAGCTAACATTAAATTAAAACTAAATTAAATATTATCATCATGATTATGATGATAATCCAAGTTAATCTGATTGTACTCCTCTTCATTTTAATCATCATCATCATGAAGATGAAGGTAATAGTTTCAAGTGATATTAATGTAATCATAATAATACAAATACATAAACACACACACACATGACTGATTAACAAGATCAGAAAAAAATTAACTAATTTGTTTTCCTTAATTTCAAACTAATCTGTTTCAAGGTTTACCTAATATTATTATTTTATAATCATCTAATGTTAATCATAATCAATCTAATCTCAAAATCAATGTAATTATTTAGTTATTAAATTGATAGGTTTTGAAAAGGGAGGAAAAGGAAATAAGTTTGAAACAAAAAATACTAAAAGGTAAACAAAAATGTTAACATGTTAGGATAATGTAATTGCATAAATTAATATGATTAAATTGATGTGATTAATATGAGAGGAAGATGATGGAGCAATTAAGATTGTAGATGATTAAAGATGATCAACATGATTAGATTGGTAATATGGTGATTAGTTAATAATTGGATTACAAGGGTAAATCTGGAAAGGTGAAGGATGTTAGTGAAATAGGCACACAAAGAGTAATTGATTAATCTAATTGTTCATATTGATCATGATGATTAAGGGAGAGAGAGTTAAGGATGATAATAATGATGATAAATTACCCTTTTTTCTTGCTTAATAAAACCATGTCACTTAATATTGATAAAACATTTGATGAATTAGACCAGTGAGGAGCACGAAAGGTGCCAATCAAAAGTGTCGACTGTGTTTCCGGTTTTAATCGGGTTATATCATAATTGTTGATTAACCATCGAGGCTCATTAAGGGATAATCCTTTCATTATGGTGGATGAAGAGGAGAATTTTAATTTTGACATGAGATCCAAATATTTGTCATATTGATTAGCGGCAGTGTTACAATCTTTAACTAATTGATCGGTTGCGATTAGTGTTCGTTTACAGGATCGATATTGAATTGTTTCAGGTGAGAGACGACGGAGAATGGCCTCAACTAGAAGTGGGTATCGGGTTACCCTTTGAACTGGTAGAAGGAGAAATGAGTGTAAGGTTAACCCTTGACAGATTGGATCAGATTCTAATTGTCGGATGAGTTGGTTAAATTTTGAGGAGAGTTGAAGTTCCCGAAGGGTTGATTCTTGACGACGTTTAAAACGACAATAGGTTATGTAGGGTGCGAAATGATTGTATGCATAGTCAACAAGAATATCGCAAACATCAGATAGAATGATATTCTGTTTCCATCGAATCTCAAGAATATTCATCAAATTGTAAGAAATGTCACGAATCACATGAATATTGGAAAATAGATCAGCCTTACGACGAGGATCAAGAAATGTGGGATTGGAAAGAGTCAAATTATTCGCAAAATGATTGACTAGAATGTCCAAACTTCGAAGGTAAGAGGCTTCTGATGTGATCACTTCGAAAAGTGCCTCTTGCAATTGTCGCTGGGTTGGTGAGAGATCACGATAAAGTCCAAGTTCACGAACTTGTGGTAATTCACACCAGAGCATTCGAGCACCATTACGAATTAATTTCATTGATTGTTCATTTTGTTGCTGTAAATACTGTTGATAATTAACACTTTTAGTTGGTACCCGTTGTTGTTGCTGTTGTTGGTACATTTGATTGGCATATTGATCTCTATGTTCAAATGCAATTCGCGGATCACTAAATTTCCTTTGTAAATCACTTCCATTGAAAGTAGTAATTATTTCACGATCAGGTGTAGTTGGTCCAGAATATGATTGATAACCTTTTCGACGAGAATCAAGAGTTGATACACTTCGAAATGGTTTAACCAATTGAGGAGAATAGAGTCTTTCATCGGTGGGTAATACACGAGAACAAGATAAATTTGAGGGTCGACGTTTAACCGATGAAACATTCTTTGGACTATTATTGTTGGTATTGCTCTTTATCGTATTATTATTGTTAACATTATTGGCATTCTTGGTTAGAACATAAATATCAAGATTCTCTTTCAAAGAATCCATTGTTCGACTGTTAACTTGAGAGAGTAAACCATTTTTATCAACAATTGGTGAGTATTGACGATAAGAAGTTAAATTGATTGTTGCATCTTCCATAGGTAAAAGTGTCTTCAATTGTTTCCTAGGTAAACCGTGACGACCATTATAATCAACAATTTTACCATTAGAATCAATGAAACGAGCAATTGATGATTTAAATCGTAAACTACGATGAGGTGATGAACTACGACTTCGAGGCGTTTTAACAAAATTATGATTCTGATGCGGATATTGATGTTGTTGTTGATAATTAGGGTGATTATGGGAATCAAGTAACTGATTAACAGACCGACCAGAATCTCTTAATGAATGTCCAGTGTTGTTGTTGTAAGAATTGTGTTCCAATGAATGACTTTGGGAAGCCATTAAATTACCGGTTGATTGTGATGATGAACCATTTGAAGTTGATGATAGGGTTGATGATGAACCATTGTTGGGGTCAAATTGTGTAGTAGATGATGATGAAGATGATGATGATGTTGGATTAAGAACATGTGATGAATGAGAGTATTTCAGATTATTACCATGGGAGTTTATGTTGTTGTTGTTGATAGAGATACTTTTGTCCAAGAATCGTCTTAATCCTTTATGAAATGATTGATGACCATTGGTTATATTACTAACGGCACTGGTAGAGCAAATTTTGCTTGGGATAATTGTTGATCCACCGCCAGTACAATTATTATGATGAGAGATTAACTCAGGTGGTGGTGTACTTGAGGTAACATAGGGATACATATAGGGAGCAATTGATGAAGACGAAGGATTAACAAGATTTTCAACTGATTGACATTTTCCACCACCGATAATACAAGACGATTCACTTGTTAATCCTTTCATACCTCCTCCTCTTTTAGGTAGAGATTCAAATTTTGTTAAATAGATTTCACCTCGTTGATGATGGTAAATAAATTGTTGAGGGTTAATTGTTGATTGTTGACCACCAACAACAGTGAACGTTGTAATGTTACTCTTGTCAAGATTGTCTTTTTTAAAACATGGCTGACCAAGTGGGGTAGTCATCTAACCAGAAAACACTTGGAATTACGTTGACTTTGAAAATCTTTTGTTTCACAATGTTGAAGGGTGATGATGATGATGATGATGATGATGATAGAATAGAATAGAACAAAACAAAACAAAAATGGAAGAACAAATTTCAAAAAAGAGAGAGAAAGACAAAAGGTGAATATCAATGTTTCTCTTGCAAGGATCACAAGGAGACTGAGAGGGAGTCGATGAAGATGATTTTCTGTATATTTGCTGTGTTCAATTTCACTAATTGTGATTAACAATTTAATCTTGTGAACAGAAGAAAGTAACAGAAGAGAAAAATGTTCTCTTTTAAGGTGAAAACAATCAGGCGACAAGAAGATTAAATTCGCGGGAACAAGTGGAACCAGAAGAAAACAGTAGCCACCATTTTGAATGTTCCCAGTTAAAGATATTGATTTTTCTCTCGATTAACAACAATAATTAATTACAAGGTTAATTTGATAATAATGATGATGTTTAACAACAATAAAAAGAGAAAAGAAAAAGATTGTGGAGACAAAAGAAAAGAGAACAACAACAAATTGTAATCTTCTTTTTCTTTCCTCTATTCGTGATTCAGGTTATAAGGTAAACAGAAATTTCAACGGTTTTACTGTTGAAGAAAGTCGATTATTTTGAATTTTCTTTTTTATCACCAACGCCTTCCAATATTGGATTAATTTGGAATAGAATTTGTTGAGAAAATTCTAATTTTGTGGCTTCTTTTTAAGGACACAATCACAATTTAAAAAGTAACTTAATATAAATACGAAAACATAATCAACACCTTCAACGTTACTGTTAAGTGAAGGTAGTGGTTGTTATTGTTGTTGTTTCTTTCCAATTGTTCAGTGTTGTGAGATGATTTTAATTATAATTAATTAGTAAATTGTGTGTGTATATTTATGAGTGAGTGTATTATGAATAACAGTTAATGTGTAGATGATGATGATTATCACAAATTTGATGGAAATTGTAACACAATTAACAAGAAAAATAATTTCGATTCTCTTTCTCTTGGTGAACTGATTTCATGGATACAGGTGATTGAATGTTTTATATAAGGGTTAAGATGATATAAATTGATTTGTAGTAAGAAAAATGTGTGTGTGAGAGAGAGAGAGAGAGAGAGAGATGATGATGATGATGATGATGAATTAATCATCCACTTAATCTTCCTTGGTGGTTATGATGCTGGTTATGATTTACACATCGACTCACAAAATACTATCAACACAATGTGATCACTTCCTATGGAACCCAAATGAATATGAAAACATATTAAATTGTTGATTATTTCATTGAGTAGAATCAACTGATTGGTGAGAGTTAATTACTGGAGGGTTATGAGCATCATGATTTACTTAGGAGAAAAAGGAATCAATCACTGAGAGTTTAATCACCAGAAATGTTTTAATCTTCGCGGATAATCAGTTGTTTCTGGTTTTGTTGTTGTTGTTGTTGGAATGATTGTCATGTATATTTGTCATTTTCTTTCAATTAGAATCACAATTTAACGGACAATTAGGTAGAGAGAAATTTCCACTTGTTTACCTGAATGTAAAAAAGAAAAATATTTCAAGGAGAAAGAAATTAGTAAATTGTTGATGGTGAAAATTTGATTGTATTCTCATATTGAGACTTTGTTGTTTTCTCTCAACTGATTATTATGATTACAAGTTGATTGTTAGGTTCAATTGATTTTCTATCAATTTCTCCGTATAATTGATCAACTTTTTTTTTGTTCTCCAACTTTGACAATTAAGATAAATCATTTCTCTTTAAAATCAAGAGAATAGTTTAAAGGTTTAATCAACTGAATTAAAGGTGAAGAGAGAAAAACAATTGATGAATTTTACTTGAGAGATTTTTTGTTTCTTCCATCTCTCTATTGATAATCCAATGTTTTATCAATTCTATTGACAATTAAAGTGGATTGTTAATTGTTGTGGAACCAATGAAATCAACTCAGATTCTTCCGAGTGTAAGAAATTAAGAGAAAAGCAAAATATTAATACTTACCATTTAAATTATATTCCAATTGTTGAATAACACTTTTTTTCCTCAATCACTTAAAATCCAGTCAACTGTTTAGATTTGCGATAAAAGAAAAGAAAAATTAAATTATAATCATCAGCATCTTAATTATTCCTTGAAATGATCAGTTAATCAACGACTACAATTAAAATATCACAATTGAGTGTATATATTGTTTCAACTATTGTAACAATAAGTGTGGATCAATACCTAATACCTAAAGGTAAGAAACAATTAGTCTCGGTGATGAGAATTACACTTTAATCAACTATCATTAGAATTAATTGATTAGACACTTGTTAGCACAGTATATAAATACATTAATTGATTAACAATTAACAATTAGAAAGGTGTTGAAAACCGTTAATCAAATTAAATTAACTACATAAAAGAGACAATCAAATGGTTGCTGTTTGTTTACATCAACAGAAACATTGGAAATACAATTTATAGTTTCAACGGAAAAACATTCACACAAATCAAACAATAACATTGATTGTGATTTTCACAATTTACAATACAATTAACAAAAAATGTACACACACACATACCTGGTTAATTGTTGAACACAGTTGAGATTAAATTAATTACACAATTTGAAAAACAAAAACAATGGAAATTTGTGTTTACAATGATAAAGAAACGGAAAATGAAAATAACCGGTAACATGCAAATGAGATTTTCAGTTAATTTGAAAAGAGAAACAAATTGCTGGTTAATTGTGATTCGATTTCTAATTTCTCCTGGTGATTAGTTGATTGTGGTGAAATTCAATTAAGGTGAAATTTGGGAATCTCAATGAGAACACAGGTAAATATGAAAAGAAAATAAAGAGAATCGACTTGAGGGACTAACAGTTGAATTAAAAGAATATCAGAAAACCGGGAATAGAATAGAATAGAAACTTTTAAATTCTCTCTCTCTCTCTCTTTATTTATCATCATTCGTCTTCTTTTATCATCTGTCTCTCTTTCTTTTTCTCTTTCTTTCGGCTTCTGGTTTTCTCTTTTCTCTCTCTCTTACCTTTATTTTCGGTTAATCTTTTCTCTTCTCCTGGTCAACTATTATCATCTTTTTCCTATGATAATTTCTGTTGATTGTTGTTAACCTTCACTGCGAATACAATGAAATGTCAATGATCGTGAGGGAATTTTTTCCATTCACAAAAAAAGAAAAAGAAACAATTTAATTCACTCATTTGCTATTAAAATTAATTCTTCTCCATCATATTAATTGACCGTTTCTCTTGTTAATGATTGTTGGACATTTAACGATCTCGAAACTTGGATCGTTTCAATTTCTCTGGTCACTAATTATAAACATTTAGAATACTTTTTAATACTTTTGTTAATTGTTGATGACCAGTGGAGATAATTGACCATTTCAACTGTCGAAAATTTTTTTCATTTTCTTTTCGTTAAACCAGCAATTTAATTCACTGATGAGTTAAATCACCGAGATAATTATAACCTTAATTTCATTAGAGTTAATTGTTTGGAAGGAGATTTAAGTTTCTTTTTATTTGGAGCAACAATTAACTAATAATCTCCATTGATTTCAACTGATTTAACCATGAAAATAATGTTCCTTTGATCAATCTAATCAATGAATTGGTTGAGTTGAGTTTAAGTTAATTGAGATGATTTAGTAAATTGTATTCTCTTTTTTTTTCATTCATCTTTTTCCTTTTTCCTTTGTACCAAACAATCAAAATTTGTAATCAAATTGTAATCATTTCAATCTTTTCATGATTGATTAAAGGTAATCGGGTGATTATTGATTAAGAGCCATTAGGTGAAAGACTAGAAAATCAGAACGATTTGTTTCTTTCAATTGTTAGAAAATCAAATCAACAAATTAAAGGAAAATATTTAATTTCCGATGAATTATTTTGACCTTTTTTTTTGGAATTTGACCCAAAAATCGCTTTAGAAAACCATAATTGTAAATAGTATTAATAAATCAATTTACGATTTGAATTTATAAATACGATCAAAATTAAACATTTCGATTAACTGTTTCTAGAATTTCTTAAATATTCAATTATAAGTTAAGCGATCATGTTGATCCAGATAAGGCTAAAAATGTACATTATGTACCTGAAGACCAACAGTTATTGATGTCTTCGAATCCTGAGTTGACTGTTGTTCGCGATCCAACCAGATATTATTTTCGCTATTGCGACCAGCCGTATGCGTGCCGTCGTTCTGGTCGTCGACATGAGATGGACACTAGTAAGTTTCCTGGTTCGGCCAATCATGTGTGCGTTTCGGGGTGTGATCCAAATTATATTGGTGATCGACCTTACGTCCCGGCTCCTTATGGACGAGCTGGTCGCAAAATGCCAGGCATTTAATGCCTTCTCGCAAACTACGACAACCATAAGGCTCCTTACTCTTTGATAAAAAGCATGTTACCAGTGCCTCCATCTATTGGTCGTTTTTCAAGTGACAAAAAATTCATTTTAATTTCTTGAACGAAATTAAGAAATTTAAATTAACAGTTAACTTGATGATTTACAATGTATATTAAAATGTTTTAAATTAAATTGTAGTAATTTGAAGACTAATTTGAGAAATTGATTGTTATCAATTACTGTTTGATTGAAAAGATTGAAACTACAGTTACAATTTCATTGATTAAGAGATTCATGTAATCAGAGTTTTAATCGATTCCATCTTAATTTGATTGATAATCTTGTATTTGATTTTAAATAAACAGTCAAAACAGATTTTAATCAGAATAAATGATTTAGTTTTTAATTATCTTAACATAAAATATAAGATTTTTGAGATAAAAGTGTAAAAAAAACGTTAAACAGAAAATTGGGATGAAAATGATTATGATCACATTTTTGATTAATTGACAATCATTGATGTTTGAGATGATTAATAATTAAGATCACTTAGTGATTTCAAGTTTTAATGAAAGAGAAAATGATTAAACAGCAAACTTAGATGAGAGATTTAAGTTAACTGGTAATCAAGATGATCGAGTTGAATGATAATCAATAACCAAAGATGATTCTGTTACTAATATAAAATTACTTCAAGTCGTTAATTGTGAAACGAATTGTTAATTAGTTGATTTGTTTTGGCAGAATTTTTTCTCTCTTTTAAAAGGTGTTTATATGCTTGTTTACATTGGGCCAGATTATCGAATTGAGGATCATCTTCATCATCTTTATCTTCTAATCCAAGTGCGTACATGTTTCGATGGATTAGTCCAGCCTCTCGAAATATTTGATCTACTTGAAAGGTATAAGCTTTTTCGGCGATTAGTTGATTGAGTCTGAGAGTTTCCAATAGATCCCATTTGGAACGTAGATTCTCATCCAGTGTTGGATAGACTTTGATATTTTTGGTATCACAGATTAACGGAGTTTGAAAGTATAACTCGTAACGACAGAGATCAGGTTCGGTTGCATTGATAAGCCGATTCGAGGAACCACAAATTGGATAGACTTTAACTCGTCGACGTATTTGTCCAGTTTTCGATGAGCATAAATCACCATCACGATATTTCATTGAGAGAAAAGTGTTATTACCGATTGACCATTCGCCTGACCAAATACCGAGAACACCTTCAAATCGAGACCAGTTACTTGTGGTCTCATGTTGGGTCACATTTCGAAAGGGACAAAATCGATATTGATAAATTTCATCTAAATAAGTGAAACATTGGTTTTCCAAAAGCCGAAGAGCCGATGGACCAGAAAAATTAGCCGGTGGTTTAACGGTAGCCAATGATTTAGGTGACGGAGTAGAACTGGAACAAAAGATAATTAAACAAAAACACAAAATCAATTAGAAGTCTTTTCTTTGGAAAATCAATCAACTGAGAAAAATAAACTACACCTAATTAAACGTGAAGTCTCACTCACAATTCTGATTGGAATTGGATTAGTTAAATTGTCTACACTTTTGATCAAAGAAACGGCCACAATTGTAATCCACAGGCAACCCAGTTGTATGATCATGATTAAATCGTACTCCTTGGTTGCCTGATTTAAATTGACATGGACCAAGAAACAGTAACAATAATCAAACCAATAAGTCAACAATTAACCGAACGATAATAGTCTGAGAACGTATTTGAACTGATTAACACAAATCACGGTGAAAATGAAACAAGAAAATTACAATTTTACAAAACACTAAAATGCAATAAGGATAAAATCGTAACCATTGTAATCAAATTTAACTGTAAACATTAAGAACATTGGAATTAACTAGTTCGCTTTCAATTACAAGATTTAGTGTAGATTTACAGGTATCAAAAGTATTAGAAGGAAAAATAAGATGAGAAACAGGAAAAAAAGAAGTTGAAAGCAAATTGTTGAATTAGTTTCGGAGAGAATTGATTGTTTTGATGATCATAACAATCAATTCTAAATGATGGTTGTTGTTGAGTGAAACAAACTAGTGTTTAGAATGAGATTGATTCTAACTCTCGTCGAACAAAAAAAGTATATAATGAATATGAAGATAAATAAATGATAACATGTTAAGAAGATGAAGAAGACAAGCAGATGAGAAGATAAGAGATAATTCTTACTGGAGGGAGAGAGAGAGAGAGAAGAAAAAAGGTTGACGTGTGGAACCTAATTTCAAGGTAATTCAGAGAGAGAGAGAGAGAGAGAGAGAGAGAGAGATGATGATGATGAGAGATGAACATTTGCTGGATTGAAAATTGGCGAAAATATCGGTGACCTGACTTTCGGGCTTTTGTTTATAACGATTTTCATAAAGGGTGTTTACTTTAAAAACGTCCATAAAAGAGATAAGAAAACAACATAGGCAAAGGTGAGAGATAAAATTTAATCTAACCTTTTACCTGTTACTTTGCTATCTCGTTTATGGAAGTTTTTAAAGTAAACACCCTTTACATTGATTGGTGACCATTGAAGAACAGATGATAATCATCATCTGATTCAATTCTCTATCATTATCAGCATCATAATCTTTCTTTCCCTTATCACAATTAACCGTTAGGAATCACATCCTGGTTAATCCTTCTCAACTTTTCCATTATTTGGCTTTTCATCTTCATCTTTAGAATAAAATTTTCTTTTTCTTTTCCTTTTCTCCATCTTTCAAATCTCCATCTTCTTTCCAGGAACCTTTGTCTTCCATGGTTTCTTTCTTTTTCATCATCATTTATATTTCCTTCTTCTGATTAGAATGTGATCAAACATTGGATACCTTTTCCATCACTTCAATTGGAATACATGGTTTTGATTATTTGGTCCAAAAAGAACAACTTGATTCACACAACAAAATCAATTCTATTGTAAATTGAAAGAGAGAGAGAGAACAAGGTTGGTAATTTATTCTCAATCAATTTTTAGATCATTAATTGTGTTTCCAATATTCAATATTCCATTTTCCATATAAAAGGCGAGAGATTTTCTGTTGAGAAAAAAAAAGAAAACACAAAATAATGGGTTAGACTGTAGGTAGATCTTTAAATATACAGAAAATTTAATTCGATTGAAGAAAATAAAGGTTACCATTTGTTTCCAATCATCATAATCAAAATGATTAATTCTAAATTGGGATCATCAAGCTACCTAATTAACAGGTAAAAGAACTTCAAATGATGAATGTTAGGCCTTCGATTGTCCAGAAGAAAACGAGGAAAATGATTCACTTGATTTCGTTGTTACTTCAAAATCGTGAAGCTGATGACCTTCTTTCGTTAATTGTTGATTAAATTCACAATTAAGGGAATTACAGTGATAATTTGGTCTAAAATAGAGTAACAATTGAGTGACAATCAACAATTAATTACATTGATCATGAAAAGTGATACAAATAACATTGATTTTTATATCTTTTCAATGGACAAACATTAACAACAAATTAATGATTCTAATTGTCGATAGATGATGACAATTAGATTTAGTTGACGATTTTTGTCTTGATAATTAGAAATTATTATAACTAATTAACCTGAAGGAGAAAATTGAAAAACCATTGAAAAGATTAAATGATTAAGTGATTAGACTTAATTGACATTTGATCTTCAATCGGAAATTAATTAATTAGTGGCCAATGTGATTTTCTTTGGACAATTGATGATTAATTGTAATTTTGGAAAATCAAAAACATACAAACAATTAACTCTCTAATATCCTTTTAATTGTTATTAGGTAATTTAGATAATGATTGATTGATAGAATGGCCAGAAAAATAAAGTTGATCTATTGTAGGCAATTAATTGATTGGAATCGATAGAAATTGATTAAGAGAAATAATCAAATCTCGAGAGTAAAAATGATTAAATTGTTCCATAAGTTCAGTAATCAAATTAAAAGAAATTTAATCCAATAAAATGGTTACCATTGTCAAGGAAACTATAAATTAACCAAGAAAAATTGATTAAGTTAACGATTTTAAATTACAATTAGAATGATCGATTGAAATAATGGCTAATCAATAATTAATTGTTCAATTTAAGAAGATTAGCTCAATGGGTAATTTCATTTGAATCAATTGATTGTTTTCATGGAAATTATCAAGAACTCAAGTAACTGTTTTAAAGTTTTATGAGTAATCTATTGGTTTCAACAATTAAGAGTTTCGATTGTTGTATAACTGTTGGAGAAATTAAATAATAAATGATTAATCAACTGGTTTACAAAAAAAGAGTTGATTCTGAGACCAGAACAAGTTATTCAATGATGATTGAAAAATGAGCAAATTTAACCATAAATACTAGTATTTATGATACAATTGTTATAAGTATATCATGATACACAGAGTTAATTGGGTGTAACATTCAACAATCTATAGAATTAACAATCAACAATCTAACGGAATTGGGGATTTGTGAATATTGATTAAATATCTCTCTCTTTCTATTGTGATCTTACTCTCTATTTAAACATGATTTGAGGGAAAAATAAAACCAAGAGAAAGAGAAAGAGAGAGAGAGAGAGAGATAAAATTGTATAATAATAATCAAATTAAAGGATAATAATTAAAACAGGTAAACCAATAAAAGAATAATTTAAGAATTGATTGTAACACATTAAATTTTTCCGAGAAAGGTGAACACATCAACAAGGAATTGTATTGGTTTCTTCATCGGTGACAACGATTGACGAATCCACTCAAAAAGGTTAATCGAAATATTCAAGATGAATCTTCATCTTCTAATCTTTATCCCAAATTAGAATTGGTTTACTGGGGTAACATTGACCAAGCTGATGGATAATCAAAACGTTGATTGAGGCTGATTGTTACTCCAGGAAACATTGGCAATCATTTCCCATTTGCCCGATTTGTTGAGTAGACAATTTGAATGGGCAAGATAAGGATACGACAACATGTTGTTGAAATGAATTCCAGTTTGGTAATTCTTTGCCAATTAACATTCGGGTACATGAATCCAAGGAAGATGCATGAGCAACAATTAAAATATTCCCTGAATTTGTAGATGAAATGATATTCTGAACAATTGTATGACACCTTGAATAATAGTCAGTGTGACTTTCATTTATGTGAAGATTCAATAAATCTTGTGAGATTATCGATGGTACATAATCAAGATTAATATTCATCCCTGTACCAGCAGCAGCTTCTTTAGGAGATAACCAAGTGGGTAAAATATTAACATGATCACCCAAATACTCAAATAATCCTGGTTCAATGTTAACAGCCAGAGTTTCATTAAGACCAGAACCTTTCAGGATATTGTGACAGGTTTGTAAACATCGTAAAGCTGGACTACAGAAAACATGATTTATCTCAATCGCAGGATCACTTAGAGCTTGACCGAACAAGAATCCTTGAAATTCACCTAAAATAAAAAAGAATAAAATTAACAAAACAATCAATTAAAATTCGAAAGAAGCACCAAAAAAAAACAATACAAATTCAACACAGGAAAAAGGAACCAAAAGACAAAAAGGATTCTCACAACTACAGGAAAAAGGAAGAAAATTAGAATCAAAAGAATATAAATTTAACATTTTTCTTTTGTTTCCTTGATGTTGAGTTAATGATATTTTTACAATTTTAACGGTAAAATTTATATTCCAATTCTTGATTCAGTCTCAGTTTTGATTCCTAATTCTTGAAACATCAAACCATTAATTCCAATTTGATTTCTGTATGTGAATTAAGATAGAGAGAGAGAGAGAGAGAGAAAGATGATTAACATTATTATTATCATCAGAAAATAATCAGGAAGAGAGAATATTTTTTTTCTATTCTTCCATATTCATGATAATTTTAGAATCTAATTTGGTTCATAAAAATCTATTATTATTCTTATTAATTTGGTTAAATAACTAATTATTCACTCAGTTTCTTACCTTCTTATATTTTCTATTGAATTTTGTTCGAATTTTCAAACAATCAAATCGAAACTTCTGTTTTAACCAACTTCATGTTTACCACCAATGATTTTCGTTTTGACTGTTTTCTGCTGCGTTGCATGGAAATGTCATACAATGATCAACATCAACGTATTTCCACCAAACGATATTTATAAATGTCAACATTTCAATTAACTCTTGATTTGATCTTATATAAAAAAAAATCGATTATCGATAGATCATTTTCAATTTATTTCTATTTCCTGTTGTCATTCTTTCTATATATATATATATATATATATATATATATATTGATGTAATTCAATTGACGATGATGAATTAGGATGAAACCAAAATTCGTGATCATTATCATAGTCATAGATTATCTTTTGGCTAATTTGATTCCTAAACTTGAGCGTCACGCCAAAGAGGAAAGTGATCATTTAAAGCGACATCTTCAAGATCAGGAGATTCTTATGGTCAAGTTTTCAAAGGATTTCATTGAAATTTCTATCATCATTACAATCTCCTGGAATCAATTGAGGTAAAAAGAAGGAGATATTAACATCTTCATCGTCAGGAGATAAAAGTTTAGCCTCATCTGAGCCATTCGCTGGTGGTAACAATTTAGATGATCTAAATAATGATAATAAAGATAAAAAAAATAAGAATAAAGTTAATAGTCAATCGAGTAACAATGGTAATAATAATAATGGTGATAATCCAACATCAAATCAACCAACGGCAATTCAACATATTATCAATAATCGTACCATTTATTCAACTGCATTGAGTTTAACAATTGCCATTGGAATTGTTTTATTGACAATCAATGGGCTAATCTTTGGAGCTGTTTATTATTATATTAATAAGCATAAAGTTGACAAGAATCGATCCAAATTTTCACCAGTTCGTTATGTAGATATACAATCAGGACTTGATGGCCCTTCAAATGGTACAACCAGTTTGGGTGAACATCATTATGCAGGTTTTTGTTGTGAAAATCATCATCTATGTCCATTCACAGCGGAAACAACATCTCACCATTTGTCACATCATCATATTCATCATGCAGATTCATCGTCTCCCTTACAATCACCACCAACGACTCAAGATATTCATCAGAATCATACTAATCTTCAGCAAACAACAAATACCTCATCAGGTTCATCTCATGTTAGCCTTCAACCTTCATCAAGTATCACAGTTGCCTCTTTAAATCAATCCTCATTGTCACCATCACCAGGAACACAGGTAATATCAGGTTCTCAACAGCAGCAGCAGCAACAACAACAATTAGCATCATCAAATCATCAAGGATCAATTTCCACTAATTGTTCCAATTGTGAATCAAAGGTTACCTGTCAATGTGATTCTTGTTACCATCAACAATCAATATGTGATAATGGTCATTGTCTTACAGTTATCCATGAATTTGATGAGCATCTTTGACATCAGGTTTCACCAATTGAAACTCAATTTTAATCACAATTTTTTGGCGACAAAACTATTAAAACGATTCAAACAGCTCAGCCCCAGGATATTTTCCGCCGGTGTAAGATGCAAAAAAAAACCAAGTTAAAGTTCTTGAATTTTTGCAAAATTAATCCACAAATTTGCAGGAAATACTATTAAACAAAGAGTTTGAATTTTCTATATGAACAGAAAATAATTAAACACAAATAGAGAAAACAAATTATTTCGTCCCAAGACTTTTACAAGAAAAAAAAGAAGATTACTCACAATCCCAATGGAATAATTGTTCCAGATGAATTTTCTACTATTTATTCTAAATAAAAATTAAATATAATCACTTCAGTTTCTCTTGTAATCATTAATTTGTCTCTCTAATCACAATTAAATTTAATTCCAATTTGGATTCGAATCCATCAAATATCCGAATCCACAGTTAAATTCTATTGTCAATAGATGGCGACAGGGAAAGAACATTTTCTCAATTCTCGACAAGAAGTAGAATTATTTTTCATTGTTCATTAGTTTTGTTTTCAATTGATTGAAAATCTGAAATAAATTTTTTGGGATCAAACAATTATTATTAATTAAAAAAGGACAAAAAGATCCAATAGAAATTAAATTCTGTTCTTAATTTTCTCTGTCTACTTTTCTGTCTATTTTTGTTTTCCTTTCTTTCCGATCTATTGGAATTTTAAATCGATTAAAAATCGATTTTGGTGATGAATTTGGTTTCATTTTAGTAAACAAAGGTTAATCAGTTGAGAGTTAAGATTAACATGATTATTAGTTTGTTTTATTTTTGTGTTCCCGTTAAATTAGTTAATGTTTAACTTTAAGATCATCAATCGACCTCTTTTGTGTTTATATCACTGGCAGAAAGGTAAGGTAACTTCGGAAAATATGACAACAACAATTGTAGATCAATATTCAACCATGGAAGCAAAATTTTCCCATATATCGACAATGGCGAGTTTTGTTGAGTTTTTTCAAAAAGGCAGAACTTTTCGACCAAAGAAAAAATTTGAACCCGGTACTTTACGTTACTCTTTACATAAACATGCCCATGCATCATTAAATTCAGGAATAAATTTAGTTGAAGTGGTTAAATTACCACCAAGAGAAAATCTTTCCGATTGGATTGCTGTACACGTTGTCGATTTTTTCAACCGAATCAACCTAATTTATGGTACAATAACTGACCATTGTACAGAGGAAACATGCCCAAGAATGTCGGGTGGACCTAAATTTGAATATCTTTGGGCTGATGGTAAAAAGTTTAAGAAACCGACACCACAACCAGCACCCAAATATGTTGGCTTTCTAATGGATTGGACGGAAGCTCAAATTAACAATGAGGACATTTTTCCCGTTAAAACCGATGTACCTTTTCCCAAAAATTTCATCCCAACCTGTAAGAAAATATTAACTCGATTGTTTCGAGTATTTGTCCATGTGTATATTCATCATTTTGACCGTTTGGTAGCCATAGGTGCGGAAGCTCATGTTAATACTTGTTACAAGCACTTCTATTATTTTGTCACGGAATTTGATCTGGTTTCAGAGAAAGAATTTGAACCTTTGGTAAGTAAACAAATTCAATGAATCAAATTAATTCCAATCTAATCAATCATCAGAACTGTTTTTCAATCTCTCTCTCTCTCTCTCTCTCTCTCTCTCTCTCTCTCTCTCTCTCTGTGTTCACAATTACAGACTGAATTAACTCGCAGAATTTGTCATCTATCATCACCCAGAACCTATGGTAATCATCAGAGATAAATAAATACAGTGACAACAACAAAAGTGTTTCCTGTTGATTAAATTTAACAATAATAATAATCCAACTCTAATTCAGTTTATCATCAACCTCATCATTTGTGGTCAAAGAATTACCTTGATTGTAATCAATTTATCTCGCTCTTTGACTGGGCATAGTTACTGACAAAAAGCAATCCATTGAAATCAAGTCATCTCTAAACACCAATCAATTTATATTTACGTATCATAATTATCATGGATCACGGTGCAAACCAAATCAATTTCATCTTCAATGGATAAATATTATATATACGCTGCCCCATCATCATCTCCATCATCATCTTCCCATCATCATCATCACCATCATCTTAAGTAATAATATAATGACAATAATGTAATAATTGATACCATTGATGATTTCCAGCAATCAATTGACTTACAAAAATCCTAACAGTTGGAATCAAATTTAACCAAATTTGATGAAAATGATTTACACATTTTCATTTAACAATATAATTGATAACAAAATCAGTTAATAGCTAATAAATTCTGATTATGATTAGAATTGTAATAATGAGAAAAGTAATCTAATCATTTTTACAAATTTCATCGAAACATGATCAATATATATTTAAGTGAATCATTTATTTGGTCCTATTGGTCAAATTTAATCACAATTTCCAATGATTCTGCTAAATTATGTAATTTTAATCATTAATTGTAAATGTAAACAGCAAAAAGTAACTTATCAATCTATTGGAAATGATTAAAAGTCACTCAGAACAATTTAATTTATATATTAATATATTCAGAAACTCTGATGATTAACATTAACTGGACATTAACTGACACTTGATGACCTCTTGTCTTTTTTTTGCAACTATTGTATCAACAATCAACTGAAATTAATTCATTTTATGCTCTATTTATTAATCATAATCAACTTGTATTTAATTTACTTTTAATTTGGTTCCCTTAATTGCTGGTAAATCATAATTGAAAATCTTCAATCTCTCACCATCAACCCGAATTGAATACAACCATAACGTCGTAATGATCAATATTAATATTAATAATAAAAATGAGCAAATTTAACCATAAATACTAGTATTTATGATACAATTGTTATAAGTATATCATGATACACAGAGTTAATTGGGTGTAACATTCAACAATCTATAGAATTAACAATCAACAATCTAACGGAATTGGGGATTTGTGAATATTGATTAAATATCTCTCTCTTTCTATTGTGATCTTACTCTCTATTTAAACATGATTTGAGGGAAAAATAAAACCAAGAGAAAGAGAGAGAGAGAGAGGATAAAATTGTATAACAATAATCAAATTAAAGGATAATAATTAAAACAGGTAAACCAATAAAAGAATAATTTAAGAATTGATTGTAACACATTAAATTTTTCCGAGAAAGGTGAACACATCAACAAGGAATTGTATTGGTTTCTTCATCGGTGACAACGATTGACGAATCCACTCAAAAAGGTTAATCGAAATATTCAAGATGAATCTTCATCTTCTAATCTTTATCCCAAATTAGAATTGGTTTACTGGGGTAACATTGACCAAGCTGATGGATAATCAAAACGTTGATTGAGGCTGATTGTTACTCCAGGAAACATTGGCTTGATCATTTCCCATTTGCCCGATTTGTTGAGTAGACAATTTGAATGGGCAAGATAAGGGATACGACCAACATGTTGTTGAAATGAATTCCAGTTTGGTAATTCTTTGCCAATTAACATTCGGGTACATGAATCCAAGGAAGATGCATGAGCAACAATTAAAATATTCCCTGAATTTGTAGATGAAATGATATTCTGAACAATTGTATGACACCTTGAATAATAGTCAGTGTGACTTTCATTTATGTGAAGATTCAATAAATCTTGTGAGATTATCGATGGTACATAATCAAGATTAATATTCATCCCTGTACCAGCAGCAGCTTCTTTAGGAGATAACCAAGTGGGTAAAATATTAACATGATCACCCAAATACTCAAATAATCCTGGTTCAATGTTAACAGCCAGAGTTTCATTAAGACCAGAACCTTTCAGGATATTGTGACAGGTTTGTAAACATCGTAAAGCTGGACTACAGAAAACATGATTTATCTCAATCGCAGGATCACTTAGAGCTTGACCGAACAAGAATCCTTGAAATTCACCTAAAATAAAAAAGAATAAAATTAACAAAACAATCAATTAAAATTCGAAAGAAGCACCAAAAAAAAACAATACAAATTCAACACAGGAAAAAGGAACCAAAAGACAAAAAGGATTCTCACAACTACAGGAAAAAGGAAGAAAATTAGAATCAAAAGAATATCAAATAAAAACAGATAATGATTCTAATTGTTCCACTGAAATTAATCTAATAAATTACATTGGAAAATTCTAAACAATTAAATGTCAACAATTAAATAAATTTTAGAATAAAAGAAAAACGATCATCCATAGCAACCAAAATGGAGGCAAAAGAAAACGATGACTAACAAAAGACTAAAAGAGAGGTAAAGGCTCAAAATAGCGAAATTAAAAGAGCGAAAAACCAATAAGTTAAGGTCACTAGCGCGAAAGTCAAAGTAGCGAATTTAAATTAACCAACTTACCATCTAAAAAATTTATTGATTCAGTGAAAAATATGATAAATTGCTGATAATCAACCATTTTTTTCGCTATCTTGACTCTCGCTCTTTTGATTTCGCTATTGTGACTTTCGCTTATATGCCCTTCGCTCAAATGAGCCCAAATCTTTTAGATAATTGTTATCTAGACAAATTAATCAATAAGAAGACAATCAGATATTAATCAAGATATTCAGTGGCCGATTTGTTTAGATAACAATTATCTAAAACCAATTGAATTTAGTTGGATTTTAGAGCTCAATCCGTTTTATTGTTGACACGCTTTATTTTTTTGTTCTTTTCTCTTCAATTAATCAATTGGACTTACCGATCGGGGTTAAAGGTGAATCATTCAAATAAGCTCGTGGTGGTCGATCAATTATTCTCCTTGGATGGTTCAGATCTTTGGGCGAATATTTTCCCTGTTTATCGAAACAACTTCTGATCCAATCTCCGAAAGCCAAATCCATACGTTCACCATGACGAACTGTTATTAATCTTCTCGGTGAGTTGACACTTTCCTCACCTTCCATTCCGCTGGTTAATCGTAATTTAGATCCCATGGTAACAGATTAACAATTAAGAAAAATATATTGATTAATATGAAAGAAAAAGAAAAACAATTAAGAAAACAATTTATTATCTCCAATCACCATAACTATTAAAGTGAACAACAAATGTTACAGATTCTTTACCAATGTAAACCCTTCTGAGCGCAGATTCTAATTTTTGGATTCTCTTAATGGAGGAGACGAAAAAGAAAGAGAAATTATTTACATTGATTCTCTTAATTTTCTTCTCTTTCTTTTCTTCTTATCGTCATGATCATTACTCTTTCGTTGGCATTGATAATTTACTCTTGGCAACAAAATTCTGAGGATAATTTTTTTCCTCGTTTATCGGGTTGTATAGATTTCGTTTCGATTGGATTTTGTCCTTTGAGTTTTGGAAATTTTCATCATCTTTATGGGATTGTTAATCTTTTCAGAGATTAAAAATTTTGTTTGATTAATTAATAGTTGATTGTTTTTTGTTTTTGCCTAATGAGACAATTTTTTTTGGCGAGTTTACAGTTACAATTATGTTACAATTTTAAATTTTCGCGAGTTTGTTTTACAGTTGATTAATGATAACCTTGGTTTTTGTAACTTTTTTTTCAAGGGTTAAGTTGATTGGGTTGATCAACCGATATAATTGCAACATTATGTTTACTTTTGCTTGAAAATAAATGATTTAATCTAATTTGGTTTCATTTGTTAGTTTAAAGTGACTTGTGTGAATTTTAAATGATGCAACGATGGGATTAGAATAAGTTTTTGGGTAGTTGAATGAAAAAAAAAATAAAGCTTTTCTTTTGAAAATTGATGAAGATGCTTTGAATGGATGGAAACTCGTTGAAAAACAAAATGATGAATTGTTGATGGTTGTTATTCACTGGATTTAAACTCTACTAGATGACCTTCTTTGATAAGTCTTTCCCACAAACTACAAGAAGGGGCTCTTGGGTCTTCCGGATCGACGATGTAAACTTCAATATTCCATGGATCAGTTCGGCTCTAGAAAATTAAAATAACAAAAAGAGAAAAAAAAATAACATCAAAACTTTGTTTAACTAGGAATTAAATTAATAGTTACCTTGATTAATGCGATTGTTTTTAGTTCATTGAGACTTAATTCTTTCTCCATAAGGCTGTTCAAATACGATGACCATCTACCGATTTTACCTGGTTTAATATTGCAAACTCGAGCAGGTATTGCAAACAGTTCTGGATTTTCTCGATACTTTGTTGGTAATTTTCTTAATCTTAAGGGAAAAAAGTGAAGGGAAAGAAAATAAGCTTATAAATATCTAATTTTTCTCGTAATCTCTTTGATTTTGTTTGGTTAGATGACAGATATGATTATCAACTAATATATAGATTAGTATTGATTATTGATTGATTTTTGTTCTTACTTTGCTATATCGACAACAGAAGTGTTACCATAATCAACATAAAATACCCTGAATTGATTTGGAATAATAGAGTTAGCTTTTTCCACAATCATTCCTCGATACCATTGATCATCAGAGAATTGAGCAGCAACAGCATCACCTAAATAAAGTAATTGTATAAACATGTATTAAATAGTTGAAACTATCTTATAGTAAATGATGGTTACAATATTTATGTTTTAGCTTTACCTGTTTTGACCTCTTCAACTTTTTCAAATCGGCTAACTTCAACTCGCATTTTGGAAAGAAATTCAAGAAATTCACTAGTTCGCTTTGTAATTTCTTCTTCAACTTCATTTGAAGGATAATGAACGGGCTTTGGTTGAATAAAAGTGAAATTGTCTCTGAATGTACCAGTTATACAAACAGGATAATAACAATTTTCCTCGAATTTTAAAGTTGATGGTTTGTATCCACACAACGGAAGCCTTGAGAGAATATCTCTAACCATTGGTGGAATAGCAATAAGAGTTTGATCATCAGTAATCGCTCTTTCAATTAAACTATTGTTCTTGATTAAATATTCAGTAAGATCAACTCCGTCTGGCATTATGATTGAGATTCTCATTTCTTTAAGAGATAGATAATTGATCCAATTCATTACACATTTATGGTCAATGATTAGCTGATGAATGTGGTGCTGAATTTGTTCAGCTTCTCTTCCTTGGGCATTTGATTTACAATTAGCAAGAAGTGCATGAAGAGCTAATTTAGGTATTTCTGGATGGAATACTTGAGAACTCATTTCTTCCTTTTTAACTGGAACTTCATTCCCGTAATCAACGAAACGAACAAAAGTACGATCTTCATCTAATGGATATAAAACCTCAGCTCGATTCCAAGTTTTGTCGAACTCGAAAAATGCTGTACAAGCTCGTCCGTAAATAGTATCACCATCAAATGGTAACAATTCATCTTGATCTTTTAATGCATTGGTGATAGAACGATTGATAACGTTGATTAATTGAGGACCTTCTATTCGATGAATACGGAACCAGATTTTCAAATTCAGACCAACTTCTGTTGGTAAAGCAATGAAAGATTGTTCTTGAGGCTTTTCTGGTTCTTTATAAAATCGCACAGTGGTATTATCCATTTGCCGTTGAACGGCAGCTCGTGCATTACGAATGTACCCTAAAACTGAGTCGCCCTTTCGATTAGTAAAAGGTATGAGAGACCTTTTAACTGGGATGTTTTCTTCGATGGGATTATCATGGTGATCGTCCAGATCAATTTTCCTACAAAGACAAAATAAATGTGATATTAGATTCGCTTCTTCTTGCAATGTACCTTATAAAAAAACTCAGATAAACTTTTATCTAATTACTTACATTGTTGGAATAGCAAAACCTTTAGTTATCAGTAGGCTTTGAAATGAATAATATTTTGAATGATCTCTAGCGAGACCATCGGGAATATAACAGTTTCTCGCAATCAAATCAATTGGAACAGATTGAGTTTTATCTGATGGAAGACGCTTTTCGACAACTTCTACAAATAATTCTTGTTGATAATTTTTCAGTAATACAGCAAAACCTTCAAGTGCTGTTTTAGTCCAGGGACCACCTCCGGCGGGTAAAATATCACAGATATGACATTTGATACAAAAATCACCATCTTTTAAATATGTAGAGTCAGCAGGTAATTTGAAGATGTGTTTCCTTGCTACCTCTTTTTCATAACCAAAGTCTCTGGCACGAACAATGTATTTTGTCGAGGCTTTATCTTGAGCAATTTCGCTATCTCCATTTTCAACAAATCCAATGATTTCATCTTCGACCTTTTCTCTTGAAACGATTATTCCTCTTCTCCATATAACATCGAACTCCTCGACTTGAGCATAAACAACCGGTTCATTTTCCATCAGTCTGGGTTGTATGATCGGAACAGGATTATCCAATTTCTTGTGAAAATCATCAACCAACTTATTCTCATAGCAAACGAAATAACTTCTAACTTCAGGTGTTGTCAATTGAACGTAGATTTCATCAGGAGAGATCCAATGAGAAACTCTTACTTTTATATAAGAATCTTCCTTGGATGAATTAGCTTCTCGGTTGCGAACGACCAACTCATTCAAAATACTAAAACCATTGACATCAAAATCTTCCAAAGCTTTGAAAATACGATCATCTAATTTGGTACTATACTGAGAAATGGTCGCAGTATCACCAGGAATTTCAGTAATTGGACCAGAAGAAATAGCATATTTCAGACTAACCATTGCGACATTCACAGAAATATATTCAGTTCCAGTATAACGTCTAAGGTTAACAATATGTTTACCTCTATGGTCGTAATCAGCAACAGATATATTGAAAAGATAACTATTACCAGAGGGACCGCCGAAACAAAGTTCTTGAAATTTACCAACTGCCTGTAAGCGAGAAAAAAAACAAAATTAAGTTTAAACTATTCGATTAACAAACAATTTAAAAATCAAGCTTTTGCTAAATTTGGATGCTATAAATAGCTAATTAGTATTACCTCATCTGACCAATTGAATTTAATTGGTTCGATATCTCCTAATTTACACGGGATTGCATGGACTGGTTGTTTCAAAATTCCTCTTTAATTAATCGTAGATTAGCAACTTCTAAAACTTTAGTAGTACCAAAGTCAACAAATAGAACTTCAACTCTATCAGATTGTAATAATTTTATTATTTCAACTCTGTAAAAGGCTCCATCATCCAATCCAACACAGGGCATTCCTCTTCTGGGCACGTAAACAATAAAAGGCGCATCGTTATGTTCAAAATAAACTTTCAAAGATTCATGCAGCTCATGGAACTTTTCTTGCAACGAATATCGAGTAACATAAAAGAGATCAGGATTGGTGATGGCTGTAATAAGAACAGTTTCTGCTACGTTGGTTGGAATTTTTTCGGGACGATTGAAGGAAATTCGGTCTGAATCAAGATCAAATTCTGGAACATGTCTTGCGCTGTGTGTATTTGTAATAATAACAAGTTGACAACCAAACAATGCTTCCCTTAAACCTAACATATTGCGAACACCGTGAGGAGTTTCATGGTGATACAGGTCGATCCAATGTTTATCGCCAGTTACTTTATCGATTCGCATTTCCATCAAATAGTCTCCACAAATTTCTTCTATTTTTTCGTTTACTTCTGTTGTCCATTCAGCTTGTCGTGGACCAACATTATTAACTGCACATTTAAGTGCAAGATATGGCCATTTTTTTTTATCAAAAATTTCCTCAAATGGTTGCCTTATCATTGTATATGATACTCTATAAGGTCCACCATAATCTAACAGTTGAACATCAACGGAAATCGAGGTGTAGAAATTGTATGCAGATGGTACTGATTTTCCAAATTCATGTCTTTTTCGATTTGCTTTCTCTGTATCAGCGTTGACTTTAAGTATATAAGCTCGAGCCCATTTGTTTACTTCTCCGTAGAAAACAAAAATGAATTTACCAGGTTTAATTGTGTTAACGGGAGGTGGATGGGTAAATGTTTTTGTGCACCATTTTTCAATTTCATCAAACATTTTTCTATTACAAGCTTCATCGTCCCAAAGGATACAGTAAAAGTGATGTGGATTAAAGACTCTGCCCAGTTTAACATAAACTGTCCTTCTCTCTGGGATAACCTTTGATTTCAAGATGTCAGCTTTCAAATTTGGCAAGTCGCTTGATGATGATGATGTTCCCGGTGCTGGTATTTGAGGTATATGATGAGGTGGTGATCTAAATAATGGTAATGGTTCCCGAAAAGAATTTGATTCGGAACCGATAACTTCAACGGTAAGTGTTGTCGCTTTCTCGTTGTTTTTTAAAACCAAACTACCTTTAATCACTTCTTTCACATAATCATCTAAATGAAAATTAAATTCATCAGCGATTTCATAATTTCTCCAGCTGATTCGACTTGGTTTGGCAGTCAATTCTTTTAAAATGTTACGTTTCTTTGTTAAAAGATCCATTGTACCATGTTCTAGTTGAAAGGTATCACTGATTGAACGACGAACAGAATATAAGTGTTTCTCAACTTGAGATAATTCTTCTTTACGTGTTGAATAGATTTCCTCAAATTTAGATATACCTTTCATCTCCTCCAATTGAAGTAACGAGTGTAAAACTTGAAATTTATCTCGAAGACGCATTTTAGCTTCGTAAAATTCCTTGGATAATTTTTTTTCCAAATTCCCAATAACTTTTAAACTAGATCCACACTCGGCATGAGTAGAAACAGCACTATGCATGGCAACAATTAGAGGTATTGTTTTATTACGTCTCGCAGGAGGAATCAAAGCATCCAGCTTGACATTTTCTTCATCTTGTCCTCCCTTAGAGTATTTGAAGCTATCACTCATTTTGGGTAGTTCATCTATTAAAGAAACACATGAAGTCACAGAGAAAAAAATGAAAACAAGAAAACAAAAAGAAAAAATTAATCGAAAACTTTAGAATAGAAGAAGAAAACAAGAAGTACAGTAAAATACCTGGTGAGGTAACAGTTCTAACTGGAGAAGCTGTTATAAGTTCTTCACAAAAAGCCAGGCCAAATGAGTAAGCGTCTATTGGTATCTCAGTGGCAAAACCATTATTAATACGATTTATTTGGGTATCATTGCTTAGTGAACATCCTTTGATTGAAGTGTAAGCTCTTGCAGAAAACGTCGTCTTAGTATTACATTGATCACAAATGAGAGACCTTTCATCTCTTGCAACAACCATGTAGAGACATTTTTCACATAAACTATGTCCACAACTAAGAATATATTGAGGCTCAAAGCGATTCGGTAAATCCTTAATATCCACACTATCATCGTGAGGTAAACAGCGAGCACGACATTCATTGTTTGCACAGAGAAACATACTAACCGTTTACTTTTACTGGCCAGTAAGTGAAAACAAAACAAACGAAGAAGACAAAAAGAAACAAGTCAATTTTTGTAAATCAACCCGGTTAATCTAATTAATCCAGTCAATGGTTCACAATTACGACAACAATAAATCACCGATATTATAATAATAAGTACTAAGGATGATGAATTTATGAGAATGCGAAAAAAACCAAGAGAGGAAGAAGAAAAATTAAAGTAATCAACAAATGTCGTTACTCTTTTAACTTAATGATGAGATTAACTAATAACATTTAAATTAAATCAGTTAATCCAAACAATTTAACTCTATTGTTGATCCAATCACCAATTAACTTAATGATCAAACTAAAGAGTGAAAGTGATTAGTTAACTAAATTTGATTGGTAACAATAAATAAATTTAATTCTTTAACATGTTAACACAATTTTCGCACAAAAATCAACCGGTCAGATTTTTTTCTTTTTCAATTTTTTTTCTATTCTCTTTTATTCTCTGTCTATTTTACTGTCTATTTTTCTATTTCATTTCTTCTTCTAAAGGGTTAGTCGTGCCATCTGTTGATTGATACCAACGAAAAAAAGTTAATTGTGATTCTAATGTTGTCAAAATTTTAATTCTTTCTTTTAATTTATTTCTTATTGAATTTGTTTTATTAACTTACAATTTAATCTCTTTAATTGTTAATTGTTTGTGCCTATTGATAAAACAAAACAAAAGTAAACTGATTAATCCTCTTAATCGGTTATTAATCTTTAGTCATCGCCAGTGTTGTTAACCCATTGGTTACTTTTTTTTTTAATTTGCTTTTCTCACTTAATTTTGTTTATAATGTGATCATTTTGATCTTGATTAGATAATTTTAATTATATAACTTTCACGTTTAGTCATCCTGTTGATGTTTATCTAATGGTCATCAATGTGATCTCTTCTTGTCCAGTCTGGTTTTCATTTTTTGGTGAGTACAAATTTGTTATTTTCACTTAGGCTTTGGATTTTTTTTCCATTTTTTTTCTTCTTGAAAAGTAACCAAAGGATAAGGTGATAGATTTGATTAGATTCGCCATTTTTGCTTTCATTTTGCTTTCTTTATTTATAAGGAAGTTGTGAGAAACAAAATCTGATACAAGTTTGATAAATTGTCTGGATAGTTGTCACATAATCAGTTAAGTTTATTAGAGAAAAGAAATAAAATTGAAAAGAAGAAAAAAAAAGAAAGATATTATCTCTTGTTTACAGTTGAATGTACCTTGAAAATTTTTCGATATGACGATTAGTTTCTCTCATGAATAGTTTATATTACTCACTTTTAAATTATTCTTTCATTTTTGTCTTCTTCTTTTCTCCATCTTATTTGGTTCCTACCTTTTTTATCGTTCTTTTCTCTCTTTTTCATCCCATTTCTCCTCCTTTCGCCCCTTAGCCAACCTGGAATCAACTGAACCTGTTTTCTATTGCACCGTTACCATGTATCGAGCTAATACTGAAGATGCCCCCGAAAAATTGGTTCAAGATGGATCCCTCTCTCTCTCTCTTTGCTCACACAACCTTTTCTCCATTTCCAAGCCCTCTCCCCCCTCTAAATTTCTTCTGTTTATACTGTTATTTTGCTCACTCTGACCTGCCTTCTCGCCTTCTATTTACTTCCTAGTTCAAGGTAAGATCATCATCTCAAGATCATTTCTTACTTCTTAGTTTGGTGTCTACATATCAACTTGACTTTAAACTCTTCTCCTTTAATTACGGTTAAATTCAGTTTCGTTAACAACAACAACTCCAATCAACTAACCATGAAGTCCGTTATCTTAAGTGTTTTCCTTGTGGCAATGGTTTTCGCCGTTGTCTCAGCTTCCGTTGATACCTCAGCTCAAGCTCGTCAGGCTGCTTTCAATGAGCGAAAGGCTCGTTTTGATACCGAAAAGAAGGAAATTTCCAGTTTCATGGGTACTAAAAACTTATTCAAAACTGTTTTGAAAATTTTGTTTGGTTCTAACGAAGAAAGTACCGCTACATCTCGACAAGTTCTCAATGTTCTAGTTGAGGTAAGATTATTTTAAGAAAATTATTTCTTTTTATCAAATGTTTCGCATTTTCTATCAAAAATTTTATCTTCAACTTTTTATTTGTTTTCCCGAAAAAAAAAGGTTCTTGATATGGTTCGAAGTTCATTCAGTCAAAAGGCTCGAAGTTCATCTTCACGAGGATTAAAAGATACCGTTGATGGAGCCGCTTTCGCTGGTGCAACCATGTTACGTGGTTACGTTAAATCATATTTAGCTGGCGATGATCATTGTGCTCAACGACATTTGTGCGAATCATCAAAAGAGGCTGCACGAGAAGGACGCGAACTCGGTGGTGTTGTAGCTCAAGTTGGAGGGTAAGTTTCAGTTCAAATTCATCTTTTTGATACAAAATATTTTCCTCTCTCACTGTTCACGACCAACAATCAAAAATCACCAATTTGATGATAGTCATTAAATGGAAAACCTAAATTTAGGTCGTTTTCCTTGAACGCTTCAACAAAATCTATTTATTCAATTTAAGAATTGAATCTTTTTCTTTCATCATCTCTGAATTTAAACAGGACAAACTTTACCTCAAATCCTATTTACCAATTTTTTGACCTTTTTACTGCTCTCTCTCTCTCTCTCTCTCTCTTTCATTCTTTCTTTTTCGCCTTTATCATCCGCATCTTTTCATCATCTAACTATTTTCTCATCTCTTTCTTTTTCCATCTTCTAAACAACAGTTATGCCACTAGCTACCTTCTTCCCCATCAAAAAACTATCCCATCAAGTGCCGTTAGTGAGGCCGTTAGACGAGGACGAAGCAACGAAGATTGTGCTAAGATCTACTCAAATTGTAACGAAACCTTGTAAAACAATTAACTAACACCAATCTACGACCAACCCACCTTAAAACAACACACGAAATGAGCTTGGACTATTCTTGGAAACTTTTGATTGAAATCAATCAGAATATACATTTTTAATTTAATCTTATTAACGATGATCAACAATTTATACCACCGATTTGACTAGTTAACTGAAAAAAAAAATTGAAAAAAAACTAAATTCAGTTTCCTAATCTAAAACCTAAATTACAAACAAACAAACAAAAAACAATTTAAATTAACAGTAAAGATTGATTAATAAAAAGTTTCATAAGTAAATTAAAAATCATCTCAAATTTTCACAACTTTTCTTATAAATCATCAGACCAATAAAACAAAACAATTAACTAATAACGGATTTCGTTCAGAACAATAATCAAATCAAATCCATTATCAGAATTTAAACTCCAATAATTATCAACCATGAAAACTAATTGTTTATTCAGAAATTGATATTATCCAGTTGCTGGAGTTACAACGGTTAATAAAAACTTTTGGAAATCAAATTGATTGTCTCAATAATAATAATAGAGTCAAATTGTTACAAGTAAATTGCCAATATAAATTGAAAGGTATCACTTTCAGCAAGATGAATTGTGATGAACTTACAATGAATGTTGAACAATTAAAACGATGATCACGGTTAAGGTCAAGGCTTGAGAAGTTGATGATATTAATAAATGGTAACATTAATTATTGTGTACTTACAGTAAACAATTTAAAGCAAACCAGACCAGTTATTCAGGAAGTGGGTAACAATTCCGACCTTGATTATCTTCAGGCAAAGCTTCATTAACCTTTCCGTGAACTTGATGATGATGATGATCTTTTTTTTTCTTACCATGAGGAATAGAAAAGGAAGATGGTGAAAGGGAGAAAAGAAAAAAAAATCAGTTGATCAGGAATCAGAATGGTAATCATTTTAGGGAATTAATTGTCCAAGTCATGGTTTCCATTTAATCATCAGTTTGACAAATATTCTTAGGCCAAGACACAATATAGACAAAGAAAAACATTACGACTGGTTAACCATTTAGATACTTTAATAGGTCCAATAAACGTATCTATATTTTATATAGAAAAGAAATTGTCTCATCACAATCAGTAAATTGTTGTTGCCAAAAAATTTAATCACTAAATTAGAACAATTAACTGTTAAGACAAAGAGAAAATGATTCTCAACAAAGAGCCGCCATTGTGGATTTTGATGGTACACTGGAAAAAGAGAAGATTATTTGTAGTTTGGAAGAAGATCTTTGTAGAATTTGATATTCCTTCCATGTCGATACGAAAAAAAAAATCGAGAGAGCTTGCTAAGAATTAAATTAAAAGATTTTAATTAAAGGAAAAGTTGATTAGAGAAAAAAAATATTTTCTTTTAAGAGAAAAACCAAATAACCGCGTTGACTTTGTTTTCTTTTTTGTTCTATTCTAAGGTCGATAGATGTCGACACTTATTCTCAGGCGAAAATAAGATTGATATTGATTAAAATAAGTTCTCTAATTAATCTAATAATTAAGTAATTGTAAATTCTAATAAAGTATAAATTCTGATAAATTGTGACTCCCTACCTTCTGGGGCACACGTTAATATATAACTTGTTTCAGTATCTCCTCTTTGAGTGTCTAATTTACCTCTGAAGAAAATCAACATGTGCAACGGCCACGTGGCTCCAGGTGATAGTGTCTCCAACTCTTCTGCGAAAGAAGATTTAAAGTCTCAAATCACTGAACTTTTCAATGAAATAATCACCAACACCCTTCAAGCTGCCAAACAAAGATCGCAAGGCAAATGGACGAAAAGCCTCAACAACATCCTGAGTGCAGTCGACAAATCCTTTGGTAATCAACATCTGAACCAAACTGACAGTTCATTTGACTATAACAAGATCATGGAGAAAATGGAATCGATCGAGAAGAAAATTGATTCTTCATCAAGTAAAACATATGCTGATGTTTTAAAGAAGAAACCGATATTTACCACCGTAATCATCAAGCCGAAAAAACCTGATACAAATGTTGAGGAAGCTCATCGAAAGATTGTCAGAGCCACCAAAGATGATTCGAGTATGCATGTCATCAACACATCGTCCAACTCAAGAAGCATTAGGATAACATCTGATGATAAGAACATGGTGTCCAAAATACGGGAAAAAGTCAAAGATATTGGATTGGAGGAGGAAGTAGACGTTGGATCGCTTAAGAAGCTCGACCCTCAGATATCGTTTATAATTGATGAAGATCAACTGGAGTCAGTTGATAAGTTCAAGGCCAGAAACGATATCCCAGAGGAAATGGAAGTCACCATAGTAAACACTGTCCCCTTTCGAAGTAGAAAGAATCAAAGTAAACTCAGAATCGTAATTCGAATGGCGAGAGAAGCACGTCAGAAAATCGAAAATAGAGACTTTGTCTTCATGGGTTCACAGAGTGCACCGTATAAAAATGACTTCTACATCAGATCGTGCTCAAACTGCAACAGATTCGGTCATTCTACCAAATTCTGCAACAATCAACCTCAGTGCTACAAGTGTCCTGAAAACGACAATGTACACTCATCCAAACAATGCGAAAAAGAAAATCAAATGAGCGGATGCTCATTCTGTAAAAATAACAACATAAGTGACAATCAACATGCACCTAGAAGTCCACAATGCGTCTCATTCAACAACTCCATCAACCTCATCAAATCGATAACCGACTGGGACTATGAAGATTAAATTAGTCGCAAGAAATTGTCAAAATGCAATCATCAAAACACAGGCAATTGTAAATAAAATAGCAACCAATGACGCAGTGTTCATTCAAGAACCAAACCATAAACTCATATCATCCATCCAAACCAACTCAGTCATCAACATGAACAATAGAACTATCATCATCACCCCCAAATCGACAACCATAGCAACCCTTAAAATTGGCCAAGCCTCAGTCATCACAAGGATCAAACTTGGACCTACCAAAATCACCCTTGTATCAACATATCTGTCACCGTCCATTACCACCGCTGCCTACAAAGAAGAAGTAGACAAGCTCTCTAGAGCTCTACTTGGCTTTAAATCATCACTAATAATATTCCAAGGAGATGTAAACGCAACCAATGAGAACTGGTCATTCAAACCCTCAAGTCACTCGTCCTCGATCGAAAGAGGGAGACTTATGGCCACGATGCTTGACTCAGCTGATCTTATTCCTGTATCTCCAAATGAAAGTAATTACACCTTTATTAACCCCCAAGGAGCTAAGTCATGGATCGATGTAGTTGCTACGAATTGCAGTAAACTCTTCAGCCAATCTTCTCTCAGTGTTAACTTGCTAGAGACCGATTACGATCACCGACCCATGGAGATTGCATTGGATATCTTAGGCAGGAAAAGCGAGAAAAGCGAGATTGAAGTGATTGACTGGAATAGAATTGAAAGAGAGAATTGCGACATCATTAGAAACCTTCCATCTCTTGAGCTACTGAAAACAAACGAAGACCTCGAGACATTTGTATGCGACTGGGTTAAGAAGCAACTTGAGGTGACCACCAAGGCTCGGAAGACGATAAAGAAAAAATCCTTTATCTCGACCAACTTGGACGGACAATTAATCAAGGAAATGAAAAGAATCAAATTGATTTGTAGGAATTATCCAACTGAAGCGAATCTACTTATCTTAAAGAACAAAAAAAGAGAAGTTCTAAGGGCACTGAGTGAGAAACTCAGGGAAAAATTCGAATCAAATGATCCAGTTGAGAAATGGCGCAACATCAAGTCGCTCATTGCAAGATACGCCGAACCTCATGAAGACTATATCATTAATCTTAAAGAACTTGAAAAAGACTATCATGAGCACTTGATCACTGATCTCAGGCCAGAAGTAAACAAAATATATGATCTCAAACCCTCCGTTTCGATAACTTATCAACCTTCAAGCGATCTAAAAAGAGTATCACCTGGTCTCGATCTAATTACAAAGCCAATAATAGTCAACATGATAAAGGAGAATGAACAATTTTACGAGCGACTCCTTGGCCTTCTCGTTGCTAACTCAATCATACCTTGGGCATGGAAAATTACGAGATCGGTCAATATACCAAAATCAGATGGCAAAAGAGTTCGGACGATACAATGTGCATCCAGTCATCTCAAATTGCTCGAATCCCAAATTCTTACCAGTTTAACCTCCAAGATTCCAAGACAACTATTTAACCATCAATTTGCTTATCTGGCTGGCAAAAGCACAACTGATGTCACTGTGGAAATCTATGAGCACATTATCACCAAGGGATCACCACCATTCATCATCCAATCAGATATAATCGGGGCATTTGATGAAATTCATCATGAATCCATCCTAAGAGGAGTACTAAAGATTGATAACTCACCTCAAATGATGAAGTTTATCATCTCCTTTCTATCTAGCCGCCGCACTGGGTACATCAAAGGCAACTCCATCTACACCAAGAAAACTATTCGCGGTGTACCCCAAGGATCAGCCCTTGGTCCATTACTTTTCATAATCGGAATCAATGAAACGATCAACTCATTCTACCTCGAGACTCTGACTGATTTCGCCAACTCCAGATTCTACTTGACAACACACAAGCTCATGGTATATGCTGATGATTTGTTCGTTAGCCTAGATATTCCGATAACACTTCTTAAGTCTAATACCAAAAAGTACTACCAAGAAATAATAGGTGATCTCAACATGAGACTAAACAAAATTGGTCTGTCAACAGCCGACAACAAAAGTAAGCTAATAACAACAAAAGCGGTGGGAAAATTTATCTCGGGAAATGATATCAATTGGTCTGAAGATGCCATTATTCTGGGCTTTCCCTTCTCAGCCTGCAGATCAAAAAACTTCATCGATACAAGTACATTGATTAGTCAACTGAACTCACAATCAAGGAAGTTCAACTTTGCAGCAGGGACAATTAAATCACTTCCCCTATCAACGGTCTTGACCATCAATGATGCGCTTATAAGATCGCTCATCATCCCTCACTCTGTTATGATTCTCGCCAACCTGATACCCACCTCGGCTGTTCATAGGGAAATAGAGAGAGCAACCGGAAAGCTGATTAGGACAAAGCTCGGGATAAAAGGATTAGACTCGTGGTCACTCAACTATGAACTGTTCAACTACCAATCGACGATACTGAAAATGATCTCGATAACGAGCAAATACCTTCTCACCAGAGATCTACCCTCTACCAGAATGAAACTCCAAGTTACATTCCCTGAATGTCTACCCAAAGTTTCAAGTTGTAAAACTTGGCTTGGAGCCAATTCTCTTGCGAGAGAAGCTGTACTAGAATACAAAGAGAAAGTGTGGAAAACAAAGTACAAGGACAACATCTCTGCAAATACAATCATGGCGACGAGAAAGAAAGTATGGTATCGAATGAACTTTATGATCAGACTGCTGCAAGGATCATTCAATTTCATGATGAAGGAGAGATGCGAATGTGGCTCTCGTATCAACGATCATATTCACCTCATCAGCCACTGTCCAATTTTCGCACCAACAAGAAAAAATATCATCGAAAATGACAAGAACGAAAACATTCTCAAATACCTCATCGAACATAATAACCTCCACACCAAGAACCATCTTAATGAAATATTTAATTATATATACAAAAGGAAACATTATTCACCCTCAACATCAATAATCTGAATTTACTTCTCCCCTTTTATTATTATTCTTATCTCACCACTCATTCACCATCTCACCCCTCACCCCACTCTCCTACCACCTTAAACACCTAAACTCATTTTATCATATATACACACCTCACCCTAAGTAATTCAAATTGTACAAATAATCACTTACCAACAATATTGTAACCACCAAGAGCCGGCGCCACATAAGCTGCTCTTACACTGCCCAGGAAGGCACCCTAACTAAATAAAATAAGAGAAAATGAAATTTACTTTGTCTTTTTGTGGAAAAAATTAAACAACAAAAAAAGAAAACAATCAAAAACCAGGAACAATTAGAGATGTTTAGCTCGATTAATGTGATTTATTTTAGGAGACAATTTAATCACCTTGTCCCATTATCTCTCTAGATGGATGACCATTAATATTAATTCCTTTGTTGGATTTTATTGTGATATACATTTTGTGTTTCTTTTTTTTCTCTTCTCTTTTTTTTCTATCTCTCTATCTTTCACTTGACTCTCTATCTCTATCTCTCTCTCTCTCTCTCATCATCATCACCACCATTATTATTACTATTATCATCATCATCTTTCCTTCTCTTCTTCTTGTTGTCTTCTTTATTCTTTATCCTGATTGTTATTCTATTGTGAACCTGAGAAGAGTATTTCATCTAGAATTTGGAATCTCTGATATGAGCTCGTACTCAAGTAGTCAAGTTGGTTCACAGCTTAGTCGACCTGGTGGTGGTGCTCAAAAGGCGATAAAAAGAAGCCGTGAAAGAGATAGAAGCCGAAGTTCAATGAAACGTCATGCCTCTGGTGATTGGGCTGAATATATTAGTTCATCGGGTAAAAAGTATTATTACAATTCGGTGACGGGTGTATCTCAATGGGAGAAGCCAAAAGATTTTATCCTTCATTCTGGTTTAGAGGATGATGATGACGATCAACCAGATAATAATGTTGGTGTTGTTTCCATTAATAATAATAGTAATAACAACAAGGATAAATATTTTACCTCTGTTGCTTCTTCCGTTCCAAGGAAAATAGAGAAAACATCTTCTACACCAGGTAGTTTAAAAGATAGTGAAGATTCAAGGAGAAGGTTACATGATGATGTTGATTCTACCCCATTGGATGATGCCAGTGACATTAGTGCTGATGAAGAACCATTTGTCAACAGATATGGTACCAATTCATCTAACCTGGATGATAAAGATTATCACAAGTCAACTTACCATCATCCAAATAGATATTCTTATGATAAAGTGCCCAATGTGAGAGAAAGAGGAATTGATAGAGAGAGGGAAAGAGATCGTGATAGAGGTGACAGAGAGCGAGAGAGGGAAAGAGAAAGGGATCATGATCGTGAAAGGCCTGTAAGAGATGTTAGAGATCGAGATAGAGATCGAGGCCGTGAACGTGAACGTGAACGAGAAAGAGTCCATAAAAGGGAAAGAGAAAGAGAGATTGAAAGAAGAGATCGAGAAAGTGGAGGCCATAGAGATCGAGAAAGAGAACGTGACCGTGATAGAGAGAGAGAAAGAGATAGAGATAGAGAATATGATAGAGATAGAGAAACTGACCCATGGTATGATAGAAGAATGGACGGTGTTAGATTAGAAAGAGATCGTGAAAGAGAAAGAGAACGTGAAAGGTTAATTAAACGAGATAGAGATAGAGAACGTGAAAGAGAACGTGAAAGACCAAGAGAGAGATATTCTTCTGAGAGATCGAGAGAGAGAAAGAGAAAGAGAACGTGAAAGAGATCGAGATCGAGATCGTGACTGTGATCCAAGGTACGAGAAGCGAATTGACTTGGTGAGAAACGAATCCAGATATTTGGATAAAAGAATTGACCATAACAAATGTAATGACCAGCGAATGGATATGATGCTAATTAAAAACGATAATCGTCAATTAAATGATCCAAAGGAGAACCGATTAGATCCAAGAGATCCAAGAGGAGGTGCAAGTTCACTATTAAGATCATCATCACATTCAGATAATTATAATCATTCGGAGCCGATTGAGGAAAAAAGTCTCAGCGATGGGATTTGTGCCAATATGCAAACCCACCACGGAAGCAGTTCGAGTAACCACAATTCCAGTGGAAGCAATAACATGACATCACCAGGATATGTAAATGAAAGTGTTTCATCTAAAGAACAATTGGTTAATTCGATTAGTGAAAGAACTGTCAATCGAAATTCACTTTCCAATTCTCATCTAAACTCTTCTTCCGAAGGTACTAGAGGAGATCGAGGAGGAGGAGGAGGAGGAGGAGGAGAAACTAATACCATCAACAACACCATTTCCACCAATACAAACAATTGCTCAACCTCAATACCTCCACCAGCAGATCTTTTATCACCTTCTCAAGTTAATTTAACCAATTTACCTAAATTAATTAACCAATTAACCAATTCCCATGGATTACCTGATTTATCGGGTCTTTCACCTCAAGAAGCTCTTCGAACCATCCAACAAGCTTTACAATTAACCAAACAAGTTAAACAAAGATCGGCTAATCAGCAAATTGCAAATTCTCAAGGAATCTGGCCTAATTATCTTTCTAATGTTAATAAACTCTCATCACCCTTGAATCATAATTCTATGCATAATCAAGGAACCATGAGAGAGTCTCCATCATCACTTTCTCATTCTCGTCAACATTCATGTAAGTCTAAACTCTCCTTAAATCACCACAATTAACTGACAATATATCTAATCTAGACTTAGAATTAAACTAAATTGTTCAGTTTTATTGCATGTCAAATATTGAAAATAATTCAAGTGTTTCAATAACCAATTTTATTAACTTGTTAATGTTTATTATCAATTTGTTGACTCAAGTTAATCAGATGTTTATTTTTGACAATCAAATTTGAACTAATTTTTTTTTTGTAACTTTTTTTCTGTTTCTTTTTTGTTTCTTTAGCTTTATCATCATCCACTGGAAATACATCTCAATCTCATTCATCTCACTCTAGACAGTATCAACAATCACATCTTAGTCAATCCAGGCATCATCACCATTCATCCTCTCAAGTCCAACAACAACAACAACAACAACATCAACATCACTCCAACATTACACAATCAGCTCAATCTTCATTATCACAATCATATAGCCATCATCAAAGTGCTGATGGGATTAGGCATGAGCTTGATCTTCTTACCAATCGTAATTGGGCTCAATCACCTGGTTCCGATGTAAGTGTTGATTCACCGACTCGAGGACCTTCATCCGTTTCCAGTATTCCAACTGGTATTGGGACAACATCCTTAAAACCCTCAGTGCCTAGTTTAACACCTTCATTGGTAAATTATTTTGATGAAAGTTTGATTGGTCATGTTACTGGTTGGCCAGGAGAGATTATTGAAAGAGAGGTTAGTCAATTACTAACTAATAATTGAATCAATCAAAATCAATCTCAACATTAATTATCCTGTACTTTTTTTTTGTCACTAATTAGATTAAGAAATTATCTGAGGAAGCCCATGAAGTTGGTAGTCTCCATTCAACTAGAGTATCAGCTGAACTTAAAATGGCTCGATCTTTGGTTCGATTTACTGAAATTCAAGCAACATTACAAGAGCAAAGGTATTTTTTTAAATGATTAATAGAAAAATATGATTTTAAATTGTTTGCAATCGACTAATCATTTTCTTTTTTTTTCTTGCTTCTTCTCAATTAGGATTCTCTATATAAGTCGGCAAATAAACCATGTTGAAGAATGGAAAGGAACCAATCTAGCCACACATTCTTAATTATTGTTTAATTTAATTCTTCCTTCATCATCATCTTCATATCTACAAACACATCTTATCCTTTCTATTAAGTTGCTGATTCTTTTTCGCTTTCGATTCACTGGTTCATCTCTTGTCTTTTCATTTTCATGATGAAAATTAACTCCACTATCTCATGCAACATAAACAACAACAAACACACAAATAATTTGTAAATATAATCTAAATTAAGAAATTTATATTAAGGAGAAACAGAAACAACAACTGAAACAATAACAATCATCAAGTCTTTTACTTACAACATTCAAAGGAAAAAGAGGAAACCATGGAAAAGCATTTAATTGTTAATTCAAATCAAAGGACCTATCGATGCAATTGAACGATAGCAATTAGAAGATGATATGATATGAACACTTTTCGATCTGTTGGTTAAAACTTATACTTCTTAATTGCTCTCCAAGAAAGAAACTACAACTTCATCTAAAGGATCAAAATAAAACTGTGTTCCCGCTTCATGATGGACTAATCATCAACCATTAACTCTAAACTGTTACAAACAATTGAATGAACAACTATTTACTATATACACAATCAACATGGTCACCATAACTTCTGAAGATTAGTTGTAAACTAAATTTCATGGAAATTCGTGAACAGTTAATCTTCTGATTGCTCTTTCAAACAACGTTATGAATGATTAAGCGAACGAAAAAATTAACCATAAAGATCCAAATGATTGCATCAACTTTTCCACCACCACCAAGGAGTTTCGTCGAAATCCTTTAACCACTTCCTCTATTCTCTCTCTCCACTAAACGTTAACTGCTCTCGATTCAAATTTCTCAGTTTCTCAGAACTTTTCCTCTCTCAATTACCAGAAAACCATTTCCATTTTTCTCTCTCTCTCTCTCCCTCTCTCCCTCTGTCTTTCTATCTTCTTATCTTCCTCTCTTTCTATCTCTAATTGATGTAAACATTGTTTCTAAAATTGATATTATTTTCTCGTAAGAGAATCAAAAAAAAGAGAAACCGATACACAAATATAAGATTCTAAAGATGCTGTTGCGTTTTTAATTCTTAATTTGACATTTAAATTGTTCCTTCAACTGATTAACTGTGATCTTAATACTCATTATCATGAATAATATACAACAACAATTTAGCGAGAAAAAAACTTATCCTCTTCCCCATTAACCAAGAGCAAAACAATTAACAGAGTAATTTGATCAACTGTTAATAGTTGACCCATAATTAGTATAATTATTACATAGTTTATGATAATTAGTTTAAATTGCCACTAATAAACTCCTTAACAATTTACCACAATTAAAGAAAATTTTTACCATTTATGAAAAGAAGAAAGTTAATCGGATTAAATGCAATTAAGTAAATTATTGATTCTCTTTTTGTTTGATTTTAATTAATTTGCTTAATTTTAAATGGACACAAAAAGCTATACACACAAATGAATAGATGATTCAAGGTTTTTATCACTTAGTTAATTGTAGATTTTGGTTGCGCTCTTAATTGTTGGTTAGATAATCAGTAATCAGAGGGTAAGTACACACACTGATTTTTATACAACAATTAACATTGGAAAAATAGAGAATCAATTAAATTAGAGGAAAAGAAAAACAATAATTAAGAGGAAAATTTACAAAAATTTAGGAGAAAAACAATTTTGAATCTTGTATTAATATGTGAACAGAAATTGAAGATTAATTATTGGAGAGACAATCAAGAGATAATGAGTAATTAACTATTTAGATAATTAAATAAATATATTATTGATCCATATTATGTATATATTTATAATTAATAATAATCTTAAATTTGGCAAACAAATAATTTCACTTAATTGTTTTCCAAATTTGCTTTTTTTGTTGTTGTTGTTGATTCTCAATGATTAATTAAATATATATTTAGTAAATTGTTTTAATACGAGATAAGAATATGAGAAATTAACTCTATCTTTGCACAATTAACTAAATATATAATTAGTTTGTATGGTTGATTGGTGAAAATCTTGTGATTGTTTCTCAATTTTCCTCAATGACTATTTCCAATTGATTGTAACAAAATGGCAACATTTTTTTCTGGAATTGTTGACAATTTGTTGCAATTATAATTAACTATTAGTTGAGAGTTTAATTCAACTAGGAATGGATGAGTAATACCAAAGAAAAGAGAGAGAGAAGGTGAATGATTAAAAACAGCAAAAAAAAAGATAATGATGATCAACTTAATTGGTGTTTGATTCTCAAACTTGATGTTAAATTGTTGAGAAAAAAATTGACAACAATTAAGCAACAATTGTTGATTGAGAGTGTGTGTGTGAGATGGATGCAGTTTTTCATGTATTTTAAATATATTGATGTTGAGATGGTTAAGTTTGATGATCATCGTTTCGTTTAAATAATTGTATTAATTGTTGGAAGGTTAATTAAATTATAATGGTTTTAAAATTTCTTGCTTCTCGAACTCGGTCCATGCATTGTTAAGTTCAACGAAAATTAATTTAGCCAATTGTTCATGTTCACTTCCAACAAGCTAAAAGAAAAAGAAAAAAAAAAGTTAATTTCAAATCAATTGTGGTCAAGTTTCCAATGGAAATTAAAATTGTGAACTAATCAATTAATCACCTTATCAGGGTGAACGGCAAGACAAGCCTTTCTGTACATCTTTTTAACATCATTGTGGCTCATTAATTGTTGTAATCCAGCTTGTTGCCAACTACAATCATCCCAAACGACGGTGTGAAGGGACGAAAGGAGAGCTCGAATATTTTTCTTCTTATTTTCTTTCCATTCATTTACTTTGATTTCGATTGGACTGATTCCTTCTCGTATCTAAAGAAATTGATTTCAAAGGGAACAAAATTTGTAATTACTTAAATGTCCCAAATTGAAAGGTAGTAAATTAATTGTTATTACCATCTCTTGCTTTTTCATTGCAGCCAATGATTTGTTTTGAGGTTCATTTTTGTGTTGCTTGGGAAAATCTGAAAGTAAATCTTCAAATTCAAATCCAGTAACTCGAGGTCCAGTTGCACTATTAGATGCATGAGATGATTCAGAAAAATAGGCTCGATTGTAATCAGGTTTATATCCTTGATTGTTAACTGAACCAGTAAAGTTACCACTTGCATTGGAACCATTATTTGTCGCTGAATTATGGAAAGGTTGGAAAGTTGAACATGATGAGACTCGAGGTATACCTGTACCAGTACCACCACTACCTTGATTAGTTGATTGATTTAATTTTTGATTTGTTGATGAGGTTGATGAGGATGTTGTTAAATTTGAAGGATTATTGACAAATGAACCAAGTTCACTTAGAGGATCAAGTTGAGTTAAATTAGGTGTTGATGTGTTTCGATGTAAACCTGGGAAAGCATTTATCAGATTTGGATTATTATTATTATTATTGGAGGAGGTGGCAGTTGGACTGGGGAAAAGTAGATCAGGCTTGGGTAGATGGGTGGGTGATATTGAATTTGTTTGATGGTGTTGTTGTTGTTGTTGTGATTGATTTTGTGACGTTGATTTATCAGTTGAGTTAAATATATCATTGAGAAGATCGAAGGCGGAATTAGCTCCTCCAACACCTGATAAATTTTCATTAACACCATTAGATGATGTTGATGGATCAATTAGGAGATCAAATGTACCAGTAGATGTGCTTGGATTAACATCATCAATGTGTCCATCAGAAGTTGATGATCCATCCAAACCCGTGGTTGTAGTTGTAGTTGTGGTTGTAAACAAGGAATCATTGAGGGAATGTTGATTGTTACCATTGTTATAATTATTACTATTTCGATTACTATTATTTTTGCTAATATTGTCACTTGGACAACGATCACTTTCATCTAAGCTAAGATTTAGTAGATCACCAACTGCACTTGCTTCTTTATGAGCGAAAACCTCATCAGCACCAATGGGAATTGAATCTCGATTACTAGTAGTAGTTGTATTTTCATTTGCTCGATTACATTTAGAACCATCAGAGTCTCGTCGAGAATCAATTATTGGATTATTAGGATCTCGACTTCGATATGAACCATCACTATGACGGTTTACAGATTCACGATTAAGAATTCGTTCATCATTACTACTAACAGGTCGACTACCTTCTCGCCTGTTAAATTGTGCATTATCTCCAAGAGTTGTTGGATTATTTTCTCTTCTATTATAAGGTTGACCTTCACCCGGTGTATTGGTTTCACCTTTTCGTAACTGTCCATTTGCGATAGATCTGTCAAAAGATAATTTTAGAATTAGTTACAAAATGAGTTAGGTAATTGTTTGCTTTTTTTTTCGTAAGATTTTTTTTCTCGTCAAGTCAATACACCGTTTAATTAGTAAATGGTTGACTGTTAGGATTAATTAGGTGACTTACTGTTGAACGGTTTGCATGACCTTGGATGAAGTGTCTTTAAGGTAACGAGTAAATCCTGATAAGCCAAATGTGGGCTGAGCTGAGCCAGGATGTGGTGGAGCTGTTTGTTGATTTGATGGTTGATGTGAGGGTGAAGGTTGATTTGTAGGTGTTGATTGGGGTGAGCGGACGCAAGGAGAATCTAAATCAACAAAATTTTTATTCAATAGACTAATTATATCATCAATAGCGACTCTTTCCCGAGGATCAACTTTCAAACAATCTCTGTTGGTAGAAGAAGAAAAAAAATAACAAAACAATTAATCAATTAAATAGTCACAATAATTAAAGCAAATGGAGAGAAAAAATCACCAAAAAAATATACGAATCAACAGTAGATCCAACAAATTAGATCATATAACAACAAGTAGACACAGAAAAGACGGAGTAGGAGAAGAGAGTGAGAAAAAAAATTAACAATAACAAAATTAACTTTGATTGTTGTTCTGAAATGAGAGTGGAAAACAAAAAAATTAACCATGACTGGCAACTCATTACGGTTTCAATTACAATTGCGATTCCCTTTGCCTTTTTTTTCCTTTGATTTAATTGTTCGTATATGTTTGGTAAATAATATAAGAGATGGAGAAAATTCTTTACAATTATAATTATGACAGATTGACCTACCTGATTATTTGAAGGTGAATATCAGAATCTGGAATATTGGGAGAAATCGTGTATTTACAATTAATTATTCGCAATTTAGCTGAATCTTCAAACGGATGACGGCCAAATTTAATGCAATAAGTTAAACACCCGAAAGCCCAAATATCCATTGCTGTATTGATCGGATAATTAAGGTAAGTGTCTAAAGTTTCGGGTGGCCGATACATGGGTGTTGTATGCCTGGTCATCTGTAAACAAAGAAAAGGGAACAAATTAATATTTATCATTGAAACAATCTAAATTGATTACTTATTGCCAGGCAATAAAATAACAATAAACTATTAAAAAAAAACAATAAGAAAAACATGTAACGAGTAAATTCAACCCAAATATCGTTACAATGTTGAGAGTTTAATTTGCAACAATTACAACTTAACCAAGTGTGAATCAGCTAATCCAAAATTAATAATCTTCCTAATCTGTTACGCATCTTAAAACTATTAAAATGTTCATCATAAACAATTGAACAAAGCGAGACGGAAACGGTAGATAGAAATGAGTCTAATATATTCTGATTCTGTTGATTAGTCAGGATAATTATTATAAAGGGTTAAGAAAAAGATGATTGTAACAAAATTGTTACAATTTTTGATGGTTGTGATTAACTTTAAATGTATTAATAAAACTAATTCTCATTGATTGCAAGTAGTAATTAATGGAATAACATTTTTAGTTTGATGATTACCTCATCTTCTAGAAGAGATCTTTGAATTGGAGTCCAACCATGATCAGGTTGATAACAATTTGTTGTCGCTGAGCCAAAATCACACAATTTAACGTAACCCGAATTGTCAAACAAAATGTTTTCAATTTTAAGATCACGATGAGTGATGTTTAATTGATGCATTTGCTCCAGAGCCAAGGCAGTCTGGTAAAGTATCTTATTCAATTGAGGAGTATTATCTAATGGGAGAGTTAAATCTTTGAGGCATCCGCGTCCACAGTATTCACTAGATGAGAGAGAGAAGAAAGAGAAATGAAAATATTGTTACAATGGTGAAAATAATCAGTTAGTCCCAACAATTTAAAAGGAATAAGAATCTAAGGTAAATATTAAGGGAAAGAAAATGATAACTGATCGTAAGAAGCGATTGCGCATTTTAAACTGTTATTGACCATAGAGATATTTTGATTCATCTAATTGTGGAACAATTTATTTATCTAAATTACACAGAAAATCATGAGCGATCATAAGAAAAATACATCATAGCAATAAAATTAATTTCTGATGTATGTTTACAATCAAATGTATTAATATTTGATTTTCAAGTCAACTTTCAATATCTCAGCAAGAGTATAATTGGTTCAAGGTCAATGGATTGTTTTGATTTTTTTTCACTTCACTTGACATGAAAGTTGGATAAAAAATCACAACGAATCAGTTTGATTTTTAAATATAAATAATTAGAATGATGATAAAATTAAATCGCATATACATAGACACAGGAAGAGAGAGAAAGAGAGAGAGACAAGTAAAGGAAGCTAATAAACCGGAATTAGTAATCACAAAGGTATAAAGACCCACATAAAACCGTAAAGATGTAAAAATTTTTTGATTGTTACCTTAATATGAGATAAATATTAGGATTGATTAAACCCCATGAGATAAATTTCATGATATGAGGATGAGGTTGTAGCCTGGTTAACACTTCTATTTCATTTTCAATCTCTTTCTGGGCCTCTTTTCCGGAAGCTATTAATCTCTTCAATGCATAACGTTCTTGACTTTGAAGATCCCGGACACTGAAGACAAAACCAAATCCACCTAAACTCATAAGCAAAATAAATAAGAAAAAAAAGAAGATGAGCCAAAAATTGAGATAAATGAGAAATGAAATGAGTGATACCAAAAAAAAAGCAAAAACAAACTTACCCTCAGCTACAACACGTTCAACTTTTAAACGATGTCCTTTAAGATTAATTGTCTGACCAACAAACTCATTTCCAATATCATTTCTGTGGGATCCATCATCATTGGCAGTGTTTCCCCAATTTGAACTGAAATTACTAAAAGCGGACCTCAGGTAGTCACTCATTGTACCTAATGTAACAGCAACAAAAGAGAGAGAGAGAGAGAGAAAAAAAATCAACAACAAAGAAAAGAAGCTACAAAATGTATGAGATGTACAAGTAGAAGAAGATGATGATGATGATGAGATTTGATGAATTAAAGAGACCTCAAAATTAGGTAAAATAGAAGGTTAGATGCGAAAGTAGAATGAGATTGCATGGAAGATTGAATATTAGGATCGTTTTCAATAGAAAAAGGGTAACACACTATCAGAATTAAAAGTAAACATAAGCAAAATGATGAAGAAAAGAAAAAGATAAAGGAGAAAAGAAATAGACAGAAAGAAAGAAACATAAGCTAATCCATAAGATGGAAAAAAATGAGACTTTGATAATGAAAGATGATGATGAAGCATCAGAATAGAATAGAATAGAATATGAAACACCTTACCTTTACTTTTATCACCACAATTCTCTGGATTATTTCACAATGATAACAAGAGAAAAGTACAGTTGAGAAAAAAAACAATAACAAGAGAATAAACAAAATAGACTAGGACTCAGAGATTAGAATAGAACAGAAAATAGAGAGAAAGAAAAAAGAGAATTTTAAAAGATAGAGAAGAGAAGAAACAAAACAAAAGGGGAGGACAATATGTTCAGATATTGTCGTTAATTTGTAACACCGAAAATTACAATTAATTATAAATGTAAAGGATTTAAAGAGATTAGAATTGTTGGAAAAGAGAACCCAAATTAAATCAGTTGATAATCCAATTTAATTACATGAAAATGTTGGAAATTTTTTCTTTTCTTATTCTATGTAAACAATTGGATCACAATCTCACAGTTTTAAAGATTTTACGTTCTAATTTATGGTATTAATAAATTAACTAAATCACTAGCTAATTGTTCGTATCACAATAACAATTTAAACCATTTGATAACAATTTAATCAATGAGATTAAAAAGAGAGAAGAAAATTTTTGATTATCTTTACCGTTTTTCTGGTTTTTTTTCTGGCTATTCATCGAGAATCTGCTGTGAGAATAGACTTTTGGTTTTTCTTTTCTCTAATTTTTGTTTACACTTTTTTTCGTTAATTAATTTAAGTTGATTAGTTGATTTACTTTTGTGATTTAAATTTTCTTTTGCTTTTTCTTTTTACTTTAAAGATGTTTTTTGATGAATTTAATTATTTCTATGGACACAAATTCACTATGGTTTAGATTAGATAAAATCTTGACTTGATTGTAAAACATTTTTGTTCCTGTCAATTTGTATTGGTTGTTGTTGTTAGATTGTTTTTATTTAACAATCGTTAATTGAAATGGTTTCATGATTATTATTACTCTAATTGTGATTACCAGGGTTCACTAGTGTTGCTGTTAATTGTTAACATTAACTGTTTGTTAATTTCTACTCTTCCAAATGATTGACAATTTAATGTTTTCGTTAGATTGATGGATAAGGTTTCTTTGTTTCTTTGCCGTTGGATTTTTGCTTTTACAGAATATCAAATTTATCATATGATTAGAGATTTTTCCATCTTTACAAGATGATTGGTTGATTGGAAGCAATTTAATTCATTAATGGAAATCGATTAATTAAATTGTGCTGTTTATTTACTACCTGGCCAATGGGAAAGAGAGATGGACAAACAAACAAACAAACAAAACCGATCCTGACTCTTGTTGCCACTTGAACTTTTGGTTTATCATTGGAAAATGATTGATTGATGATTGGACAACAACAATTAACAGCTAATTAAAATATTAGCTTTCCATCTGAAGATAAGGAACAAAATTAAAGGGAACAATTTAAGGAGCTGTTGGAATAAAATGGAAACGAAAATCAAGCGAGCGTGTTTTCCATTCATGTTATTCAATTTGAACTTGATGGTGTCTCATGAGAAGAAATTGGATTAATTTAGTGTATTATCATTTTCTTTCACTTTAATTATGATTAACATCATTATCTTCATCATCATACGAATCATTATAAAAGTCAAGTAACTTTTAATCGTTAAAGATGATTCGTAAACGATTATGATCGTTAAACCTTCCTAATCAACCTGATGAAATGTATACTATTACAATCCCGATAACAGGAATATCAAATTAATCCAATGATTGGCAATTTAAAAAGGGAGCAAAATAAAATTGAAACAACAACGCAAACAATTAGCAAACCTGCAAAGTAATCAATGGATCAACAATCTATCTAAACCAAGAAATGCGATAATCACCAATTAACTAATCATTATCCAATTCTAATGATTATTATGTTATTATTTTCAACAATCAAAATGAAAACAAATAGAAAATCAAAGTTAACAATTTAAAGACGTTCCAGTTGATTAGTACAATCATTTTGATTGCAGAATGACAAATTAACTTCCTTCACTAACAATTTAGCTGATTGTAAATTGTAATCAACTCATTTTCCATCTTCAATACATAAATAATCAGTAAATGTCACAATTAATACAATATGATTAACCATTTAAACCATAAATCAAAAAATTACTTTGGATTCCAATGATGATTATAATAATAATCATTTCCTCATCACATTTTTGACCAAAACAACAATCAACAATTAACATAAATAATACAACATAATCACCATTATAATACCAAATAACTGTTTAATTACTCTCATTAATACAGTGTCATCATCATCATCAACAATTAGCAATCAGCAACAACAACAACAATTAAGGATCAAGTTCATCCAAATGATAATCAACACAAAAAGGATTTATAACTTTAACAATGGTGACAATTAAAATTGTTTTAATTGTTAAAAGAAAAAGATGAGTAAAATAATCAAAGTATTAATAAGATAATGGAAAAGTAATCAACTTGATTAACATGATTAAATTGTAAATACGTTGCCTGAGGTTGGTTAAAGTTACGATACAAGTTGTTACCAGAATGATGAACAGAAAAAAAGTTTTTCGTTAATCATTATTAGTGCGACATTGAAAATCCACTCGTGAGTTCGAGGTGTTCAACTGTTGGTACAATCAACACAATCAACTCACTCTCTTTTTCCAACTCACTCACTCACAACTATTAACTAAATCATTTTACAATTAACACTCATTTCACTTTCACCGTTAACCAAAACGGTCCACTAATCAAATAATAAACGTTAATTGTTGTTAGTTTTTTTTTTCATTTCTTCTCATAATCATTGGACAAATTGTAATCTAATTGTGTGTTTATATTTAAATTTAACAATGAAACTACAAAAATAAAATTAAACATTAAACATTTTACAATCAACTGATCAACGTATCTTTTTTTTCCCAAATCAATTGTAACTTTTAATTGTTACAATTAGTTTGCGAATTGAGAATTGACGAAAAAATAAATATAATCTATTTTAATCATTTTCTATGTTTCTAAATTGTTCAAATATCCTTGTTTCTTATTGATTGTAAACTATTCATACTGTTGGCAATTTGTTAATTGTCATCATCATCTTCATCATCATCATTATATCATTAAAAAAATCAAATCTTATCACAAGAATCAACAATTAGTTTGTTGTAGGAAAAAAAGTGATTGCAATCAAATTTTGGTTAACACGTTCAATTTGTGATCTACAATTAAAACTATCAAAGGAATCAGCAATTAACTAACTGATTTAAAGTGAGTTAATATTGATTGTCAAGTTTAACACTTAATCAATCATCAAATTTATCGCATTTTTTTTCATCTCTGAGTTGATTAGATGAAAAGTTTTCATTGATTCTGAGCAACTTCATGGTAACATTGAATTTCCAGTTTTCTATTTGTTTTTCTGTGTCTCCAATCAACTCGATAAAAAAGTGTTCTAACTTTGTTCTAACTTCATCATCAACTTGAATTTCATCAAATTACCAATCAATAAATTGTGAATTTATCCTAAAATTGTTAATTTTAATTGTTGAATAAGCGAAACAATTCCAATAATAACGGTTTTAATTGTAATCAAATAACAGCGACAACCTTAATAATAATAATACTCAAAGTAAATTGAATAAGAGTCAAAATTTACATGGTGACAACTTTTATTGGCCATTGAATTGTTATTAATTGTTGTGCTAATTAACTAATCATGAATCGACTTGAAAGAAGGTTAATTTTATTACTAATTGGTTTAACCATCCTCATCTTTTCCGGGATAATTACCTTGACAATTTTAATTCTCGCCAAGGATGGAGATGAATTAAAGTTATTAACATCAGCATCTAACACTGACAGTCAACAAATTTGTTTAACCCCAGGCTGTGTAAAAGCAGGTAAGTAACAATCCCTAATAATAATAACAACAATTAACTTAATTCTTGTCCATATCATAATCTAATCATCACAATCAACTTAATCGCCTCTTGTTAATATTAATATTCCCATCATGTACATGATGTATATTGATATTTTTATGTATCATCATCATCATTTGTTTCATTGCCTCTTGATTATCGTCCATTGATTAATATCATTTTCCTGGAAATTATTTGTCTTAATTGTTACAATTTAGCTGCTCGAATATTGGATAATATTGATTCAAGTGTTTCTCCTTGTGATGATTTCTATGATTACGCTTGTGGAGGTTGGATTAAGAAGAAATTTATTTCCGAAGATCAAACTGGAATAACGCAATTTGGAGCAATTAGAGATGATTTAAACAGAAAATTAAGAGGTAATTTATGAGAATTTATCTTAATTAATTAATATCTCTCAATGAAAATTAATTATCAATCCAGTTAAATGAACAAAACAATTGAGATTAAAATTGGTTGACTGGACATAAGATTCAAGGTTCTTGTTTGTTTATGGTTAGAGTTGCAAGTAGATTAAATTTAAAGGCTCAACCAACTGTAGTTAATTTAATTCTTACGGTTGAAATTAAGATTTAGTCTGTTAATCAGTCAAGAACAGTAACATTATTAATAACAATCAAACAATTAAATTAAGCTGAAAGTATAAAAATTGTCAACAACAATCAATAATCTGAGGCAAGAAAAAGTATATGATATGAAAAAATCAATTTTTCGTCAACTATTTTTGTCCAAACTTGATTAAATTACTGACACAATTAATTACGATCACAATTGGTGAACAATTAACTCACAGAGAACTAATTTTATTCTAGTTGATTGTTTTATCCAACAATTAATCTAATTGTTTGTGTCTTTTTTTTTACTAGAATTAATTTGATTTAATCGGCTTAATTATAATTGTGAATTTAGAAATTGGGAAAAAAAAAATTTTCATTCATCTCTCTGATTAATCAACTTGGTCAGTTTGTAATTAGTTAATTGTTTTGATTGCTTTTTCCTTGTTATTGGATTTCATTTACAGGGAAACAATCAGTTAACAATTAATCAGCATTTTTTGTCAATTTGGCTTTTAATTAGTTACTTTTTTTTAATCAATAACAATTAACATGAGTGTTAATTTTTGTTTTCCTTATATTCAAGATTTGTGAATCTTAATTGTTGCTCATTTGGACAATTAATTGATAAATGTTGCTAATCACTCAATTTGATTGTGATAATACAGGTAAAGGTCAATTAAGGTTGTGATTGTTGAGATGAGTATGATGATTTAACAATTAACTAATTGTTGATGAAACAAAATCTCGTTGAAAAGTAAAAAGTTTTACCATTAATTTTGCTTGCAGATTGAATAAACAATTGAGAAATTAATTCTTGATTTAACTTTATAATTAACTGTTAATTGTTAAATATTAATACAAATTGACATTCATCACGATTTAAAATGTCTACAATTTAATTGTTATCAAGTTAATTGTAATCATTAATAAGATGCTCTTGAACTTGACCAATAAATTATATATCAAACCTCAACAAAGGTCATTTGTTTATCATTAATTTGATTACCAATTCTCAGCAATTAAATGTACAAATTATTGTCATACTTAATAATGTATAATAATTGTCTAATTGTTGTCACTACAAATCACAATTAAATCAAAACTAATAATCAATCAACGAGATCATAAAGATCAATAAGATTTGGACAAACGAAACAAAAATGAAAAACTTTTCAACAAATTACCAAACAATTTAAACTACTGAAAGTTAATTGTAATCAGTTGATCAATTTAGGTCAATTAACTATGTATACATTGAATATATTTGAATACAACAATCAAATCAAATCATAATTTTAATCAATTAACTAAAAGTAACATAGAGTTCAAGGTTAGTTTTGATTGTTTAAATCTTTTAAATTGTTGACAATTAAGTGTCTGGTATGAAACTAAATTAAGAATCGTAAGTTAAACTAAAATCATTATCAATTGATTAGCAAACTAAATTTGCTAATTGTTTAAATGTGTAATAAAAAATGAAACATTTAATTTTACCCAAAATCTAATTGTTTAACTAATTGTGACACTTTCTTTTAATTACAGAGCTGGTTGAAAGTAATCAAGTTAATCAAGATGATGAAGCAATTTATTTCCAAATGATGAGAACAATTTACAAACAATGTATGAACATAAGTAAGTAATTTAATTTTCTCAACAATTAACTAACTATAATTGTAATCATTAGCTAATCAATTAGATTTTCTTTCAATTGATCAAACAATTAACTTGATCCGTTGATTGAAATCCAATGTCTGGACTTACCAAGAGACTTTAAATTGTTATCACTCAATTGCAATTGTTTTCCTCTCTTGATTATCTCAAACAATTAACTAATCCACAATTGATAATCAACAATATTTTCAAATACGATAATTTAATATTAATTGTAAGTTAATTTCTCAATAACAATCAAATCTAAATTTCAATTTCTAAATCACTTATTCCTCAAGTGTTAACAATTTATTGATTATTATTGTGATATTTAATTGTTACAATTGAAATATTGTTTTCTTTTCAATTTATTAGAACAATTTAAATCTAATTAGTCCTTGACATTTAAAATTCTAAATTAACAATTAACTTAATTTTTCGAAAAATTGTTCGAGTTTAATTCTGTTTTCGTGAACCATTAAAACTTTGTAACTTTCGTATTATTTGTGGTTCGAGAAAATTTGCTGATTGTTTTCATCATCTATTGAAATGATTAACCCTTTTTTCAGGTGAAATTAATGAACAATCAAAAGGTGAGTTAATTAAGGACATTGTTGACCTCGGCGGGTGGCCACTGATTGAAGGTCCAACCTGGAAATCAGCTGATTGGGACTGGATTGAAACTCTGAAAAAAATGAGATCCAAAGGTTATGATCACAATATTTTCCTATCCATTTATGTGGCTCCTGATGTTAAAGATAATAGTAGACACTTAATTGAGGTAAATTGTAACAATTAACTTTCATCATACTCACAATTGTCAAATTGTTATGGTGAAAAAAAAGCTGACAATTTAATTGGAAATCAATGGTTAACAATAAGAGAGACAATTGAATTTATTTTTAACGTAATTTTTAAATTTGGACAAAACTTTTCTCTTGGTTAATTGTGAAGCCTTGAAACAATTTAATTCAATTTGATTGGTGTCAATTGATTGATGAAATGATGAGTTAATTGTTGATAGTAATAACTAATTGATTAATTTTATTGTTACTCATCAATTTATTGATGTAAACATTTTGTTTTGATTGTTGTTGTGGTTAAATATTTCATGTTAACTTTAATCATTGATGAAAGCTGATGATTAGTTAATTATCAAGGTTGATGGTTTAAATTTAGTAAATTGTTAATCAGATAACAATTAAGATCGCAATTTTAATCAAGGTCAGTTATTAAATCATTGAACTTGAGATGAGACAATTTTGATTAACCTTGACAACAAGTAAATAAAAATACAAATTGTTTCAATCAGAGTAACCAAATCAGAACAATCAAAAAAGTTAAATTGACCAATTAAATTAATAAGAAAAGAAAAGACAATCAGACAATCACAATCATAGAAATTAATTACTACTAATCATTGACCATTCCAAATTAAAAGGGTTGACCATTAGATCTGAATGAATGTAATAATACAAATCTAATTCTGGTCTCTTTTTTCATCTTTTCGGTTGACAATTAAATCTAATTGTTGACAATTAGGTTGATCAAGCTTATCTTGGTGTACCTGATAGGAAATACCTTTTGAAAGGTATGAATGATTCAACCGTTAAGGCTTATTATAAGGCGATTGTTGATTCGGCTTCATATATTGGTCAGAATTCAAAGGAAGCAATTGAAAAAGGAGCAAGTGAAATAATTGATTTCGAGACACAATTAGCAAAGGTAAACAATCAGGTTAATGAGAAGACAATTGACTAATTATCTTAATTGTTCCTTGTGAATAGTTTTCCCTGCCAAGTGAGGAGAGACGTAATTTCACCAAACTGTATCATAAAATCCCATTGATTGAACTTAAACGAATCGGTTCCAATGTAAGTTGACAATTAGAATTTCCAATTGTTATAATTTTGTGTTTAAATCAATTTTCTTTAAACAATTTAAACAGATTGATTGGCCCTTAATTGTGAGGAATATGATGATTGATAATATCTCCGATTTTGAAGAGGTAAATGTTAAGGTTCCTCGATTTTTACGATCAGTTGATGATCTTATTTCCAAAACGGATAAAAGGTAAATTAAATTAATCGAAACTTTTTTAATTGTATTGGTTAATTGTTTTTTGGTTCTCTTTTCTAATTAATTCATCAGAATACTTGCTAATTATATGATTTGGAGAGCGGTCTTTTCGGCCTTACCCTCAGCGGAAGAACCGTTGAGAAAAATATCCGAAAGTTATGGTCGCGTTATTTCAGGCCGAAAGACGGAGAAACCTCGTTGGGACACTTGTATGAAACGTTTGTATTCCTCTTTTGGTACACCCTTATCAGCGCTTTATGTGTCACGAAATTTTGACGAGAAAAGCCGTCAACAAGCAGCAACCATGGTTAATTATATTCGAGGACAATTTATCGATTCTCTTAATCAAATTGATTGGATGGACGAAGCAACAAGATCAAAGGCCATTCAAAAGGCTCAAGAGATGATCGTTCAAATCGGTTATCCGCCAGAACTATTAGACGAATCTAAGGTTATGACAATCTATCAAAATGTAAGTTAATTTGCTTTAATTGTTTCCATTGGAAAACCAATTAATTCATCTCATTTTCGATAGAATTTCAATTTTCCCTCTTAATCTTTTCCCTCCAATTTTTTTGATTACTTTTCATTCACAAAACTTGAGACACTTGGGTTCATATTCATCAATCAAGATCAAGCTTGACTCCAACTGATATCAACTTAATTGTTTCATCAATTGATGATAATCTAAATTTCAAATCTTTACCATAAACAATTAGTTAATTTTATTCCCTTCCAATTACCCGCTAGTCTCTAAAGACAAAATGTTTGTTGTGACCGTTGTTTTGTTTAATGATTCAAATTAATTAACAATTAGAGGGAAAATACAAAAACACATTGGGCACAATTTCCTAATAAAATTAAGATTTGATTTGATTTAAGAAATGATCAACTCAAGATCCGTTAATATGATTGGTGGAATAACTTTTTTGTTAATCTCAGGATCAGCTGATCTCGAGATGTGTTGATTGCAACTTTTAATCTCGCTTGATAAAGACGAGCCTTGTAGTATCCTCAGCTACAGGGTGTCTACTAAGCTCGTATCAATGATGAAGGTTTTCTCCTACATAGAGAAGCTTTTGTCTTTCCAATTCGAACGAGTTTAATTGACTCCCTGTATTTATCCACAAATTGCAAAGGATATATACTTGTGTTGAACTAATTAAATATACATAATTAAGCAGTCTAAGGACAAGTTGCCTACATAGAAAGAGGTTGATTAGGGTTCGAATCCTTAATTAGCCTCTTTTTTTGCAAATGATTACTTCGTTCACTTTTGATTAGTCGAAGTCTAAACAATTAGATTATCTTACCTGAGTTTAAATGGATACAAATGTTGATGAAGACAGTTTTCCATGACTTGTTGATCATTTGATCAACCGAATTAATTGTTGGTTTCTTCATATTAATTGTTAATTGATTTCTATCAGTAATTTTGATCGACTAAATTAAGTTAATTTAGTTACGAGTTTGAGACCCAAATATTATCAATACAAGTTCTAGATCTCGGGAATTTTAACTCATAACCTTTGATTGTTAATTTCTCTTGGTAATAATTGTTTCTTTTTCTAATTTTTTGTTTTTGGTTTAACAATTTGTTAATCAACTTAGATTCAAATCTCACCCAACGATAAATATTACACTAATGTTCAAAAGCTACGAAAATTCTGGACAGATTATGGAATGAAAAAGTTACGAGAACCATTGATTAAAGATGAGTAAGTATTCAGATCATGTTCTCATTCAAATTTTCACAATTATCTATTAATTGTGATCATCTATTGATTATTAATTGTTCATTTTATTTCATGATAGCTGGAAGAGATTCTCAGAAGCGGCTACAGTAAATGCTTTCAACAATTTCATCGAGAACAGTATCAAGTTTCCAGCCGGGATTCTTCAAGGTGTATTCTATGATAGAGAACGGCCTAATTATCTTAATTACGGTGGAATTGGTTACATTATCGGACATGAGATAACCCATGGTTTTGATGATCGAGGTGAGAATTTAATAAATTGTCAAAGTGATTAATTCTAATCAATATTCCTGTTAATCTACAAACATGAAGTTATCCCACTTTCCCTCTGGTATAACAATTGGATTATTATAATTACATTGGAATCGCTTCATAAACAATTTACCAAATATTCAAATAATTTTAATTGCTATCCATTTGTACAGTTATAAGAAGTTAATTTAAATATTGAATCAATGATTTCAGTTGATTTGGTGACAGAAATCAACAAATCTCGACTTTGCAATTTGACATTCACTTTGATGAATATTATTATTTCTGCTTCAATTGTATTCCCAATGAGCTTTTGTTTCATTATCTCAGAGTCTTGATTAGAAAGTACATTGAGCTTAACTAATTTATTTCTAATTTCTTTTAATTGCACTTTAAATTGTTCCTTTTCATTGTCAATTTAACTTGTGATTGATTTTTGTGTCACTTTGCAATTGGAATACAATTTGTTTCCTTTTACCTTATTTAAACATATTCTTTTTCCTGTTTCTCTTGCAATGATCGTTATCATTTTCGTCATTTTCATTTGATTTACTTTCTTAATCTCCATCTAATTATTGTGATAATTTTAATTGTTCTCAGGTCGACAATTTGATCAGAATGGTAACAATCGTAATTGGTGGGAACCAGAGACTGAGAAAAATTTTGCTTCTCGAGTTAAATGTATCATTGAACAATATGGTAACTATACTGTCGATGAAGTTAAGGAAAAAGTTAACGGTATCAATACCCAAGGTGAAAATATCGCCGATAATGGTGGACTGAAACAAGCTTATTCGGTAAGAATTTCCTATCACAATTAAACAATTTAATTGTTTTAATCAAAATCTATTCATTTACAATTGAAAATCAAGGGATATATGAAATTTGTTGAAGACAATGGACCCGAACCCTTATTACCTGGAATCGCAATGAATCAGAAACAATTATTCTGGATTGGAGCTGCAAATGTATGCCTACAATTAATCAGTTAATTAATCATAAAATCACTAATTGTGAAAATGTTTTCAATCACAAAACAATTTAGATTTGGTGCTCCAAATTAAGGCCACAATCAATGAAACTACGAATCGCTACCGGTGTCCATAGTCCAGCTAAATTTAGGTAACTAATTGATTCTGATTTTAATTACACTTCATTTTCATCGTTAATTAATTTTGTGTTTTTTTTGGCTTAATTGTTGACAATTTAAAAGGGTTAATGGACCTCTTTCTAATATGGAACATTTTTCCGAGACATTTAATTGTCCACTTGGATCTCCAATGAACCCAAAGAAAAAGTGTAAAGTTTGGTAAACTTAAATTTGCAAATTGATTAACAATTAACAATCAACAATCTAATTAAACTCTCACATGGACAAATCAAAGAGCGAGAGACAATTTAAAAAAGACACTGATTAGCAGGTTAATTGCTAATTAAAGCACAATCATATTCCTATTATTATGTTCACCGATTTATGTATAAAACAATCAATCAAAATTTTCTTCCTCAACAATTTAATGTATTATTTATTTTTTCCCAATTAATGGGGATTAAATTGTTCAATTGATTCCTAATGATTGTATTAAATTAGATTTTAATCAATTTATATATATTATTTTTACAATTTAGAGATGAGATCAACTTTGAGATTGTAAGAAATGTCAATTTAACATAATTAATAAAGTTGTACAATTAATAATAATGATAATAATCATAATAGAAATAGGAAAATGAGAAAATTACATTTTTTTCTTAATCAACAGAATTTAACAATTGTGAATTTTACAAAAAAAAATCATTACGTTGATTAATTGTAACAATTAAATGTCATACATCAATCTTGATTTGGGGAAAAAAATATTTCCTATTTACAGATGATTGTGATTATCTCAATGTTTCGGGATAATCGGGTGAAAATTGTAGTAATAAAAACAATCAGTTGATTAGTTAAAAGGTAATCATGATTTCCGAGTTAATTGTTGATGGTGACGGTGTTAAATTGTCGACAATTATAATGATGCTATTGGTGGACTGCGTTTATGAGCAGTTTCCAGAATTGTCTCTTTCTTTTGTTTACAAGAATTGATTATATTCGGTTGACTATTATTGTTGTTGTTATGGTTGTTATTATTTGATTGTGATATACTGTTTGACCTTCGGTGTTTATCATCAGCTGATGGTGTTTCACCTGGTAAACTGACCCGTCCATCCCTAATTATTGTGTAATACTGTGATGCCCCAGGGCTATTTTTCCCAAAAACTGCACCAAAGGCTCGGGTCACTGAGTTTAAGCTCAACTTTTTGATTGCCTGACCAGGCTGGTATGTTACTGTGGTGGACCCATTGAAGTGCTCATAAAATGACCTCGCCTCTTTGATTAATCCATTGAAAGCCGTGGTAACACCGACATAATTTTCAGCAGCAGATACCTGATTAAAATGATGAAGAAAAAAAAAATTTAAAATCAATTAGCTTTTCAATTCTTGTTGATCAATTTACTTTGTGTATTTACACACACTTTGGGTTTTCGGTTAGATGTTTTTTTCCCTTACCTCATAAAATTGTGTCCCAAATTTGTAGGCTATACTCCGACCCTCTTCTAGATTAACCTTACGGCCAATTTCAAGATCCCGTTTATTTCCTAAAAGCACAATTGGAGCTTGGAAGCTTGTTAAACCACGAATTTTACTAATCAATTTAACATAATGTTGAGCTCTTATGAAACTCCTTTCATCACATATATCGTACACTATTACATATGCTTGAGCCCAAATTATTTGATCTTTAAGGTCATCATATTTCAATAGTTTCTCCTCCTGTAAATAAAGTAGAAGCAAAAATTCAATTAGTATTAACCAGATCAACAAAATTTAACCAACGATAGTAACGAAAACAACAACAACAACAAAACATCAACACAAACAATATAGGGAATCATATTCTTACCTGATAATTTCTTGAAAAGTCTAGAATCTCAATATTTGTTGGAATGTCATCACAATTAACAACTTGTCTATAGAGAATATCTATTAATTAAACAGAATTGAGAGAGAGAGAGAGAAAAAAAATGAAAACAATTATTGGAAAATTGGAGGAAAAAAAATTCATACAATCATCAAGATCGGACAAAGAAATCAAAACACTTACCACAATCAGTCTGGTACTCGCCTATGTAACGTTTAGTTAGAAACCGGACAACAATTGCTGAAAGAACAAAGAGAAAAAATTGTAAATTAATCAAAACAATTAACAAATTAAACGGAAAAAAGAATCAAATTGAAAAAGAACAAAAAAAATCAACCAATCACAAAGAGAGAAAAAAAGAAAATGATTTGTAAACAAAAACAACTTTTCCTTTTTGTCTTATGAGAAAAACTCATTGGATTATTTTTCTCTCTTCTTCTTTCCTTGTTAAATGATAAGTAATTTCTATTTAAATTGTTATTACCATATTTTCTTAATTCACCCAAACAATTAACTCTTCATTTTCATCTAACTGCGAATTTTAATCTCTTTCAATCATATGATTAAAAGATAATCGCTCATCCGGTTAACATGTAAACTCTTAAATTCTCATCAAAAGTTATCATCTTTTCTCCTGGTATTTAATGGTTGATGAAAATTTCCACAATTAACACTATCCTAATCACTCTCATAATCTTCATCATCTTTAACTAATCTGGTTTCCACAACATCATCGATTAATTAGTTTCCTTTTTCTTCCTCATAATCAATAGAATCTAAATGAGTAAGTAAACTTTTTCCATTCTGATTCTCTATCTCATCAGCTGTTCCCTTGAAATCAGAAGAGTTTCAATCTCGATTTCTAATTGACTTTCTTTCTAATTTTCTTCTCAATTTAATTCTAATTATAAAATTGTGATTCTTTTCTTAATCAATGTCATTTCTTTTAATAGTTCTCATATTGTGAATATCTTTCTCCTTGATTGACTCATTGTTTTATCTAAATTATATGATCTTGTTTTCTTTTCTCATTGAATTTTTTATTTTTCTATTCACAGAGCATTGGAATTACTTTTATGTTGCTGATATTTTGTTTCTTCATGGTTTCGATTGCTGACTAATTTACACAAACACTAGATTAACATGTTGATTGCCCTGCGCTTCCAGAAATTAGTTAATAATAATGGTTAAGATTAAAGGCATGTGACTTTGGCAAAAGCTTAAGACTCTAATACAGAACCGAGGGGAAGACCTTGGCTTACAAATGTTCACTTAATCCTAATCCTAATCTTAATTTTTCTCTCTCTCTCTCTCTTTTCTCTTGAATTTCTTTCTTTATTTTCTGTCTCATTTTAGATTATGACAATTTTCCAGTCAATTATCAACAACCAAATACACTTTTGAAGTTGAGAAAATTTTAAAAAGATGGATTAACAATTTATCAAGCCAATCAATTTCATCTAATCATCAACACCATCAACAGCATTACTATTATGTTACCAATAGATATCAATGGATTCCAATTGTATCAACCAAGGAGGATGGATCAAAATTTCATCATATCTAATTGATTATGGACAAATTATTGGTTACCAACTGAATTAACTAATCTTTACCAATCCAAACAATTTAACTCATTACATGAACCAGAAATCAACACCAACATGTATACAACATGATGAATATTCACCATATACCACAGGATGTTTACCAAAGTGTTTACACAGAAAGAAAAAAGGTTTAAATAATGGCCTCAACTTGTCCTGATGTGTGTATATAAATATACGTGTTGATAATTATCGATATTTCTTAACCATCAACATCAATCAATTGTTGACTTGTGTTTATTTTCAATAAGAAAACTGAACCAAAGATGATGAAAGAGAGAGAGAGAGGAGAAGAAAAAAATTGCGATCTATTTTTCTCCCTATTGGTTTAACATCTTCAACCGTTGAAAAAGTTATTACATGATGAATATAATCTAATATTTATCAACAAAATGCAAGGACGATCTACATTGCGCAGAGTATTTTCTATGGTATTTTTTTTAATCGTAATGTTTATTTACAACAAATTCTCTCTCTTTTTCTCTTCCTCACAGTGCAAGGCTTTATTTGGACACTAATTGGCCTGTTTTGGTGTAGTAATTGATGATCGAATCAATGTAAACACAAATACGCACTCATTGGAATAGTAAAGAAACTTTTTCTCTTGTTTGGTTGTTACCTGATCTTTTCTTTGTCAATCAATGGAAATCAAATTTAATCACTTACCTGATTTACCAACGGATTTAGCTCCAAGGGCCAAGATACGAAGAGATTTCATAAGTGATATTTTGATGAATCTATTAAATCTCTTGAAAGATTAACTTAATTTATATACGAAGATGATTAACCAAAATTTCTGGTAAATTTAATGGATCAAATTGGTGATTGTTTTTTTGTCCTCTCTCTCTCTCTCTTGGCATTAATCAAATAATCACTAATTTAATGGTTAAACAATTCACTTTTCTGCTGATCAGTTTTTATACAGTTTGATTGGTTGAAACAGACAAACAATTACTGGATATGATGATTAAGATGAATATGGTAAATGATAAAACAAAACGATAATCAAATGGTACACAAAGTTAATTGTAAAAAGTTGCAGATTATTATTGTTAATAAGTAACTAATACACCAAAGGGAAGGTGAAAATTTGATGGCAACATGAAACCACCGAGGAGATGAAACAACTAATGGAATCTGATTTAGTTGGAAAGTGAAACTTTTACACAACTAAAACGAATTTTTTTTTCCAAGGGTTAAATCATCATCATCATTTTGTTGGAATCACTTTTGTGCCAGAGGAAAAGAAGAAAAAAAAATAAGAAGAGAAATGATGATGAAGATGATTACATTGAATGCGCAGATTTATATCAACAAAGAGGAGCAACAGTTAAACAACAACCTCGATTTACTACAACAATAATAACTTCCATCATCATTGTCGAATCCAAGCTAATTGTTCCCTCCCTTTTCATCTCCATCTTCATCTTCATCCTCATCATCATCATCATTCCAAGTTCTCTCTTTCATGATAATATGTAATCTATGGATAATATTTTCCCTCTCTTTTTTTCCTACTCTAAATACTACGTAACTTTTTTTTTCATTTCATTCTTAATTTCACAATCTATCAACTCCCCCGCCAGCTAATCTTCATCATCTTGATACACAACAACACAATCAACTAAACGACAACAACATGATTCCAATTGAACTTTCATGATATTACCAAATTGTTAGACACCTTGAATGGTTAATCATTTTATCCAAAAAAAAAGTGCAACATCTAAATTGCACATTCCACCGTTAATATTATCATTGTGATGATCAACAAATTGTTTACGTTGGTGTTAAGAGCTGAGAATAGACTGTGACGATAATGATAAAAATGTTAATTGTCATTCTGATGATCATATTGTTGTTGTTATTGTTGATTTGTTGCTCTTAATTGCAACCTTATTGATTATCAGAAAAAAAGGTTTTTTTTCAGAACTTTTTTTCCTCTCTCTCTCTCTCTCTCTCTCTCCTTTTCTCAATATCCTGAATTCTTGTCTATATTTTTGTGACAATTAACAGTTTTTTTTGTTTAATTCAGTTATTTAATGAATACCTGAAGCCTTAGGAAGAGTAGTTTTTTTGTCATCATAATGATGAAGAAACAAATCAACTTTTCAGTTGTTATTTTCCAATGAATATCAGTTGATTGTATTCAGAACTCTTATAATTATAATTGATTGTATTTTTCATCTTTTCAATTTCTCTCTGGTTGTAATACAGAAAATATCAACTTTGTAGTCAAGCTAATCGTTAATTGCTCTGATATTCAGTTCAATAATATCTGTTGATTAAGTTCATCAGAACTCATAGAGAGAAAGTCATTGTGTAACTATTGAATCTAATTCATAATTTATGGTGATTCTAATTGTATCTAATCAATTGGAATCACCTTTGGTGCTTTACTTTGTTATCCGATTGTATTGTTGACAATCAGAGGGTTATGATGATCGTGATGATGACAACAAACAGAAAATAGGTTAACAATCATAATAACAATTGTTATAAATTTGATTGCGACCAATCAATATAGATTGTTAATTGTTTAATCACTTGACAAAAATATATAGCGATTAATTTGTTACAATTGAAATCTAACATTCTCTACCTTGTATATTTTTAGCAATCAATTGGATATAATTGGAGGTTAATTTATTAGATTTTTGCTTCTAATCCATAATATGATTTAGTTATCATTAAGATGAAACGGAAATCCAATTTTGGTTTGAGTTTGAAGTATTACAATGATTGGTGACAGATTGTTGATAATTTAATGAAACAATCAATGGATTTAGTTGATTAGATCATTGATATCATAGATATTGTAACACTCTAACTAATATACAGGGCATTTCACCAAGTTTCCAACAAGTTTTTCTTGAACAACTTTTTAGTTTTTGAGAGTTCAGACCTCAGACTCGAGTTATGGTAGTTTGGGTGGTACTCAATTGTCATATTACAATATCAAGGTCATTCCGGTCACGGCATTTGGATACGATTTCAAGGTCATTTGATGGTCACAGTTTGTAATAAGTTTCAATTTCATTATTTTATTCATAACGTACAAGCTAACGATCTGCCTGATCAAAATGAATAAAAAACTGAACATCCGGATTGGACTAACATCTTTTTGGAATTATATTCAATATTAAAATTCTAATCAAAAGGTAGTCATAATTGTAACATTTTTTTCTTATTAATTGAAGATACTAAATTCAAATCTAATTGTATACAATTTAGTTTGATTATAAAACTAATTTAATTTCATCTGATCTCGCGTTTTGTTAAGTCGAATGAAAGTCAAATGAATATAAGGTCTTCAGTCAAAGGTAAGAAAAATGTGAAGGTGACATTTTATAACCAAATCAACAACACTCTAAGAAATAAATCTTACCATGATTCCTCAAGATGATCAAGTCACAAAGTGTTATAAAGTGAATCCATTAGTTAATTAAAGCTCTTAAACGTTCTCAGAATAATGGAAACTTATTCGTTGAAAGTAACGAATAGGCCATGACTCTGGACGTACATAGGTCTTTCAGATCTAATTTTTTAGCATTTTCAGCATCGGAATTTGCTAGGGCTTGTTTTCATGATGATCGAAAAGGTCAAAAACTTTCGCACTGAAGCTAATGGAACAAGTTCACATCTTTGAATGATAATTACTCCTGAACGATTTTTCAGATCAAAACAACTTAGCACAATCTACTCAATAAAATCGTGAATTTTGAATGGCTGAAAAAAATTTACCGCGAAATTTCTTTACATCCAAATGTGACACTTTCTCGACTTTGAAAGGTCATCGTTGAAATTTGAATTTTGTGGTCATATTCTTAATAACGCCAAACAAATCTTACACATTTTGTCTACCGATTGGAGTTATTAGATTAAATATTGAACGAGTAGTTTTCTTGAAATTGGCTCTCAAAAGTGGAAATGGTTGTTTGTTACGTCCTGTATAATTTGAAGTAATTTCAAGTTATTGATTTACAAAATTCTAGGAAAACCAATAAAGATCATGTTGAATCCTTTAATTAATGTCCGAGTTCACAAGATAATCTCATGATAATGTTGGGTATATTTCAACACTTGTATTAATTAATCATCTCTGTTAATTGAATCAATTTTTTCCCTGCAAATGTTACCAGGGGAATTTATCGATTATTGATTGAGAATATGAATTAATATCCAAAAAGAAACAGTTGAAAAGAATTGGAAATTTACATTCAATTCTTGGAAAAAAAAATCAATCGATTGATTGTAAACAAAAAACCTTGAGAATCAATTGATTGTTAATAACAAGGAAGACAACTAAAGATGAGGTAGCTGACCAGTGGCTATTTAATGTGTCTCATGAAAAATGTTAACAATCAAGATTATGGTAAATCATTACGATTGATATTATTTATTTTTTACTCTTTCATTAGTATGTTAATCATTTTGTTATTATCATTAATTAGTTTGATTATAATCAATTGGATTGATGGTCAACCCTTGTGTCCACCTCTTGATCCACCTCTTTATGGTTATATTATTAACGATGGTCACTGTTTAACTAACATTGGATCAACATGTTCCCTTAGGTGTAAACCAAACTACGAACCCCTTGGACCATGTTCACGTTCATGTCAATCAAATGGTTCCTGGTCAGGGTCAACATTATTATGTCTTAATCGTGCTCTTAATTGTCCACCTTTAACCCTTTCTGAAAGTGTCTCAGTTGGTGGACCTTGTTTCAATGTCCCCGGGGGCATTTGTCAATTCAATTGTCCACCAGGTACAACACTTTTAGGATCAAATTCAATTTATTGTACATCAACCGGAACCTGGTCAGCAACACCTCCAACCTGTTCACCTACAGGTTGTCCACCTCTAAGGTCACCTGAAAATGGTCAAATGTCAACACTATGTGGTGAACAAGGTAATTTAATTGCTAATTGTCTCTTAATCATCATCCTAATTAACTTGCCAATTTCACATTTGTCTGAACAATGTTACTCAATCTCTGTAGTTTTTTTTTTCATTGAAAAGGTAAACACAATTGAGTAAATTGTGTTAATTACGTTAATTGCGTTAATCTTGACTTTGATTCTCTTGCCAAAATAGCAATTAATTTAGATAATCATTTAGAATAGTAAATTTTGTTTTATTCATTTACAGTTTACTTATTTGATTGTCTTTTGTTTCCAATGGTTGAGAAATGAAAAGTTAACAATTAGATAATCGGATCGATTAGAAATTAAGATCAAGGATAAGTAGTTACACCTTTTATATGGATTAAGGATTAACTGATTGTCATTTAAAAGCATAAATGATTAAAACTGTGACAACGTGTGTTAATTGTAATAATTGATCTTTTTGATTAACTTTTGTAACTTAATTTACTCGATTAGGTTAAAATTAGGTAAATCATATCAATTAAATTTGATGTGATTATAATTGTGTATGTGGGAAAAAAAAGATTAACATTATTATTATTATTTATTCAATGTTATTATTATGGTTAATCCATTAAAATTTAATCTTAACCAGATGATGATCACACTTTTTGATTATGATTTTGTGTCTTTATTACAATTAATCATTTGAAATCACATTTTTCTCTTAAATCAAATTGATGATAATCAATGATGATTAACAGACAAGCACATTAATAATAAAACAATTTGATTTAATTCAGTGTTTTGATAATGTTCCAAATCCATTGGAACCAAAATCAAATGTTAATCTTTATTTTTCCTAATCTATTATCACCTTAATTCCTTAACCATAGTAAATATCACACCTTTTTCGTGTTTAGGCCTTAGTGGCCTAGATCTTAATCCATTGAAAGAGGATGATGATTAGAGGGAACGAGAGAGAGAGAGAATTTCATTTCTAAATTCAAGGTTATAAAAACGAATAGAAGAAAAAAGTTCTAATCGTCGATTTGATCGATTCGTCGAACTACGAGAAAGAAGTTTTCGAAACAAAAAGTTTTCGATTGTTTTTTATTCTCGTTTAAAGTTACGAACGATAAATTGATTGGTTCGTTTGATTGTTTCCATTTTCCATTGATTATCTTTTCTTTTTCGAGACTTTGTTTATATACTTTTCACTCTCTTAGAATGGCGACAATTTATCGATTACAATTAATTAATTATTCTCTCTCTTTACTATCATCAGATTCTTAACCTGTGAGTTTTTAAAAGATTTGGCAACTATTTCAATCTCTCTTGCATTGGAATCACTTCATCTCTTTTTCTGTGTTAAATGTATCATCTCTGGCAACGATTTCTAATTTTCTGGTGAGATGAAGATGAAGATGATGAAGATTAGAGGTTTTCTCATCATTCGAATTGTCATCTTCTCTCTCTCTAATCTAATCTATGATTCTAACCATGATAACTGTCAGTCTATTCTCAAGGTCGTTGGGTTAAATTCAGTGTCGTATTCAACACAACAATCAGTACTGAATCAACAACAACCATCGGTATTGATACAATTAGATTACAACTCGACTAAAATTAATCTTAACATTATAAAGGTATTGATCAGATTAGTGACCTCTAATTACCTTTAATTAATTTACGATAATCCGTTGATCCAGTAGTCAAATTGATAACATGGTCCATGACAATGAACTTAATCCTGGTGTTATATAAATTTAGATTTAAATTGTTATAATTAATATGGAAAGAGATGAAAAAACTTTTATCTATTAGATTAATTTCTGGCAAGTATTATTAAAATGTTCAATCTAAAAGTTATACTACAATTTATTGATTGTTAACCGCGACAAACTCAGTTCATCAACATCATTTTGATATTAATATACACAATCAATGAGAGAGAGATGTTGATTACCGATTAATTGTTACGTTGTTAATCAGATTGATCGGGAAATTTACCTCGTAATTGATAATCATCTTGATCATTTAGTTTATTCATCATCGTCTTTCCAATGATTAAGTTACTTAGAGGTTCTTGATTCTGATCAAGAACTTTTTTCCTCTCTCTGTTGATTAACCATCGAGTTATTTAATCAACGAATTAATAATCGTGGTTAATTAACGTGAAGAAAAAAATTTTAATCAAAATTATTATTAAACTTGACACTGATTATGTTTTCCATTGATCAATTACATCTACATCATGATTAACTTTTCAATCAAATCAACGATTACCACGCAAATTAAACAAGGTCAACAATCAACGTTGATTCAATGATTAAATGGTAAATTATGTAAACAATTAACGTACTGTGATTTAAATTGTTTGATTAACTTTTTCTCTTTTCACTTGGAAATTAAATCAAGACAATTTCTCATATTGCCCTTGGTTAATTTACATTTGACAATTAAGAAAAGCTCTTGATTGTTTTAGATTAGTTTCTCTCTGAACTTGGCAATTGTTGTCTTGTTAGTTAAATTAGTATCTTAATTGTTGTATAATCTTTGGCTGGTAATAAGTATTTTATTTTATCTTTTATTATCAACTTGATTAATTAGAAACACTTTCGGTCATAGGAACTGGATCGATTTGTACAATTAACTGTAATCCAGGTTATCAATTAATTGGACCTGGAAGGTTAATCTGTTTGGCTTCGGGCTCATGGGATTTACCTTTACCTTCATGTATACCGGTCAACTGTCCACCCTTTGGCTATTCTGGTCAAGATGTACCGTTGGTTTCATGTATTCATCCATTGGGCTATCAAGTTACAGAATCAGCATTGATTCCTGGGACAATTTGTCGCTTTTCATGTCCAAATTGTTATTTGTTATCTGGTCAGTCAACAATTTCCTGTTCCGGTGATGGTCATTGGAACGGGTCAGTTGGTACCTGTTTACCAATTCATTGTCCAGATATAAATATTATAGCCAATGGTCAAACCTCTGGAATTTGTATCAGGCCAAATTGTATGGACACTTGTTCAATTTCATGTAATTCTGGTTACATGATATCCAGTTCATTGGTTAATCTTGTTTGTCAATCAACTGGACAATGGAGTGGACCATTACCAAAATGTATTCCCATTCCCTCATGTCCAGACTTATCATCTCCTGATAGTTATTCAAGTTATCGTGGTAATTGTCAGAATGCTAAGAATGGTGATACATGTGAACTATTTTGTGACCCATGTTACTTACCTACCGGACGGACCAGAGTAACCTGTCAATCAAACGGTAATTGGGACTCAAATTTAGGGAACTGTGTCACAAATAATTGTCCATCTCCAGTGATGGTCAATCTTTTAACGACCCAAGGACAATGTAAAAATGCCCGTTGTGGTGATATTTGTATGTTTACATGTAAAACTGGATACGAGTTACAAGGTAACACTTTAGATTATCTTAAACAGTTGAAAATTTATTGTGACAATTTATCTGATCATATCAGGATCTCGTTCATTGACTTGTGGTCAAAATGGTCAATGGGATAATCCATTTCCAACTTGTCGTTTAACTAAATGTCCTGATTGGCAAGTTCCAATGGGAGGTATTTTCATCAATGAATGTCCAGAGGGGTTAAACTGTCCATCCTTATGTCCAGGTCAACCTAATCAACGATGTAACCTAAGGTGTGGAGCGGGTTATCGGCTGATCGGAACAGCCGAAGAGGTCATTTGTTTACCTGGTACATTACAATGGTCTCAACCTTTACCAACATGTGAACCGATTCGTTAACTTGACAATTAAGAAAAAAAAAATAAATTAAATTAGATTCTTAAGAATAAGAAATAAAAACCAACAATTCTTATTCCAAGCTCAGAGTCTTGTTTTCAAATTTCGTCATTTAATCAATCAGACAGAACCGATTGATCAGTGATTGATTGATAAATCAGATTAACAATTAACTTTGGAGACAATTGTCCAATTTCAAGGGTTAATTCAATTGAATCAAATTCTAAAAATTGTCAATCATCAATTGTCAAAGAATAAGAGAAATCATTAACTATGGTCTTGCTTTTCGAGTTTAAGTTCGAGCTTTTTTTTTTCATTGATTCGAATAGAATTGAAAATTGTTCAGCTCACGATAGATAATTAATTGATTGGTTATGATGATTAAATGAATTTATTTTTAGTGTAAATGATAATAATCTTGTTATAAAGTTAATCTCAATTGATAGAAAGGTGTGAATGATAATTTACTAAATGATCGTAAGTCTTAATAGTCTTTTCATTTGTGACCTTTCAATGGATCATCTCACTAGTCACTAATCCGTGTCAATCTAATCTATTTCATCCTCGTTTCTCTTTCTCTTCTCTTTCTTTTCTCATACAGATCATTTCATCTTGAATTCTGAGTTAAATCATTTTCTTCCTTATAACAGAAAACTTGACATGTATTCAACCCGGACCTTGTAATTTACCCTCTTCATCTTCATCTTCATCATTCATCTCTTTCTCCTCTTCACTGAATCTCTTTACCCACCCTAACAAGAGAGAGAGAGAGAGAGAGATCCGTTTCAATCTTCTGATATTCTATTGAACAATCAATGGTGATAATACAATTGAATTATCACCATGAGGTGAGACTGAATATCAGAAGTTGATTGTTGAAATAGTTGCGAAAAAAGTTCCCTTCAAATCAATTGGAAAATCAAAGAATCACCAATTCTCAAATTGAATGTAATTCATTATATTGAGTAACTGGTTAATTGCTTAGATTTTGGGTAATAATTAAAGACAGTTACTATTATTATCAATTTAGATGTTAATTATCATGTTCAATTGAAGTGAACATGTTAAATTAGATGAAAAAAAACTGATGTTCAAATGATATGATGAGTGACCTTAAAAGTTTTTTTTCTGACCAACGGTGAGGTCAAAAACGATTCATGAGTTATTACAATTTAAACTGAGAAAAATATGTAAATTAATCAAATCATTAAAACCCAATCAGGTCATAAAGCAAGGTCAAGGTTGATTGAGGTTAAATATCCAAAAAAAATTAGATAGTATCAGATACCTGTTAACGTAATAATCGTATTTACGTCAAACTGAAACAATTAACATTTAGACTAATTAATAATGTCCATCCCATTGAGCCAATTCAAAGTAACTATCAATACTTATAAGTAATTAATCAAAATTAATTGTTGTGGTTACAATTTACTGATGATTTGGTCAACCAACTTTTCCAATTACATCGATAACTAATTCAAGTACTATTTTCGGTAATCAATAACCAAAGAATTGATTCAACCTGATCAACCTGATTCAATTAATATCCAACCATCAAATGACTAATTCATTCCCTTAATTTGTAACAATTAACCAACAGTAATTAGCTCCTAATAATATCCTTCCCAAGATGGAAATACAAAAGAAGACAATTTAAGTTAATTTATATTCCCCAATCTTAACGAAATAGATTGTAACTCCGTCAACAAAGGGTTAATTAACTGACCTTAATTAATATCGACTGATGAATGAATCAATTGATTAGCTGATTTTAATATTTGACAATGAAAAAAAAGGATTAGCATTGAGATCCAATGGATACAACTTGTTGTAATTGGCTGAACATAAAATTGACCTCAAATTGGTTGATTGATATTATCAACGAACATGATAATCGTCATGAAATCAATATAATTAATATCAACAATTAAGTAGCAATTTAGAAGCATTAATTTTGGTAAACGATAAGTAACCACAAAAACATCAACATATTCACACTCATTAAATCAAAAGAAGAAGAAAAAAAAAGTTAAACCTTTTCAACCATCAAATTTAAAAGTAATTACAGTTAACTGATCAAGATGATGAGGATGATAAACATGATGATTAAACTGATATTGTAATTTAGTGATTAAGGTAAATTAAATCCTCTTTTTCTCAACCTATCATTTTCATTCTCTATTTTTCATCATGTAAACAAAACGAAAACAAAATGATTCGGTTAAATGAATTGAATTTTAAATTCTCTTTCTTTTCTCATTCCCAGGTAACATTTGCCCTGTTTCTAATGAAGATCATCATCATCATCATCATCTTCATCTTCATCTTCTTTTTCATCCTTCTGAATGCCCCTCGACATGATATACAAACAGAATTACCGGTTTATCTGCATGTTGCCCCGAAAAAAGAAGAAAAAAATTGGTTCAAAATGGATCCTTCTCACCTTGTCATCATCATCATCTTCTTTTTTTCAGTCTCTTATCATCCTCATCTTCTTCTTGCTACCTTTAATCTTGCTCTCTCTCTCTCTCCTCTTTATATGACCTGGCCCTCTCTCACAATCTACTTCCTAGTTTAAGGTAACATCATCTAATGATAATCATTTCTTGTTTCAACTTCGTCAGATCAACTTAACCAAAAAGTTTAACGGTTAATTATTTAGTGTTCATCCTCTTTACACATTTACAGTTAGTTAACTACACTTGGAAAAAATCATGAAGTCGGTTATCATTTGTGTCTTTCTTAGCGCTATGGTTTTTACCATTGTCTCTGCTGCTGTTGACCCTTCGGCTCAATCTCGCCAGGCCGCTTTAAATGAGCGAAAGGCTCGATTTGATACCGAAAAAAAGGAAATCACTGGTTTCATGAACACCAAGAATCTTTTCAAGACTGTTGTTAAAATCTTATTTGGTTCCAGTGAGGAAAGTGCGGCCACAGGTCGACAAGTTCTTAATGTTCTAGTTGAGGTAAGTTTCGAAAGTGATTTCTATTATTTTTCTCTACTTTTCTGTTGCATTCTAATTTGCATGTCGTTGTTTTTATCCTTTCTCTGTTGGAAAAAAAAGGTTCTCGATATGGTTCGAAATTCATTTGGTCAAAAGGCTCGAAGTTCATCTTCACGAGGATTAAAAGATACCGTTGATGGAGCCGCTTTCGCTGGTGCAACCATGTTACGTGGTTACGTTAAATCATATTTAGCTGGCGATGATCATTGTGCTCAACGACATTTGTGCGAATCATCAAAAGAGGCTGCACGAGAAGGACGTGAACTCGGTGGTGTTGTAGCTCAAGTTGGAGGGTAAGTTTCAGTTCAAATTCATCTTTTTGATACAAAATATTTTCCTCTCTCACTGTTCACGACCAACAATCAAAAATCACCAATTTGATGATAGTCATTAAATGGAAAACCTAAATTTAGGTCGTTTTCCTTGAACGCTTCAACAAAATCTATTTATTCAATTTAAGAATTGAATCTTTTTCTTTCATCATCTCTGAATTTAAACAGGACAAACTTTACCTCAAATCCTATTTACCAATTTTTGACCTTTTTACTGCTCTCTCTCTCTCTCTCTCTCTCTCTCTCTCTTTCATTCTTTCTTTTTCGCCTTTATCATCCGCATCTTTTCATCATCTAACTATTTTCTCATCTCTTTCTTTTTCCATCTTCTAAACAACAGTTATGCCACTAGCTACCTTCTTCCTCATCAGAAATCAATCCCATCGAGTGCCATTAGTGAGGCCGTTAGACGAGGACGAAGCAACGAAGATTGTGCTAAGATCTACTCAAATTGTAACGAAACCTTGTAAACCAACTGACCACACTGACCTTGGACTTCTGGACACTAAGTTTGTGATGGAACCAAATCGTTGAAAAGCATAAATTGAATCAATTTAAGTTAATCAATATTTTTCCTCCATCTCTCTTTCTATCTAAACATCAACAACTTCTCATACCACCGATGACTTTTTTTTAAATTGTTCCTTTTTCCAAAACCCACCTCATCTTCAATCACGATTGGATCACAATTTCAGACATTTTTCTTCCTCATCACTTGGTAGAGTTTTAAATAGAAAATTATTTATCACAAAATAATGGTAATAATAATTATCTTCTTAATCAAAGTTCCGATTTTCCCACCTCGAGATTTGATCAAAACCACCGTCATCAGGGACTACGATCAATGCCAAAGATCAAACAATTAGATTTCTCAATGATCCGAAGTCACCTCTGATCAGTCCTTCTAATTAATTTCCATCAATCAAATGATTAACTAATTTTCCACCTTCCTAATTAACTTATATTTAAATGCACCAACAATTAACTACATATTATAAGCAACAAACTAAATGAGTGATTAACTATCACCATTTTTGAAAAATCCTTTCATTTTTGTTATTATTTTATTATGACAATTACATTAAATTGCAAAACAATATTTTGTTAATCAAAACAAGTTACAATTAATCAAATTGGAGTCACAATTTATTTCCCAATTAATATCACAACGGTAAACACAAACAATTTAACCAAATCATCTGAAAGGTTTTCAACAACAATTAACATTCACTAGCAAGTGTAACTTTTGTCTTGTACCAAATTTAGTTATTAATAGTAACAATTAAGCTAATTGTTTCAACTGTTTTAATTGTTTGAGAGAAAACAATTGAATTAAAAGGCAAAGTCACACAATTAACTTGTAAACCAAATAAAAAAACAATAACCATCATTATGGTTAAGGTCAAGGTTGGAATTGTTGAAACAGTTAAACATGATTAAGTGGCAACAATTTAAGAACCAGACCAGTTAATCAGGAAGTAGGTTCAAACCTTGATTATTTTAAGCTTCATTAACCAGTTCATCAACTTAATCATCTTCTTAATCATTTTAATCACCGTTACACCTTCATGACAAACAATCAACTGTGAAGAAATAGATTGTAAACAAAATATATTTACGAAATTGTAACAATTCAATTGTTGTATTAATACAAATGGAAATAGATTATTATTATTATTATTAAAATTATCAATAGAATTTGAAATTTAAGAAAAAATTATTACAATATATTGAGTTAAATCAAGTATAATAATTGATTAGTTACAATTTAATCAATTTTAATTGTTATTTTTTCAGTTTCTTTTGTGTTTATGTCATTTTTTTATAATTATGTTTAACTTTTTGTTGTACCAGGGAAAAGGTTTTAATTGCTCCTTGTAAATATCTCTCTGATTCAATTATTGCGTTTGATTTGTTGATTGTGGAGAGTTAATTGTTAGCCAATTGATTAAGCACAAACATAGGTGAGGAAATTGTCCAATAAAATACCAATTTCACTGGAATTGTGGCTTAAAAAGCTTCGATGATCACCATCTATGATGTTGACCAGGATTTTATTTTTCGAAAGCTAAAATTAACAAATAAATTAACAAATTATTAGTTGATTAGGTTAATTATTTAGAGAATATTGTTGTTTGTAATTAACTTACTTTAGATAATCCGTAATCTTCCTCATAAACGGTTGTTAAGTAACGATTTGATGCTCTAATCAAATTGATTGAGGTCTCAAGACAACCGGAAGGTCGGTATGTATGGGCCATCTTCATTTTCCGGAAGTGTCGATCAGTGGCCAAAATGAGTGAGTCTTTTTTGGTACCAGAGGAAAGATGATGACCCAAAAGTACTTCCATCAATTTGATTCGTTCACTTTGAGATTCGAGGCGGAAAAGTTGCTCTTTAAATTTATTAAGTTCATCTAATGGGATGAATGAAGCAGCGTAATTGATTAGTGTTTCCGCTTGGGCCATGGCTTCATCCATGGAACCATATTTCTCAATCATCTCATCTAATTGTGATCTCAGGTAATCGGGTGCTCCATCTAACATTACCAATCGACTGACAGCTGATTGTTTCCTTCGAGAACTTAATTGTATGGAGACTTCAAGAGCTAAAAGTGCACCAAAAGAGTAACCAACAAAATCATATTGATCTTCAGTGGGGAAATTTTCAACAATTTTATCAACATAAAAGGCTGCAGCTTCTTGCATCGTTTCAAATGTGTCCAAATCTTTTGTCCAATTGACACCAACAATTGGTCGGGATAAAATTCGGGTCAAAGGTAACATGAGATTGTAATTACCCTCAATGGGTGGGAAAAAGAAGACAACTTTTCCATTATGAGAGGTGAGAGTGGTAAATAGACCCTCAGGCTCTTGGTAAACTTCAGCCAGCGCTTTGGTATCATCGGTTTTATCTGTTTCTCCTTCAGTTGTTGGACTGTTTTTACTTCCGGAAAGACAAAGTTCTTTGATATCTTTAACCTTGAGATTACGAATCTCTTGGGCGGTAAGAATTGCATCGTAATCCCGTTCAAGGGCTTGTTTAATTTCAACGGCCATCAGTGAATCCATACCAAGTTCACCGAGAGTAGTTGATGGATCAAGAGTTGAAGGATCTTTAACACCAAGAATATGACAGATCATTTTAAATGGTGACTCTTTGACACTTGAACTTGTTCGTTTGGAATCAGCGATAACAATTGATGAACATGTTGTATAATCAGAGGTTAGGAAAGTGTCCATGGTTGATAAGACGGAGGGAATTCGTTGGGGTAAAGTTCCGCCAATAATTATATCATTACCACCTAAATGTTCAGCGACAACACCAACATCGCCAATGGCTCCCCATTGGATGGCCATTCCATGGTAACCTTCAGCTCTTCGAGCCTCACAAACTCTTTCCATAAATGAATTGGCGAATCCATAATTGGACTGTCCAGCGTTACCCTTACCCGATGCGACAGATGAAAGCAAACAAAATAATCCAACTCGGGACAGAGTTGTCGAGAAAGTGAATCAAGTAAAAGAGTGGCCTTTACTTTTGGAGCACAAACTTTTTCAAAAGTTTCGACTGTTTGATTTTCAAAGAGAGCATCATTTAAGACCATAGCTAAATTAAAGATACCACCGATTGGCCCAAGTTCAGCCGCTTCGGCAAATAAAGCACGAGTCGACTCTTCAGTCAGAGCGGTGTTTGTTGAGACAATAACCTCTCCATAAGAGTAAATTATTTCTTTTTTCAATCGTTGAATGGACGTTTTTTGGTAACCTGTAACGGCTCCTGAACGTGAGGTTAAAACAATTCGGGCAGCGCCTCGATCAGCCATCCAATATGCCAATTCAAGACCAACACCACCAAGACCACCGGTGATTATGTAAGTCTTTGTGTGGTCAAAATGAACTCGAGCCAAACACGGATAAGGTTTGACAATTGGAACTGGTTCAGTTTCCTCATCTCGAATTTTGATCAAAACTTTTCCAGTGTGTTTACCTGCGGCCATGTATCGGACGGCCTCTTCAATTTGATCTCGTTCGAATACGGTTGTATCAATAGGTCGAACTGAACCATTTTCAAGTCCTTCTTCAATCCAACGACGACAAGTTTCAGTCATTCCTCGTGATTTGACACATCCATTGCAAACATCATCTTGAAGATGAGCCAAACAAACAACATGACAAGTTTTGTTGTTAGTGAAGAGACTGAGATCTAAAGATGGAAAATTAAGAAAAAGATAAAATAATTATTTTATTTAAGAAAAAGTTTTGATTTAGTTAAAGCAAAACAACGAGGAAGAACGAATTTGTTGTCTTTTCATCTTCATCTTTTGATGCAAGACTTTTGTTAAAAGTTGCTCTTCTTGATGAGGATGAAAAGCAAGACAAGAGATGGACTCAAGAAGTGATGATAATGATGAGGATGAAAAGTAAACATAATGTGTACATAGTAAGGCAAGAATTAAACATCAATCTCTTTGCCTGCCTTGTTCATATTTTCCTCTTTCTCTCTCACCATGAAATATATCATGAAATTTACTGAATGAAAGAAAATCTTTTCATTCAATCTGTTAAATCCGTTATTTTTGGGTGAAAATTTTAACACTAAAAGTTGAACAATTTACTTTATTCATTTTTGTGCATTGATTTGCATCACAAACATTAACCATTGACAATGTAAACAACGTTGTTGAAGATGAAAAAAAAGAGGATCAAGAAGATGAGAGGATGAAGAAAACATTGAATATCATTTAAAAAGTTCAAGTTGGAGGTTTTTTGGTTTTCTTTTTGTTTTTCTATGGGGTAATGTTGTTCAAATGTCATACTAGCTGATGATGATCCTCATGAAGATGATGAGATGATAATATTATCATGATGATGATGAAACCACACGCTTTTCACACTTTGGAAATCATCAATCTGGATTACAGGGGAATGTTGATATTCACTTTTGGAAGAGAAAACTTTTTTCGACTCAAAAATTTACGAAATCATCTTTGTCTTTCTTCCTTGTTTTCTCATCATCATCATCTGTTCATCCCTATCTTTGTTTTCCATCTTTCGAATTTACAATTGTTTATCGAATTGTGATTTGTTCTTTTTTCTCTTTGGGTTTTTGTTCATTCTCATTGCATATTAAAAATATTACAAAATGATTTATGATTAAGAATTTGCATAAACAGGCCAGAATCAACGACGAAATCAACTTCCTCATGGTAAAACAATGTAATATTAATTCAATAACAATCATCATAAGCATGATAACTGCAAGTATTATAATAATAGTGATGATGGTGGGTAAGATTAAAAATAGAGAAATAGAGACTTTTACTTTGAACACTTACCGATTTTATTGTTCTGAATGATATCGTATTTACCGATCTCAATGAAACGTCCGTTTTCTGCTAGGGTTCTTATTGAAGCGAGGAATTTATCCTCTGAAAGTGAATTAAGAACGACATCAACACCATGACCATTAGTTTCTCGAAGGATTTGCTCCTCAAATGATGTGTTTCGAGAGTGGCAAATGTGTCGATCATCAAGAGCTGGAAATAGTTTCTTAATATATTCACGTTTCTCTGGAGTACCAACAGAAGTGAAAACCTCACAACCCATACCAAGAGCGATATTAATCGCAGCTTGACCAACACCTCCTGAACCAGCGTGAATAAGGACTCGTTCACCTTGAGCTAAACGACCACGTATTATGAGACCATAAACGGCCGTATAATAAACAACTGGTATACTGGCAGCATCTCGAAGTGACCATGAATCAGGAACCTTTACTATAAAGTTACAAGAATAATCAACGAAAGAATCACAAATTCCCGAGCCTGAGGCCATTCCAGCGATTCGTTGACCTGCTTCAGTGATACCAGCAATTTCAAATCCAAGTCCATATCTTGTTAATGATTTGGGATAAGCGTTGGTCGGAATACGACCTGAAGCCACCATAACATCCTTAAAGTTGATTGCAGAATAATAAAGGTTAATCTTATGAACGGGAATACCATTAAGCTCAGTTGGAGCTTCTTTACTAAAGTTGAGCTGTGATTGTAACCAACGGACGGACGATAAATCACCTCGGACAATAAAATCAGCGTATGTGTAATTAGCTGTGATCCATTTTTCTTTTGAGTCAATCAGGGTGTGTCGATACGAGCCTAAACTTGACCCATCCAGAATATTCATAACTAAATCTTTCTCCGCTAATTCAAATTTATCAAAGAGTAAGTCGGTTTCATTACTAATCTCATCACCTTCAGTAATTAAACAGCGTAATTTAGCACCGATTGGCTCACGACGGATACAATTAACCATACCAACTAATCCAGTTAATCGGGAATTGGCTCGTAACCAGATACGATTATAAGCCTGATCTTCAAGTAAGATCTTCAATGTTTCAACCCAGCCAAAGTCATGAATTGAGGTATCAACGATACGAGATTTAATTGCAGATGAGGATAATTTTTTCCTAATTAAAAGTGACCGCCAACCAGAATCTGTCCACTGGGAAGCTATCAAAGTAAAACCAGTTCGGTCAAGAATATCCTTGTATCGGCAAGTATCTGTGGTATTCCAGTCACTATCTTTTTGTCCCATATAGTCGGTGATCTTTTCCTCCAACGGTGAAATAGATGATCGAGTGAGAATCAAGACAAAACCTTGAGCGTTTAAAGTTTCAGCAAATCGTTCTAACAGTTCAACTGAATTGATTGACGGCACTGGTTCAAGAGCCGAATGTAAAAGATCACAAGAAGGTTCAACATAAAGGACAATTTCAGACGGGGAAGTTCTGGAAGTCCATTTTCGGGAGACCAATGATGAACTTTTCTTTGGCTTCGGCGGAAACTTGCACAATCGTTATTAGGAGTAACTAAAGTGTAATTAGCAATTCGATTCATTAAGATTGGTAAGGCTCCAGATAAGACGGAGTAAATTGCGTTTTGACTTAAATTAACTTCCACTATGTTAATTACGGTCGAGTTTACATTTTCCTCGACAATTCCCATGTGGAATCTTAAAAGTCCGGCTAAATCATGAATATTTAGCAACTTGTCCTCGGTTAATTTATCAATGTTCGTTGTGAGATGTCGAGTGATAGTATCTTTTATTGGTTCACCGACAACGGGTTCTCCATTATTCAATTGTTTCTTCTCATTTTCACTGACAATCAATTCGTTGAGAGTGTTGAGTAAACCATTTTTACTCGAATCGATTTCGAGAATTGCTTTAATTCGTTCACTTTTTTCTTTGGGTAGATCGTCAATCAAAGTCGAATCAGGTCCAGTTAAATTTGACCAAAGGGTATCACATAGATCAACGTATTCGTTAAGGGAATGATCTTTAATTGGAGTAGCATAAGCACCATCGTAAGGTTGGAAATCATATGATTCGAGGGTAACTTGTTGATTGCCAACTTTTCTAGGGGCAGTGTCACCCTTCATACCCTTGATGACAAGACCTTCAGTGGATATGATGTTAGAATACCGATCGAAGTAAACTTCCTTCAATGAGTCAGCACTGGTCTCGAAAGCTTTGAATAAAACTCGAGGATCGTACCTAACATATTCAAAGTGAGTTGGTAAAAATAGTTCACGCAACGGGTTGGCCAGAATGGCAACATGAAGGACACAATCAGCGAGAGAAATGAAATGTTCAAGTCGACGGATTTTAGCAACCGAAGCATCGGACATCGCTTCGACGACACCTTGAAAGGTACTACCATAATCATAACCACGAACTCGAAATTCTTTATAAATTGATTTAGCATCCAAAGAGACAGCATTTGGATCGGTAGGTGATTTTCCCATTTCAGTATAATTAAATTGGCTATAAGGTGAGCCTAAAGAGTAATTACCGGTACAAGCAACACTTTCAGATTCACAAACGGCAAATGTACCAATTTTTTCATTTAAAAAGATACTAAACTCAACGGGACTGTTACGAGTTACAAGAGTAGCCCGATGAAGTTTAACATTTTTCAGTTCGACAATTGTATCAGATCCATTGAGACGGGAAATTTGATGCCAGACAAGGTACATATATCCAGTAGCTGGGAAAAGGATACGACCATCAATAGTATGTCCACTTAAATATTTATCCGAAGGTGAGTTAAGGTCAAATGTGTGACGTACATTGACCGCTTCACTTGTTTGATATTCTGGATATTTGGCAACAAGATAAGATTTTGTATGATCCCATTTAATAAGGTGTGAAATTGGTTCAACTTCACGAGGAACGGGAAACTCGACTTTCGGGTAAAGTTTCTCAATTAACGGATTATGACCTGATTTATAAATGTCACCAAGGCCAGAGAGAAGGGGAATAAGTCCGGTAGATGATTTATCTGAAAGACGAACGTATGAACCTTCGGCACCGGCAGTTTCTCTAATGAGAGGTAAAAGGGTAGTAGTTGGGGCGAGTTCAAGGAAACACGCGTTTTTGGGTAACAATTTGATTCGCTCATAGAAACGAATCTGATTAATTGCAGCATTAGCATAATAGTGAGGGGTACAGAATCGATACCTATCCTGACCTGCCTCTTCATCTGGAACTGATGAAGATATCCACCGGTGAGAACGTAGTTTAGGTTCAGTGATCACTTTACTAAAATGTTCAATCAATTTATCGTAACCGGAGGCAATGAATGAGGAGTGGAAAGCAGTCTGACAAGATTCAACCTCAACCATGGGAACGTTACGTGATTTAAGTTCATCCAAAAACTTGGGGAAAGCTTTAGCATCACCGGAAACGGTTGTATTATTTTTGGTGTTGGAACAACCCGCTTCGATACCTGGTGGTACAATTTTACACACCTCATCCCAGGTAAGTCCAAGATTAACCATTCGTCCTGGTCCAGTTTGACTTTCGGGCACTGTTTTGGCGACCCAATAGGCAACCAGAACTGCTTGTTCATCGGTTAGACAACCATCAGCGTAACCGGAAGCAATTTCACCGAAAGAATAGCCCAAAATACCGTCGGGCTCAATTCCAAGCCATCGGAGTACATCAACCAAACCAATTTGAATGGCAACGATTGAAGCCATTGCATGGATAACAGATTTAAAAATATCCTTATTGTCGGGATCACAGATCAGTGATTTAAGGTCAATGTTAAATGGTTCTAATACTTTGGTTAATTTTTCCATTTTCGCAGCAAAAACGGGTAACTGCATCAAAGAGATGCCCATTCCACCCCATTGAGATCCGAGAGGTGAAAAGATGAACCAAAGAGGTTGTTTGGAATCGGTTCGTTTACTTGATTTACGAACAATTTCATCTTTATCGATAACAGCATAGCCACGATGACGAAGACCTCGTTCGGGTGGAGAGTAAGATACTTTATTAAGTAAGGCCAAATATTCACGAGTTAAAGTTTTGTTGGACAATTTAGATTGTAAAGTGTCAAGCATAAATTGAACTCCTTGAGTTGTACGATTTGAAACATTGACCAATCTTGGGATTGGCGAGTCAATAATATAAGAATCGGGATTGCAGCGTTTTTTGTTTGCCTCGAGAACAGCATGAACATTGACACCACCAAAACCAAATGAATTAACACCGATAATATTACCCTGGAAGGGAGTTTGTTTAAGCACTGGAATGATAATTCCCTTGGCAAGTCCAGGAATATTTGGATTGGGGTCGTTGAAATTTAGATTGGGCGGAATCCAACCGGTTTGAAATATTTTGGCAACTTTGGTGATTGAACAAAGTGCTGAGGCTCCTTCGGTATGGCCCATGTTTGATTTAAGGCAACCAAAGAGTATCGGTTTAGTTGATTTACCTCTTAAACCGGATATAATGGCCTCCGATTCAATTGGATCACCGGCTGGAGTACCGGTCATATGAGCTTCAATATATTCAACATCATCAGTGTTGATTTTAGCCTCTTCGTAAACTTGTTTCATCAGTGAATGTTGAAGTTTAAATCGAGGAAAGGTAATACCTTCCGGTTTAAAACCATCGGTATTGGTACGACAATTTAAAATGGTGGCATAGATACGACGAGCATCAGGTTCTCGTTGTAATAGGATGGCAACCACAGCTTCAGCTCGACAATAACCGTCAACTTTGGCGTCCAAACATTTTGGAATACCATCATCGGATAACATACTAAGAGCACGGAAACATTGTGAAATAGATGGACTTAATTGTACGGTGACACCACCAACGATACAATTATCACATTCACCTGCCTTCATGGCGGATAATCCAGCACAAAAGGCGGAAAAAGATGATGCACAAGCAGAATCGACCTGAGCTACGGGGCCTCGAAGGTCAAGAGAATAAGATACTCTCGATGTAGATAATTGAAGAAAAGCAACTGATGCTGATTCATCTTGGGTTAGCGCTCGAGAGGAATCGTCGTAACATAAACCAAAAAATACTCCAGTTCGACTACCACGAAGATCGTCAGGGTTAATACCTATTTTATCAAGAGAGAGAGATTTATTACCGATTAATTGTTACACTGTTAATCATCTTGATCATATCATTCAGTTTATTCAGTTTTACAAATGAATAAGTTACTGAGAGGTTCATGATACTGGTCAACTTTTTCCCCTCTCCTATTACTATACTGTAATTTAAATTGTTTGATTAACTTTTTATTTTTTCACTTGGAAATTGAATTGAAAACAAATTCTCATATTTCACTTAATTATTTTACATTTGCTAATTAGGGAATGCTCTTACTTGTAATTGTTTTTTTATTGTTTAGATTAGTTTGTCTGTTTGAACTTGGCAATTTTTGTCTTTTAGTTTAAATTAGGATCTTAATTGTTGTAATAATCTTTGGCGGGTAATAACCCGATTAATTACAAACACTTTCAGTCCTCACAACTGAATCGATTTGTACAGTTAACTGTAATCCAGGTTATCAATTAATTGGACTTGGAATGTTAATTCTGTTTGGACTCGGGCTCATGGGATTTACCTTCATGTGCCCCGACCAAACTGTCCGACCTTTGGCTATTCTGGTCAAGATGTTAAATTATTTGAATTTCAAAAAGTTACCTGCATCCCAAACGGCTTCGTAAACGGCCTCATGAAATATTCTGATCTGAGGGTCCATTTGATTTGCGTCTCTATCGGTGATTCCAAAAAACTCCGAGTCCATTTTTGAGATATCACGGATTTTTCCAGCTCTTTTTGGTGTTCCAAGGTAACCTTTAAATTATACAGCAAATTAAGACAATTAATCAATTGAATTAATAAATTGTTCATTTTCATTTGTAAGAACAACAGTAAATTAATCAATCAAATCAAAACGACAAAACTTTTTGTTATTGAATTTCTCGTGTAAATACATTCAAGTTGATTAAATTTAGAAAAATATTTCTATTATTAATGATAATTGAATTGAGGAATTGAATTATCATCGTGTATCTAATTGTTTATGTCTCATCTTGTTAGTGTTAGACAGATGCAATTAAATAAATTTAATTTGAAAGTTAATTTGTTATTTAGATTAGTTTGAAAAGGGAAGAAGATTTCCTTTAACAATCAAGGCTAATTGTGTTCCCAAATAGACTTGGTAGACATCAGATTTGATTATTATTGTATTAATTGTGATCATCATCATGATAAAAGGGAAACAGGTCATTTTGTTAATCACTAATCACACACGAAATCAAATTGAAATGGAGTTGTTGAAATCGACAGACGAAACTGTTAAACCACAATTAGAAGATAATTGTGATGATGATGATGATGATGATAATGATCAGAAGAGAAAATAATAACAATTATAAAAATATAAAGAATTAAACAAAAAAGGTAAATCAACTTAAATCTAATTCACTGTTGCAAGTCAAATTATGTTAACGATAATTTTACATTAAGGGTAAATTGATCATCATCATGATCAAGATAATCATTAGAATCATCTAATTGTCAGGTAACGGTATAAACAATCAACTGTAAATTGGAAGAGCAATTATTGCTGTTGAGTAAATTAGAAGATGAGAATAATTAATTTAGAAAAGCTGTTAATTAGAGAGATTTAGACACAACTGAGAAGAATAGGAAATGTTTATAGAGAAGAAAAATTTTACCATTTTGTTAGAAACCAAGACAAAAGTGTTAAAGATGATATTAAATTGTCGATGTTGATGAGAGAAGATTAACAAGACATTAGATCAATGATGCCAATCAATTTGACTATTTAATGGATCGTCAAACAATCAGATCATAATCACAACAATTTAACAGAAAAAGAAAATTTTTTTTTTCCAATTCTACAATAAGAGTTACATTAGAAATCCATCAACAGAAAAATAAAATAAACATTAAAGGGAAAACTTGATATTCACAGTTAATCTGTAGCACAATAAAAGCCTCTTAACATGTTGATCAACGTTAATTGTTGCACAAAATTAAATCATAACAATAAATCAATTCGCAAATCAATTACAATTAACTAATCCAAAAGGAGGTAATTAAACTCAACCAAAGGATTAGAATAGAAGAAAACAAAAAGCGAATGAGTCGCCATCTATTTCGTATTTATGTTAATCGGGATGGAAAAAAATTCCGTTGGAAAAAATTAGTTACATGGATAAAAAATGTTCCTCTTAATTGTTTTTCTTTTGTGATTAAATTTAATTCTATTCTTTAATCACTTGCAATTAATCGATAATCTTAATTGTTGAAGTGTCTATTTCTATTGGAATTCAATTTATTTCTTGTAATTGTAGTTGTTTGTTTTGTCATTTCTCTTGTACCTTTTGTGTGTTTTTTTTTCAATATTTTCATTGTGTTTTCAATTTGATTGTCATCATCATTGCTAATGATTAGTTAATTTACTTTATTCAGGCTCATTTTCACCTAAATTGTGGATTAATCATTAAGGTAAAAAGGTTAATATCTAATGTTGTCATTCACCTGATTATATGTTTTGTATCTTTTCACTTGTTGTACTATATCGTCTCAATGTTTCAATCCATTTAAGATGGAAAATTATTACTAATACAATTAAGGAAATAATTCTAATTCTTTATTTTTTTTTCTCTCATATTATTACAGTTCTTAATTATTATGGTCATCTCTCCCCTCAGGTGAAAGTTAATTACCAATCTACAGTTGACTTTGCCTACTAATCACCACGGAAGTATAAATATTGCCTATTGGAGATTAAGCTGATAACCCATTCACCTTTTTTTTTCATTTCTTTTCATTTCTTTTGATCAACGGTACCAATTAATTGTCGATAACAGTCAACTATTGATATTTCGAAATGTCAACAACAATTTACTGTTTGGGTTTAATCAACTGGCTAAGTAAATGGATTTTAAATTGTTATTATTATTGAATGAAAATTGTGAGAAAAAGAAAATTATTATTGACACTTTTTTATTTCTCTCTTGCTTTTGTTTCAGAATCACTAACAACCACAATTACCAATTACAGTATATAAAAGGGAAAACTAATCAGCTGAGATGGAGGATAGTTAACTTTAATCACTTAATTTCTGGATTTAATTATTCCTTCAAATCAATCAAACAATGAAGAGGTGACATTACATATAATAGATTAACTAATGAAATTGTCTTTTTATTTCTTCTTTTGTTTCATTGTCCAAATTAACTATTCTATATAATTTTCTTTCTCTAATTACAGAAAATGAACATTTTTCCACCATACACCTTAATCTAATCAAGTGAACATTGTATACAATTAATTTTGCAACTTATAATCAAGATGAATGGTAAAGTTTTACATGAAAAGATACATGATAATGATTAGATTTTGAAATTTTCTAAACAAACTTAATGTGATATACTAATGATTGTAACTCTTTCTCTCTCTCTCTCTCTCCAAAGAAACTTAAATTGTATTTTATTCACCACCACCACCATCATCAGTATCATCATCATCATCATGATTCGTTGTCATCGTTATCATAATCACACCAGCATCAGTAACAATCAACACATATCGAAAGCAAGCAAATGAAAATGTTTGGTGATCAATCAATTGGATCAAAAGCTGAAAGAGAGGAAAAAGAAAACTTAACCAAGCAAGAAGATGAATGCTAAGCACCAATGAAGAAGAAAAATGATCGAAAATTTATCTTCTTCGTCGTTATAACTCTTTCTTTTCATTCTTATCGTCTCTCCCTCTCTTTATCATCCAAGAAGGAGAAGAGGATTGTCACCAGAAAGAGATGAGAATAGTTAATCCGTTATAATACATTAATTAGGATCGTTATCAGTGTAAGACGTGACGACTCTCATCTTAATTATCTGCACGTTCATCAACACATGATAAGTTTCCTCCGTGTACATTGGCCTTTTTTTCATGTGTCTAATTCACTCAACAATTAACTGAGAATCCAAATTTCTCAATCGTTGCAGTTTAATAATCATCTTCAATTTGCTTCCCTTTTGTTTTACTGTTTACATAAATTATCCTCATCAGTTATTATTACTTGTAGTTTTGTCTCAGTAATTAATCACTTGATTCAATTTCATTATTAGTATAAACTTTTAATTAGCCTTACAGTTTTTGATTGTCTATAAGAAAAATTTAAATCTTATCAATTGCAATCTCGAAATAATCAAATTTTTTATCAGAAACATTGTTTACAATTGTATCGATCTCCAGAAAACTTTCAATTGTTGTTGATATTGTTTAATGAGCTGTCATAATCTAGATTGTTAAGATTACCATGATAAACTAATTAACTTGATTAATCTTATCTCAATCAACAAAAAGTGATCAAAATGAAAGTAATTGTCAGATACTCACATCAGATTAATCTTAATTAGCTGAACAATCAGATCAAATTATACTGCAAACCACAAACAGAAACCAATTTTATCAGTTGACTATCAGTTAAATTTTAACCACAATTTGAAATAAATGAAGAAAGCAATCAACAACAATTAGTAATCTCGTCGATAATCAAATTACTGTTATTGGTTTATTACAATTATCTCATTCATTCTTGGGAAAAAATTGGAAATTAATGCAAAGTACCAGAGACAAATTAATCATATTCTAACTACAATTAACTAAATTTTCGTTTCATTTTTTTCCTACAGGTCACTAGCCGTTTGGTTGATTTCGAACGAAATTTCTTTTCTTCAAATTTTTTTTCTTCGATAGCTGAATATCATTCGATAGATAAGTCTTCTGAAATTATTATACAGCAAAAAATATCGAACCGATTGGCCGAAACTCGATTTCGGACAAAGAGATCGTTTTTTTGGTTGATTTTTCTTTATGGAGATTCAACATGGGAGCAGAACTGGTTTTGAGTTTGAAAAACAAAATGAGATTAATTTCCAATAAAATTAGTACTTAATTTCTAGTTTCATAAGTAAATTGATTAGTGGAATCAATTACAAAAATGGTCAAATGAATGAAATGAAAGCGACTTTTATGTGGATTAAGATTAAATAATCGACTTTGAAGGTCAACTTCGGGATACGGAAATCATTATTTTATACTTTTCTCGCACAACAAATTCAAATCGAATCGAGTTTTCAATTGTACAATTAAGTTAATCAACTCACCTATTGGCCATCGTCTATCATCAGCAGTATAAAGTGGAACTCCGTTCATAAGGTTTGACCAGAACTCCTCGACATCATCCGAATCGGGATAACGTCCAGAAATACCGGAAATAACGATATTATCCTTGACCTTCCAGTTGAGTTCGTTAATACCCTTGGGCATATTGTTTTCATCCAAAGTTTGTTTATCCATTTCCCTTGATGGTTAAGATGATGATCAATTAAGACACAGTTTCAAATTAATACGAAGCAATGGAAGAAGAAGAAAAAAAAATCAAACCAAATTAAATTAACTTTGATTCGTTACAAATCATAGATAATAAAACGAAAGAGTCGAAATTAAAAAAAAAATATAGTAACGTTGTAACTTAGCACTTGAAACTTGTTGATTGCAATTAAATTAACGATAATTTTGTTTTCTAATCAACAAGTAATTTAACAATAATGATGAATAACAATAACTGTGTTTCTATCAATTGAAATGGATAAACAAACAACAATCTTACAGGTAAACGATGAAATGAAAAACTGTCTTACCTTGCAAAAGATGAAGCTCATGAAGATAATGAAGATAATGATGATGAAGACGATGATGATGACGATAATGACGATAATGATTAACTATCAAACTTTTTAATAATAGTTAAAATATCAAGGTACAGTAAGAGATTTGAAAGGATTGAATATAATATTAGTCTCCTCCTTAAAGTAAAACTTTTCTAAATCTTTTTACCTGAAAATTACATGAGAAAAATACTATCTCGACATGATCATCATCACCTTATCATCGTCGTCATCATTATCATCATCATCATCATCATCAGTATCATCTTTGGGATTCCAGTCTTTCCATTCAACCTACAATAATAATATTGTCACTTCGCTCTACCTTTGCCCCTACTTTTGACTCTTACCTTTTCCACTTCGCTTCAATGCTTATTACAGGTATTCCCATCATTAGGTAGTTTTATTATAATGATAATATATAAAAGGAGATGAAGTTGTTGTCGTTGTTGTTGTTGTTGTTGTCGATGAAGATGATGACATGAAGGGGGTGATGATGGCGGAGAGGAAAGGGATGGAGATAAGAAGGAGGTGAGAGAGGAGGAGGTTAAGGAGGAACATGCGATATCTATTGGTAAAAGAATCGTTTTGAAATGAACAATGAATAATAACGAGATATTATTTCGCTCTATTTAGTTTACGAATCAATATCATCTTCATCTTTAGCACGCACGCACGCACGCACGTTCTCATCATGCTCTTTCTTTTCTTTCTTTTCTTTCTCTCTGATTCTTGTTGTTTTCTCATTAGAAAAATATTGTCAACCTAATCTTCAACAGCTCATTGACATATCATTTTGAAAAATTTGTTAATTGTCATTTGTTTTTCTTGTTTTCATAAATAGTTAATTAACTGTTAGGAAGTGGGAGTAATCATGATGATGCTTAATGATGCACTGGAATAAGGATGATGATCAGGATGGAGATGAAGATGAGGATGAGGATGAAGATGAGGTTGGGATGGGTTAGGGTGATCAGGAAGAAGAACGAGAAAAAATTGAAAATCGGATTAAAATTTTTCCACTTGGAGATTGATCACAATTAACGAGAATTTTAATTGTCATCACAAAAATTAGACGAACAATTGATTTGGTTCAATTTTTATTTACCATTAACTTGATTTGGTTTAAGGTGATTGTTTTTTTTTGCTAATGACAATTTATCCTCTATCAATAAGAAACAATCAACAATTAAAAGATATTATTTTGATTAATCTTTTAGATTTTCTCAAATATTTATCAACCTAACAATTTAATTGGTTCAGTTTATTGGACAATTTATCATTCATATTTTGGTTAGTCCACATTCAATTGTCATTGTGATTAGTTAACTGTCTGATTTTCCTTGCCATTTGATTGAATCAATTTTCGCATTCTTTAACTAATCAAGTTGATTCCTTGATTGTTAAAGAAACAATTACGATATCAATAATACAATTGGTTAATTTATCTTACTAATAAATGACAGAATCTTAAAATTTCATCTTTTTCGAACAACAATTAATTAATTATTCTGTTTTTACTTTGTCTTTAACAGGAAAATTAAAGCTGAAAAATGAAAGTTTAAAAAAGCTTAATTGTTAAAGTAATTAACATTATTAACGAGATGGAAATTAAAATTTGCCAAAAAAGTTTTCAATTCAGTATTGGCAGTTATTCAATAACAATTAACTCTGTGTTTTTTGATTCACTATTGTTGCAAGAAAAAACAATTAAGAAATTTGATTAAATTGTCAATTAGCCAAAGGTAATTAATATGAAAAATGAATTAATTACTTTAAAGGTCCATAACTGTTGACGATTAACGAAGAGAAAAAGTAAATCCCAAAAGTGTCGAAGGTTAATTTTAATAGTAATTATCTTTTCCTATTCAATTAATTTTTAAGAGAAAAAAGTTAAATCGTAAATTCAACTAAACGATTTTCTTAGGTCTAACTTTTTAGTTCTAATTTTAATTGTTGGCGTTTTTTCAAGGATTTTTTTTCTCAATCTGATAGATTATAAGTCATGATAAATTCTTAGTGATTCTATGTCACGAATTTAAGAGGTTTTTTTTCTGAAGCTACCAGTTAATTGTTATACTAATTTACTAATCAACTGAAGATAATACAGTCCATTCACTTAGTTTAGGAATCATCTTGTTCAATTTCGAGAGTTGAGATAGTTATGAATTTTGTATTTTATTCAGCGTACGAATATAAATTTCAGCATCATTTTAAGTTGATTTTACGAAATTCATTTAGTTAGTTTGGTTAAGGTAATCCTGATTCGATCTTTCCAGCTTAATCAATAAATATTTGTCAAAATCAAATATTGTCGAACAATCAACAATCAGAAAAATGTTAACATTGATTTGATGGACCACTGACTGATTTGCCCAAACAGTTTATTAATCAATAGTCTTGAAAAGTTTTATCTAATTTTGAACATTCGAAAGTATTTTTTCGCATTCGAGACATTGAATTTTCATAAAATTTCGTCTCTTTTTGTTCAAAATTAGATAAAACTTTTTTTCGGGATTTTAACGATTCAAAACTAATTGTAACCTATTTCTGGACTATTGTTTGACCTTAGAAAAAAATTTCAGAGAAAAATGTCGATAACTGGCTTTTTTATGGACAAAAGTTCGAACTCGAAAGTTAAATTCCCATACAAATCAATGTTAATTTAATTTTCTAATTATTTAGTTAATTGTTCGAGCAATTAATCTGAATTTTGGCCTAAATATTACAATGATTAACCTAAAGAACAGGAAAAAAGATCAGATCAATTTAGCGAGGAATTACCTCGATTCAGGCCAAATTCCTAAACTAAATGAATATCATTTTCAATAAAATCAACTTCGAGATTTAATTATTAAATGACCTTTAGTGCTGAAAATTTTATATTCGGCATTTGCATAGGCCATGTTACCGAAAATAAAAATATAAAATTTCATAAACTTATCTCAACTCTCAAGAGAGTTAGACCCAAAAGAAGATGATTCCTAAACTAAGTGAATGGACTGTAAATGGGAGAATTAATAGATTTCGTTCGCAAGTATTAGTTTCCTTTCAGCGATTAGTCAGAAACCATACGTCCGTTCGGGTCGATACTTGATTCATGAAAGATTGATGAATACTTGTTGGTCATATTTCAAGGTCATAACGTTTATTCAATAGGCAATGCCTTCTTTTGTCAATTTTGTGTCAAAAGTGCACGTTAATTTTTTTCGTTGATCATATCAACGCTGTTTTCTAGATCAACTCCGAGACACAAAAATCAACTTTAAATGACCTTCAAAACATTGGTCTACTGAATAATCTTTATGTCTTTGAAACATGACGTTCATTTGGATAATTGTTTGGTTATCTGTATTTCATTGCACAAACGCAAGTACAAATCGCGCTAAATTGGCTAAGAAACATAAAATAAACTTATTACGAAAGTAACGGTTTATTAAATCAAAAATAATAACTGAGGTGGTTGAGGTGTGTGGATTGAGAAGAAGAGGTCACAATTAAGTGATTTGATTACTGACAATTAACAACAATTAAAAACAATTAGCTCAATGTACATTGGTATCAATGATAAACAAAGGTGAAGAGAGGAAGAGGAAAGAGGAAAGAGGGAAATCCAGAGGTTGTCAATAAATCGCTAAAAAACTTTACTCAGGTAAATTTTTCGAAAATTATGTCTAAGTATTTTATGTACTTTACATATCTGTTTGTTATTAAAAACTGGAAAATGACCTTCACTTTTCACTTTTTATCAGGCATGTCGTGGAAAAAGGATGATGTTTAAAGATCACATAAACCTTACTCTTTCATAATTAGAAACTTTGAGATTTCAATTATGACAGATTTTTGTATTGAATATTCTAATTCTTATGTATTACATTAATATTTATCTCACCAGGACGTTAAACTGGATCTTAACGAGAATAAGAGAAACAGAGAAACGAGAAACACTTTAGCCAAAGTTATCAGAGATTCCGATGGAATTATCAATATTCAACATAACTTCGCTGGTGAATTATGAAGTAACACATCATTTTGAGACAAGTGATGAGCGAAAAAATCGAGTGCCGTAGATACCTTTAATACCTTTAACTGTAATTTAAATTTCAAAAAGAAAAATTAAAGAAAAGTTACCAGAAAGTATATTCCTTCGAAATTTATTATCTAAATCTCCTTTGTCACGTCTAAACTCAACCAAAAAGACTTTCACAAGGATTTCTATCCTATTCACTTTGACTTTGACGAAGGTCAATTCCTTGGTTGACAAAAACTTTTTTAAATTCTCAAAAATTGAATTTGGCGCCTGAAGAATTTCAGGTTATCCACTTGATCAATAGGTGGTGTTGATGTTCATTCTCAAGCTGAATTAGAAAATATTTATTACTAAAGTGATGAGAAGTAAATTTCATCTTTAATTAATTGTTTTTGTGTTGTAATTGTCAATTGATTAATTAATTTTCACTTTTAATTGTTAATTAAGTGTCTTGGCTACGTGGTTAAGAAAAGATTGACTTCTTAAAATGTCTGGTAAGTGAGAAATGACAATCAACTTACTTTTTCCTCTGTTACCTATAAATATAAATTCATCATTGAAAAGGAAAAAGGTTTTTGTTTTTGTTTTGTTTGTAAATCAATGATAAGCCAAAGATAAAGGAAAAGAAGAAAAAGAAAAAAAAGAATATATTTTATTTATTGGTTTATATTCTCTATATATAAATTAATAATGAAATTATCTGGTGGTGGTGGTGGTGAAACTGTGCCTCCCATTGGTTGGAGGGTGTCGATAATTGAACAATTAAATAATCGTAAATATCGTGAAGAGAAACCATTCGAAGAATTGATTAACTTTTGTTGTCGATTATTTGAAGGTTTAGCTCTTTACTCAACAAACCCTGAATTGGGTAATTTTACTAAATATTCCCATGGATCAACGGAACCCCTTTCATCTGACCAAGGAGAAACCTTGAAGAAATTATATCGTCTACAAGAGGAATTAGCCAGAATGTTGGAAAGGAAAGAGGATCAAACTGCAACAATTAAAGATCTCCAGCAGCAATTAGATATTAAAGAGAGTGAGCGTAGTGAATTTTATGCCCGTTTGTGTGAAACCGAATTAAATCTTACCAATGCTCGAGCTGAGATTTGCCGTTTAGAAAAACAATTAACCGAACTCAAGACACAATTACAATTTGAGCGTGATGAACATGCTGCCTTGCGAATTTTATTTGAAGATTTATCTAAAAAACTTTCATCTAAAACTCATGAGGCTGATCATCTTTTAATACAATTAAAAGCAATGAAAGCAGCAGACGCAGAGAAATTAAATGAGCTTAATGAAAGGGAAGAAAAATTATTGCGTGAAAAGAAACGCCATGAATTAGAAACTGCTGCTGCTTCTAATCGATTGTGTGATTACGATGAAGGTTCAACATCGCCAGCCGATCAGGGAGAAATGGCCTGTGTTCCAACCAATGTTATCGCCATTATCCCTGAAAGAGCTCTTTGTTCAACCGATGCCCATGATGGTGATGTTTACGCACTAAGATGGTGCTCTAGTCAAGGACTTGGTGGGCGTTTTTGTGATATGATTGCCACCGGTGGTAGTGATCGTAAAATTAAACTGTGGCAAGTTACCTCGTCACAGATTCATCTTAAAGAAACTCTTGTCGGGTCTAATGGAGGTATTACCTCAATCGATATTTCTAATGATCTTATTTTAGCTTCTTCATATGATTATACCTGTCGAATATGGGGTATGTTTGATGGTAAATTGCGACGAACCTTAACAGGTCACGCGGATAAAGTGTTAACAGTTAAATTCTCAATTTTGGCCAATAAGTGTTTCTCTGGAAGTCAGGATAGGACAATTCGTGTTTGGGACTATGACAAGTATGCGTGTACAAAGACCCTTTATCCGGGATCAACGTGTAATGATCTTGTTCTCGGTAAAGGCCAAGAAGTTGTGATTAGTGGTCATTTTGACAAAAAAATTCGCCTATGGGACTTGAGAACAGAGTGTAGTGTACATGAAATTTTTCTACCCTCTCGAATAACCTCACTTGACCTTTCCTCAAGTGGTCAATATTTACTTGCCTGTGTTCGTGATGATACATTAAGATTAATGGACCTTCGAATGAATAAAGTTGTTGAAACCTTTAGTGCCGATTCTTTTAAAGTAGGAACTGATTTAGCTCGAGCTACTATCAGCCCGGACAATGATCATGTGGTCGCCGGTTCCCATTCAGGATCTATCTTCATATGGAATGTTAATTCAGCTAAAGTGGATAGAATACTCAAGAATCATTCCTCTCCAGTTGGTGTAGCTTCATGGAATCCGCAGGGACATCTTCTTGCATCATGTGAAAAGAATAAGAAACTAATCATTTGGAATTAGAAACAAAAGACATTCTCTTTATCATCCAATGTTCTTTTTACAAAAAGTTCTAAACACTTTTTTTTATTTTATAATAATCTTTTTCTAAATAATATCTCTGATCCATGATTCTCTCTCGACCCTTAGCCAGTCTCTGTTTCGTTAATCGTTTTACTCTCTATCGCTCTCTGTCCATTTTCTCTCACTCATGGAATCTTAATGTCAATCTGTTTATATCCAGTGCTTTCGAATTAATTAATTGTGATCAATACACATCATGTAATTACTTTTACTTTGTTTTTGTTTCTCTCTCTCTCACCATCTCAAATCAGCTGAGAGAAAGAGAAAGATGAAAAGAGAGAGAGGAAGATGAGTATAATTGTTATACTTGATGATAATAAGTAAAAAAAAAAGAAACAGTTGAAAATAAATTGTCAAGGTAAATCTGCAGATTGATTTGTTTAGATAATCTAATCAACTCTTCCAGATTAAATGTCTTGTCACTGTATCTTAATTATCATCTTAATTAAGTTAAACTCTTTCTCTCTTTCAAATTAACTATTTGTTTCATTCATTTTCAGCCAACAAGTTCAACTTATTTTCCAATAGGTGTGCAAATGTTTTCCGCAATTGTGAATTAACTGTTTTAGTGATTTTATAATAATGTTTTTCTCTATCATCAAATTATCATCATTAAGTGCAAAAAAATCAACAATCAACTTAATTGTGTGTCACTTTCTCTTCAACCAATCAAACAAAATCGCAAATCAATTTAATCCATTTTTTCCCCCTTAACCTTTGAAACAATTGAACTTTTTTTTTCTTCTTTTATCTTTAATTTTTTGTTTACTTCTCTTTCTCTTGTGTTTACAATCAACAACATTGCTCTATCTCTCTCTCTCTCCCTGTTACATTAACCCAATTGGATTAATTAATTAATTTGTATGTTCATTAAACACCTCAGGCTTCAAAGAAGAAAAGAATGTCCTTGATGAACTATTAGGAACACCCGAGGATGATGATTTAGCATCGGAATTAAATAGTGTCGACCGTAAATCTGGAAGTAAGAATTTCGTAATTTTATCTACCAATCATTTAGCAATTAACACAATTAACCAATAATTTTAATTAGCTTATTATCTGGATTTTTAATATTATAACTGTAATCATCTTACTAACATGTTTACTAACAATTAACTCCCTCCTTTTCATCAATTGTGACTTTGGTCTGCTACTTCCACACCCGACCATCTCTCTCTCTCTCTGCTCTCTCAAAATCTCCCTGTAAACTGAATGATAATCAGGCAAAAAATCAAAAATCTCCTCTTCAGTTCAGTGCAATTCAGAACCTGGTTCAACACTGGAAGCCTCAACGACGACTACGACGACAACCTCTCCACCTTCAAATCAAATTCCAAAATCTGACCCACCGTTATCATCAAGAAAATCTAATGAGGAATCAACTGGAACTGGGAACAAATCAACTGAGGTAATGATACTAATTGGATAAATGATTATTTCGAATCTTATTAATCTTTGTTTTGTTTTTTCTTTTCCTTTGATAATAGAAGAAAAATTCAAGTGATGATAATCGTAGAAGTGGCAATAATATTGATAAATCGAGTCCACGATCAGACATTTCGACCAAAAGTGATAAAGATAAATCAAGATCAAAAGATACCAAGGGACACAGTAAATCATGTAATTTAAATTCTAATGGCCATGAATCTGGTAATTGATTAATCACACATCGTTGCTCTCTAATTGTTATCCCATAATTTCAGTGACTAATTAATTTTGTATTTTCTACTCTGTCTCTCTTTCCTTGTTTTGTAGGTAAAAAAGATTCCAACCAAGAGAAAGAATCAATCAGAAAATCTGAGAAAACCGAAAGAACGGACAGAAATAGTGCCAATGATAAGAAATCCAAAGAAAAAGTAATTTTCTCACCAAGATGAATGATTTCAATTCGATTTTGATTTATTTAATTGCTTACAATTTGTTTACTTCCAGTCTCCTAAAAATGAAATGGAAACCAATGAGACCGATGGTGTAAATAAAGGGAACAAAAGTGATTCAGAAGATACGAATGATAAATCTGATGCCGAAGAGGAAAGTTGCTCATGTGAAGAGCATTCTAGTGTCCATTCGGGTTCCAGTAGTCCAAGTCATTCAACAAAATCATCACCAAGACCATCCAGATCACGTACGAATTTCATGAATCTGAAACGCGTTCTAAAAACTAATTCTTAACCTTTTCTCTTTTGACTCTACAGCTTCTGATAAATCACCACCTCGAAAAATAACTGCCAGTCCATCCTCAGAACGTAAACGGGAACGAGTGAGAGATCGAACAACAAAAGTAATCAAAAAACGTAAGTTATAAATTTTCAATCTAAAATTCGTCATAATAATTATTTCTCTCTCTTCTCTCTCTTTTTTCTCTTTAATTTGTAGATCGACCAAAAAGATATAAAAGTCCATCATCATCAGCACGAAAAGTGACCAGTCACCGAGATTATGGTTCATTATTGAAATACTTTTTTCGCGACGCCGTTTATTTTGTAATGAAAAGTAATAATCATGAAAACGTTGTTCTATCCAAAGCAAAAGGAGTTTGGTCCACCCCACCACAAAATGAACATAAACTTAATCGAGCTTTCAAAGAGTTCAGAAATGTCATTCTCATATTCTCAATAAAAGAATCGGGTAAATTTCAAGGTTTCGCACGATTGGCATCGGAATCCCGTCACAATGCTCAGCCCATCCAATGGGTTCTACCTCCAGGTCTCAGTGCTAAAGCACTTGGTGGTATCTTTAGTCTAGATTGGATCTGCCGAAAGGAATTGTCTTTTGCTAAAACTTTACATTTGTTTAATCCACTCAATGAGGGTAAACCTGTTAAAATTGCTCGAGATGGTCAAGAGATTGACCCTCGTGTAGGTGAAGAGTTGTGTCGTCTATTTCCCGCCGATGAAACAGCTGATTTAATGACTTTTTTGAAAAGAATGAAAAAACAAACCATCTCCAGGTCAAAAACAAGCCATTCTCGTCCAACATCCGACCATCGATCGATCAACAACTGGACCGATACATCAACAAGACGACCATTAAGATTATCTCATCCTCCTCTCAACAGTTATAGCAATAATTTGTCAAATCAAAGTTCCAAGTGAGTTTTGATAAATTAACGATCAAAATTTGATTCTTTTGATTGATTTAATTAATTAATTTCTCCTTCTCTTCTCAATTAACTCCACAGGCGTAAAAGATCTGGTCGTAGTCCATCACCTCATCTATTACCTCCTCCAACTAGAAGAGTCAAACGCGATTATCGAGATCGTAAGAATCAATATTTAATTGTTACACAATATTCACTTTATTTGGATTCATAACCTAATCAATGTTTTTGCTTCCACCATTACAGAAAGAGTTGACTCTTTAAGGGAAAGGCGACCATCAATTCGTGATAATTTCAGAAACGACAATTTAAATGATTATTCCAGAAAACCAATCTATTCAAACAACTATCAACAGGTAGATAATTGATTATCTTTAATTGTTGAATTATTTAAATATTAATTGTTTTCTTTTACTGTTTCCATTAGTATGATCGTGGTCCAGATGATTTTACAAGACGAGCTCCTGTGCGACCTCAAACTCGTGAAAGACGTCATAATAACTTCAGTAAATATTCAGATCGTAGATATTAACACTTGACCATTGTCCAGTTTAATCAACTCTCATTGACGATCCAAAACAAATACATCTAATCTATGGGAACAATCAGTTTATAATCCATGTTGACAACAAAGTCTGTTCATTATGTTGGAAAAAAAGGTTTTCCTCTGTCACCAATTTAACTAATATTATAGCAAAGAAAACAATCAATACCAATGGTCAAACAATTAATAGATACAAACATATTTATGATTGATAAAATTACTGTTACTTTTGATTAAATTAATGGCCTTGAGTTTGGAGACATTCAAAACTTGACCGGAACTTTGAAAGAGAAGCAAAAAAGACAATTAAAGTTACTTGTAATTAAAGTTGAAAATAATTTATGACTCACCTAATTGTGAAAGAAAAAAAATTTCTCATCTTGTAAATATTAAGATCTCTCATCATCTCTCTCTCTCTCTCTCTTTAAATTACAATTAACTCTCATTTTCATCTTGATTTACCTCAAATTGTATTTTGTTCATTTGCTTTACATTGATTAAAAAAAAAACAACAATCCAATTAACAGAAACAATCAGTTAATTGAAGCTCTTTTATTTTCACCAATTTCTCTCGTTGTAATAATTGTAATACCGTTTTACTCAATTAAGTTCAATTGTCATCAACTTGAGTGAATGATTAACATTTGATTGACAAAATTATCTGTTCATTGGCTTAATTGTTGCACTGATTGTTTGAAAATATATTTCAGAGTGACTTTTGATTTTCGTGATGATCATCAAGGAAGAAGAGGAAGATTAAGATGATATTATTCATGGTTGAGTAAGAAAACTGAACAATTCTGAACTTAAATGAACTTATTTACTACAATACTGAGCATTGATGATTGAAACAATCAATGAAATAAACTGAATTAAAATCAAATAGAAAAACAAATTGGAAAAGAAAAGGAAAATAACTTATTCCTTGTATTTTACTTTTGGAATAGAAATTGAATTCGATTCATTTTTCAGGGGGAATGATTCGTTCTTTTTTCATGAATAGACAATTATGAAACATGAGGAAGATAATCAACACAAGAATTAAATATTAATCAGAAAAGAAAAGAAGAAAAAAATCAAAAGAAAATGATCAAAGGTAGACAACATCATTTACCGTATTTCTTGGTAAATTATTAGGAAAACGATTTAAATGCAATCTAAAGGTAAACTTTTTGTAGATTAAATTGTAAATTAACTTTAATAGTATCATCATGATCATTAACAATCTTCAAATTGTGTTCAATTGTTCAGCAATTTAAGATTTTCTTGACCATCATGTTTAAGTTTCAAGCAAAAAGAGAGGGAAAAATGGTCGCCGTTGGATGTTACCTTGTGTCGATTAACTGACCGATGAAAAAAATTAGCGGGATTGGTGGTCACTCTCTTAGATGGTAAATGTTACCTTCTATGTTTAAGGTGAATATCTTATAAGAATCAAGTAATTACCTGAACAATTTACTTTGGCCATCATCGTTACCAAGTTTATCTTCATCATCACCATCATGATTATCGTCATCATCTCAATTTTGTAGTGAAAAAAAAAGGTATCATCTTAATCATAAAGGATAAGAATTGAAGAGACACAACATTCATTGTTAATCTAATGACTTTCTCTCTACTAGAATAGTAAATTTATCATCCACCCTCATCTTCTTCATCATCATCACCATCATTCTACAATTATCTCACCTTAACTTTCTCCGTGGCTCATCTTTAATCATCGTCGTGATCATTTCTTATTCGCCTCATTAACATTGAATTCTGTCTTCTCCTCAGGAAGAAAAGGGAAAGTCTCATTTTTTTCAATCTTCTTAATGTTTGTATCTTTTACCTGATCATCATCATCATCACCATCATTATCATTATTATCTTCATCATCTTATTAGATTATATTTATGTACTTTGTCTCTCTCTCTCCTCTCTCATCTTGCAACATTTTCCATCATTTTGATTCATCCTCATGTGTTAATATAATCACATTATAACCAGTTTGTCATCTTGGAGTAGAAAGTTAAACCTAATCATCAGATTATCTGCCATTTGTTATCCTCGACTGACTATTTGTTATTACCTTCAAGACAATTAACACCTCAGGTGAATTCCTATTGATTTAACTCGAATCTAATTCTCTTGATAGTTACAGCACATCCACTCTTCTTCACCACCATCACCACCTCCTCCTCCTAATTTTTTTCTCTCTTCTTCCATCATCATCATCATTATTATTTCTATTATTCACCTCTAACAAAGTCTATTTGTTTTAGGGCAATGATCTTGGCCCACTGATAATGAATCAAATCATCATCATCATCATCATCATCATCTATTTTCTGGTTATCTTCCCTTTTCGTTACACTCAATTGGATCGTTGAATCCGCTCATAGGTCTATGGTAATTCACGTTGATAAAAAAAAGTCCATTAAGAGACAAAGGTCGAGGAACGGGAAACCGCAAATGTCTCAATTTTTTCCCTTTCTAAGTCTCTACAATTACATTCAACTTTTTTTTTTCTTCTACTATACATAATTACATTATCTTCTCCATTATCATTATATCTTGATAATATTCTGTTTACTTTTGACTCCATTTCGGTTATCCAATTGTTAGACACTTACACCAAGACCCAATCCTAAATTTGAGACTCATTTTTGGCCTACATGACCACCGGGTGTAAGATTATCTTTACATCGGTCTCGAAACTGTCCAAGGAACTGTCGATTTCACTATTTATGTACATGTACATGTATTAGAATAACTAACCAATTATGTCTATGGATCAATTTACTTAATTATTGTATTAATACTTTGCATTCATAATTTAGTAATAACAAAGTCACTTAATTGCTGAATGATTTGGATATAAAGTGAATTGTGAAGATGAAAAAATCGAGAATAAAAAACTGTAAATAACAATAACTCCGGGATAATGATGATAATAGTAAACAATTGAAGCTTATCAATCAAAGAGTAAATCGATGATTAAATGTCCCAAGAACAATTTAATCAATCAGGTAAAGTTGATAGAGAAGAGAAAAAAACAAAATTAAGTTACATTAAAAGTGAATTAACTTGAAAGGAGGGAAAATATTTTTTTCTCTCATTTTCTGTGGTAAATCAAATGCGAAATATAAATTATGACAATTAGGCCTTAGAATAAGAAAAAAAGTAACAACAGAACCGGATGAAAAGAGAAAAAGATGATGAAGATAATGATGATGATAAGAAGGAGGGAGAAACAACGAATTGATGAAGAAGAAGAGAGGGAGAGAGAGAGAGAGAGAAAAACCAAGAAGAAAAAGAATATTATATAAAATATCATCTTCGTAAGAGAAAGTTGTTTTGTCCTTTCTATGCATCATTACCAATTCTCTCTGAGTATCTTCATCATCATCTCCCTCTTTTTATCTTCTCTAACTCACTCACCTTTTCTCTCTCTCTTCCTCTCACTCACTCAAATTCACCTTCCAGTCTAAATTGTTGTTAACTAATTCACCGTTGCTCCCTTGATTCTTGTTCATACAATTTAACTATTCGGTGGCATTTACACTTGGAAACCTTTACCTGTAACATCAATTTCTGTCTCCACGTTTTTTCACCTTCCAAATATAAACCAATTTACTAATTGTTAATTAACCATATTCATCTTAATTGTCAATCTTTAATAGTAAAATGTATCCCGTTGTTTAATCATCTTCATTAACTGTTATTGTTGATATAATAACTTTTTAAAACTTTTCTGTTGTTATTAAATTGTTTTTGTTGTTTACTTTTAATTTAGTTTTCCACTAATCAATTGATTTAAATTGTTTGTTACATTCATTTACTACAATTAATTGTAAAGTTTAATCATCACAATATCATCATCATCATGTTGGCGATCATTAATTAATCAACATTCGTATTTTTTGACTCTTTTTTGTTTGGAAATTTAAATTTTCTTCTCAATTAACTTTCCAATGGTTCTAATTAATTGCTCGGATTATCCTTTTTGTAACAATTAACTTGTTAACTACGATTGTTAAATTGTTGCTCACTTCATATAATCAAGAAAGACAAAAGAAATCAAAATTTCTAGGTAAGTGATTAACTAATTGTTATTGTTTTCTAAATTGCAATGATCATATTTCTCTGACTTTGATTAAATCTTTTCGATAACAGTTGATTAATTAATCATTTCATCTGTAAATAAATGAGAAACAACAGTTAGTTCAAGTTAGTAGAAAATTGTTCTTTCTAATGATTGTGACAATTAACTGATTGTTGTTGATAATTTTAAAATGATAATTATGATTACAAGAGAAACAAATTGTTTTTGATTTGCTCAGAAAACCAGAAAAATATTAATAGTAATGATGATTTGTATTCACCAAGAACAATAATAATTATCTCGTAAGTTAATTGTTAAATGATTGATACGTTGATTTAAAAAGATGATCAACAATTAAGGTTGAATAGTTAATCATTTATCTAATAGAAACAATTGTTCAATAGGATTTACAAGGTGAATGCATTTGGAGATGATAATGTTTGTCTCAAACTGTTGAAAAGATGATTAAGTTTAACAGAATTGAATTGTGACTTGAATCAACAATTAGCTTTTCTCTTTATCTAAATTGTATTTAAAATAGTATAATATCAATGATTGATAATAATTCATATATCAATTAGTTAAAGAAAAGTAAGACAATCAGAGAGTTAATTGTTTTTACTTTTCACTGAGGGAAACAATTGATTATTCAGCTGATTGAATGATCACCAGATTAATATCTGAGAGTGAATTGAAATAATAATAATAATACTCATGATGAACAATCCAATGAACCATCAGGGGAAATTTAAATCATTTCCTTAATCAAGTGAATGTCAACAATCACAGCTGATTGTTGGAAACATTTTTAAATTGTTCCATTCCGGGTTCAAATGAATTAGAAGATTAAATTTACACTGTCTTATTATCACGTACATGGAACGAGTCATCCTCATCTTTTTGTTTTTCATCCTTCGCAATTTAGAGTTAATTACATTGATGATGATGAAGATGATTAGAGAGAGAAATTATCATGAAAAACACTTTTTATCCTTTTCGTTGATTTAAAAATATTATCACAATTTTCCGCATCATTTGCAAATAGAAAACGAATCAGCTGAAGAGATTAAAAATTTCCATGTTTCAATTATCAGTATCACTACGATAATCATGATGAAAACAATCAAGATAATCTCAGAATTAGTTATTAACCTAATCTCATATTGTCCATCACCAGGATCCTTTGTCCATTGAATTGCTTCAACTGGACATTGGAAATTGATTCAACAATAACAATCACTTTCCATTCAAATTAATTTACAACTTTTTGTCTTTTTTTTTAATTGTTTCGTTATAAACACTAATTGTGAATCTTTTGTCAACTAATAATTGATGATTTAGTTTCAGTTTGTTTACTTCCTACTTTTTTTTAACCTTTGTTGAAATGAATTATACTTGACCAATGACCAGAAAAAAAACACACAGGCCATTGTTAACTAACAATTAGATTATAATGATTAAGGAATAACAATTGAATAGCAATTAAAGTGAAAGTGTTTAATTGTCTCTCTTTCTCTCTCACCCCACCCAATTAACTGGATCAAAATGGACACAAAGGGAAAAATAGTGTTACAATAATAATAATAATAATCGAATTGTTTTCTCTTGAAAACAATTGACAACGATGACCATTGGCTTTTAATTGTCACTAAATCAGTAATTAACTGTTGTTGGTGAAAATGTGACAAACATTGGCTATTGAACAATCAACTGATTTAGGTCACGTTAGCGTTTGAAACCAATGGATAACGAGGATGGACATACAAGTGTAGAGAAAGCTAATTAAACCAAATCAGGTTCATACCTTTGATTGTTAATTTACTCGGTGTTGACCCAATTAAATTAATTTGATTGTCTTTCACCTTTTTTTTAAATCCACTTTTGTTTACCAGGGCGTTAAATTGATGTCACTGGTTAAGGCCGATCAGATTTAGCCCATTATTATGGTTTAATTATCAACCTTAAAAGTAGAGAGATTTGCTTTTTATATACAAAATAAACTAATTGTTTAAATTTTATCAATTAGTCTTGACAATTATTGTCATTATAATTAGCTGATTTGCTTATGAATTGTTAATTTTATGCAAATTAAGTCAAACTTTCATTCACAAATCAACACGCTCATGAATCGTAACTTTGTTTTGTTTAACTAATCACAATTCAATAAGCAATTAGCTTGAAAATTTACCAATGAGCTAATAATTAAATCACTGGACATTATAATATACAATCAAAGTTAATAGTTAGTTATCAAACTAATTGTTAAACGTGAAAGTGAAAACAATTTCAATGAATAATAATAAAAAAAAAGTTGACATTGATAAGTCAAAATGATGATGATTATCAATTTGAGTGATTGATGATTACCTTGATTTGGTAAATCGTTGATTAGTCAAATAAAATGATTAAATGATTAACTTACTGTGGGCAATCACTGACCCTCTCTGTTGATTTAATCAACCAGAACTTAATTGTTAAGATTGATCCACGTAAACAAATTAGAATCCAGTCAACTATTATACAATCATAATCTAGTTACAAGAATTATCTTAATAACAATCAGTAAATTGTTGACAAGGAAAAGCATAAACAATGAACAAGAAAATTATGATTAGTTTATTAGATAGAGTTAAACATGTAACCTTTTCTGTTAATTGAACCATGAATTGAGCTGAACAAGAAAGGGAAATAATCAAAATTAACCATAATAATCAACAGATAACAGTGAAAACTACCGAGAGTAAATTGTTATCAATTTATTATTAATATTTTTCTGTCTCTCTCTCACACACACACAAACTATTCAGGTAAATTGTTATGCAACAGGTAGACAAGGTAATTGATGAGATTTAAATCAGTATCATGATGATTATCATCATAATCATAACGTAGATGTTGATTATGGATTAACCATTCATGAAGATATTCCCATATAATCAATAATCAGAAGGATACATTTTACCTTTTAATCTGTAATGAGAATTAACTGAAAACTGTAACGGTGAGATGATTTCAATTAACCAGCAAGTCAACCAAATTAACTGATTATCGTCAATAATAGTAAGTCTCATGAAGAATCATCATAATAACATTAGTAGTAAATAAGAGGAGAGGAAAAAAAAATTTCGCCAAAGGGAAACATAGAATTGGAGTTTTTTTCTGTTGATATTTGCTTCTTATTATTTTTCCATGATGGAATATTATTTCAATAATCTCTGAAAAGAGGAGAAAAATTCAGAGAAAATCAGTGTGCTAATGATTCCAAAGAAAAGGAACCAAGTCAAAATTTGGACTTTTTTCTTTGTTCTGAAGATTAAAACATGAAACTCATATTATCCTTTTTCTTTTGGGTGTTGGGTAAGTTACCTTTTCTCACGGACAAGAGGGATTTAGGTTCCAGAGGGAGGGGTAGACTCAGAATTACTCAATGAATTACTTACTTACCTGAGGAAGGTGAATAATGATGACGATCATCAGGATTATAATGATGATGATGATGTGTGAAATTAATGACAAGTTTCATTCAGATCTTAAGATATCATCCATGTTTCAGAGCTTCTTGTGTGTCTCCTCATCAGTATTTTCCCTCCCTCTCTTCCTAGTAATTTATTTTCACAGAGAAAATACTTGACCCAGGTAGATTAGAGAAGAGAGAATTAGCTAAGACATCAACAGGTAATTTTTTTTCCTTCTTCTTAGTAAAGACCATGTTGAGAGAAACAACTAACATGATTGTTTTTTTTCATTCTCTTGTATCTTGAGAGTAACGAATGAAATTTGATGACAATCTCTCCTCACCTTACTTGCAATACCTTAGTAGAAAATTATTCATCCATTATCATCTCATCATCGACACAAAATTAAACAATAATGATCTTAAAATGTACAACTTTAAATAGACCTGAAAATGAGCTCCATAGAAATGACAATCTCTTAATCTTCAGAACTAATTTTACGCTTGTTTTCATTTCGACAATTCGAGGTTCAGTCTTTGGACAAAGTTCTTTGAATTCTATTTCTAGAATAACTGAAAATTAAACCAACCATCATGGTGGAATCTTGAAATACATGGGGACAGTAAGAGGAAATCTCGAGTAGCAATTAACATGAAAAGGGAACAATTTAATCAACTGAAGAGAGATTAACTTTGTATGAAATGAAAAAACTATTAGAAAGAAAGTTTTGGCGGGGGAATCGATTTTTTCTTGTTCTATTATTTTCTTTTAATTGTGTTTATCTTAATTGTGACTCTAATTAAATTCAGAATTGACAAATTCAAGGTCTTGTGATGATCTTAAATAGTATTTTGATAAACCGGCTATTAGAGTTTGAGAAAACAAAATTAGATTCAATTGCTACTATCAATGACCATCAGCTCTTTAACTTTTTTTGTTGTTGTTGTTGTAGTTTGATTAACAATTTAATTCAACAATCAAAGTCAATCATCAACATTCAATTGAATCAATTGATTTGATTTTACTTTTCTAATACCTTTGATTGAAGGACTTTAATACAAGATAAATATAATTGACAAAAAGAGGATTAATCAAAGTGTGAAATTAACTAATCAATTGTGAGATGTGATTATAATTTGATTGATCGTAACTAAATTGCTTCCAATTCATCAAATCAATTTTGATCATTCTAATCGCTCATTTTGTATTATAATTAATCAATTTTTAATCTTTCTCAGGTAAACAATCAACACTTAATATCAATGGTAATTAAAATGTTGAGAAAACAATTTAAACCAATTGGCCAATCTATGGATCTAATCAATGTCGCCATTTTTACAATATTTTCATCATATTGTTTACAATTAACAAAAGGTAAACATAATTTTCACTCTTAATTGTTGTTGATTATAAGATAATTAGTTTACCTGGGAGTACGATCATCAAATGATGACTTTTTATAACTAATTAGCTTGTTAATCATTTTAATTACAACGTTTATTGTTAGCACAAAGTTTATTGATTAGTTGAGTGATTTTCGTGATCTAATTCAATTAACTATCAACAGAAAATTTCATCATTGTGAAGGTTAAAATTTACCAGAAAATTGAAAATAAAAAAGAAACCGATTAGCTAATTGTTGTCAGTCTAAACAACGAGAACAATTAAATTTAATTACTTTTTCTCTCAGTCAAAGAGTATTAATTAACAACAAATAAAAATCATAACCGTTAATTACAAAACTAATAAAGTTTTAAATCTCTTCCTTATAATAATAGATTAGCAACAATTTAAACTTAGGAAACAAAAAGTAAATCAAATTCACCAAATTCTTACAATTTATATTGTTTCAATCATCAACAATTAAAATCAGGAAAATTAAGCTAATAACTAATTCAATGAATGACAAGAAAATAAAAGAGTAACAAAAAAATTAGTTAATCACAGAGAATCAACTAATTACCCGGTTAATTGTTTCATTTGTTTTTCTTTCCAAAATTATCAAGTTGATTCAGTTTATCTTTGATCAATTTGTTGATTTCCTTATTGTAAACATGTTGATTTCCTTTAATGTTTGATCATCCAAAGTGATTGTCCATTTAATCCTAATCCTAAATGATTGTACCTCGACTTGTACTAATCCTTAATTTCACCTTCTCAGGACAATGTCCATCAGGAACAACAGTTTCTTTTGAAAAGATGACCAATGTTGACGTGAGAGGAGTGACAATGGTTCCACTTTATACTGGACAAGGTGAGACCCCGGTTTCGGCTGAATGTAACAATCGTTGTCGAGCTGGTCCAAATTGTCGGGCATTCGTCTTAAATTATGAAAACACGCTTGTCTCGGGATGGGCTATGATTCCAATTCCAGGTCATCATCGATAATTGCAACAACCGAGAAAACTTCACTTTTCGAGAAGATTTGTCTCTCTGTACCTGCTTGCGAAAAAGCCTGGACCTTTGAACGGGTGATTGGCCGTCAAATATTGGGCTATGATAATCGTCTATTGTCCAATATACCAAATCGACTCAAATGCCAAGAGATTTGCCTTAAGGAAAGGTCATTTGTTTGCCGTTCAGGAGAGTACGATTATCTTACCCAAGAGTGTAAACTATCATCGGAGGACAGGAGGACTCAGCCCACTCATTACACCGTCGCACCTCCTTCCGTTGATTACTTTGAAAATGAATGTTCACCTTTACCTTTGGTCAAAGAGGACGAATCTGGCCTTCCAGGTATACCCAATAGTCCCTCCGAGTGTGGGTACCAAAGATATGAGAATCTTGACCTCAGTCGCCCTGACCTTTTAAAATCAGGTAAGAAAATCATTATTTTCGTCAGTCAATCAAATATTATTTTCTAATAGCAATAAAAATTAACCGGAAAAATATCATTTCCAATTTGTTGAAATTAATTAACAATAATTTTCTCGCTAATCATTAGTACTTACCATTTATTAGCATCGTTACAATTTTATATCATTATGAGTTTGACATCATTAATATTATTTGGTCTCAACAATTCCCAATCAAATTAATGAAAATAAATATTATCGGGAAATACACAATCAGTCAGGTCGTTTAGATTTGCATCTTTTTTGATTATTCAACTGATCCAAAATCTCACAATTAAGTAATCACCTCAAAGTCAACTCATGCCTATTGAGATTAAACTTCAAGAATCTAATTGGATTAATCGATTGAATTTTTTTTCGACTAATTGATTATCAACATTTCTCTTACACAATTAACAGCTTTTAGCGAGGAACAGTGTAAAACCTTGTGCGAAGCTACAAGAGCCTTCGTTTGCAGGTCATTTTCTTACAAAGCGGCTTCGAATTTGTGTCACTTGAACTCCGATGATTCGTATAGTAGTGGAGGTAAAGAGGCTTTAATTGCTTCTCCTGGGGTTGTTTACTTTGAACGAGCTAATTGTTTAAACCGTAAGTATCCAAATAGTAAATTAGTTTCTCCTTTTCCAATCCAATCTAATTGTTATCAAAATCCATCCAATTTCCAGTTAAACTTGATTGTACTCCTGAAGAAATGAGAATCTCATTGAACACCTATGAACCTTTCGTTGGTAAAATTTACGCTAAAGATGATCCATTGGCCTGCGAATCTTTTGGTACTCGACAAAGGTCAACATCGTTAACGTTACCACTTAGAACTTATGCTAAATGTGGAGTTCGAGAAGAGGTAAATATACAAAAAAAACATTTACTTGTTACGATTGAAACTAATCAACAATTAAACTTTTCCTCAGAATGATGGTAAATATTCAACTGTGGTTATAATTCAATATCATCCAGTGATTCAACGTAAAGGCGATCGAGTGGTTCGTTTGGTCTGTAACTTTGAAGCACCAACTAAATTAGTAACCAATTCCTACAGGGTCATCCCAGCGTAAGTATAATTAACCTGTAGACGAGAAAATTATATAATACAAGATAATTAATTTCACTTCCGTTGTAATTAAGAAAAATTAATTATACTTGATGACAATCAAGATGATATGTTAGCGTTTTTCAAGATAAAAAATACTTTTAGAAATCAAAAGTTTACAAATTAATTAATAGAGTAACAATTAACTCATTAAGAAACTAAGGTCAATCATAATGATGAAAATTTCTCGTTCCATGAAATAATTAATTGATTGTTTCTTTCCTTGATTATTTTCACAATCTTTCATTGTAAAGACTCGATGTCGCTGGAACTGCAGTGGTCAATGCAACGGCTCCAACGCCTAACATTAAATTACGAATAACGGACAAAGATGGTCAAGATGTGGCCGGCGCTCGACTTGGCGAAGAGCTTTATCTCCGAATTGATATGGAAGATGATTCAGTTTTTGATATTTTCGCACGTGAATTAATTGCTAGAAGTGGAAACGCCGAGGAGGCCATTACTCTTATCGATAGCAACGGGTAAGACTTACAATTTGTATACATAAACAGAGAGAGAGAGAAGAGAGAGAGAGAGACAATTACAAACAATTCAATCAGTAAATTAGGATAATAAATTGATCAACAATTAGGCTATTATGTTGGTGAATAACCCTTATTGTTTTATCATTCTCATTGTAATGATGATGAAAATGATATCTTCCAATTTGAATACAACATCCTCGTCATGATCAACATGTTTAGTATCAACTAATTTAGTAATTTAGTATAATAATAATTATTACAACTAAACACGATTTTGTATGAAGATGATAATGATGATGATGTTATTTTAATCTCGTGAGTAAAGAGATTCTCCCTCTGTCATCTCACAATACTATTAACACCCTGTAGTAAATTGTGTATTTGTGTGAGACTGTAAGTTGATTATTATCATTAGTAATGATTAACTTGTTTTACCAGCATCTATATTAACACCATCCACTAAAACAGTAAACTTTGAATATGATAACTTCCGCAATTAAGTAAGAAAGTGATGTTAATTGTTAGTAAGACGATTCTGTTCAAAATTTAGTGTATCATCTTGACCCACTGGTCCTTTTCAATCAAAGGGTTTAATGTATATATTAATTAAACTTGATTACTTTTCATTAACTGTTATTTCATCTCGACTTTTGTTTGTTTTATTTTGTTTCCGTGATTTTTGTTCATCTAAAATTGGAAAACATTGCAATTAAATTAATTGCTTTTTCTTTTCATTAACTGCTCTAGATGTCCAACTGATACTGCTATTTTCCCAAACATGGAAAAGGTTCCTGGAAGTAAATCGTTACAGGGTAAATTTGATGCTTTCAAATTTGCCGATGATGAGATTGTCCGATTCCAGGTTAATGTTCACTTTTGTTTACAAAAATGTCCACCGCCAACTTGTTATGATGCTGCTTCAAGTGAAGAGATTTCTACATCAGCTGATACTCCCGCTGACCAATCGCCAATAGCTTATTCCAATTCTCGAACTCGAAGGCGAAGAGAAACAATTGATAAATATTCCGCTCGAGGTAAAAGTGTCAACTCGAAAGATGAACCTTCTCCATTGCCAGATTATCCATTGCATCGAGAGCTTAAAGTTCAAGGATTATCTTCATCCAAACAATCAAACGACGGACTTGCAAAGAAAAGTAAGAATTAAGATTAATAATCAACTTGAAAACTTTTGACAATCAAATCAACTGAGAGACGAAATTGACAATCATTCAATTCACAATCGATAGGTTTTCAAAGTTGGAATACAGTAAACCATAAGAAAGGTGATAACTAATCAAAAACAATCTGTCAATCAACTGATATTCAACTAGATTAAAAATGTAACAATAGAACAATTAATAAGCTTAATTGTGAAAAAGAGAAAAAAATAATCGCCGAAACCCGGGATTGAACCAGGGACCTTTAGATCTTCAGTCTAACGCTCTCCCAACTGAGCTATTTCGGCTTCCATGAGAAACTAGACTAAATTACAATTCTGATAATTAATGTCAAAGACAAATCCATAAGTTATTAAATTGATTTGCTAATAATAAGCAATCAAGATTAATCAACAGCAAAACAAACCTGTAAGATTAAAACATAGAGTAAATGAGATGAATTATCAACAAGGAAACAATTTGTAACAGTAAGCACATCGATACTGAATAAATTAGTTTCAATTATTGTTGGCATAACAATTAACAAGTATAGAAATTAATTGTTAAGATATTTGATCAATTGAAACTTTTCAATAACTAGCAACTTCAATCTCATGTTAGACTTATGAGCAATTACCTTGCGGGTTTGATTCAATTAACTAATTATTGGTCTTTTTTTCCTGTCGATTTAGTTGCTGAAAACTCTGCGTTATTTTGTACTTCAAAAACGACACTAATGGCGACTTTAGTGGCCTCAATGATCTTCCAAGCGTCTTTATTGGCTCTATGTTGTTCTTGTATCTTTTTCTATCGATTCAAGGTACCAAAAATTAACCGAATTAATTCACCTTCCGATTGTGATCCTTGTAAAAATTATTCTCGAGACCTTTGGTCATCATTTAGTTCCATTGAGTAAAAATCGCACCAATTGTTGATAATAATCCAATAGAATCCAGGAATCGATTGGAAAGTAAAGAGAAACAAATTTAATCCAATTAAGAAAACACTTCAATCTGAAAAGAGAGAAAAAAAAATTATTAAATATCAAACAATCAATTCCAAAGGAGATGATTAATTAATTATCTCTTATTAATTAGATAATAATAATAATTGTTGTTGAGAACAAAATTATAAACCTTAAATTATAATCAATCATATTTTACCTTCATCATCATCTTCAAAGTTCATGATTAACAATTTAAATTGATTAACTTATAGACTCTATTATTTATCAAGCTATTAAATTTATACGAAATTAATTAATTAAATTAGTTAATAACTTTCTCTGTGATTGAAATGACAAATATTTTGTAAAATCTAATAGGTGACACTACTTGTATCTTGAGATTAATTGTCTAAATTGTAATTGACTTTGAAGACAAATCATTTTGTAAATTAACACTTAATCATATGTAATCATAATCATAATTATTTAAATCACCATCAATTTGGTTAATTAACAATTTACCTGCCATCTTTTGAAAAGATTTGGTCACAATCTACTTAAAACAAGCAGGACTAATCATCACAATCTATTCATTCATCAATTTTTATATTTAATGATTAATATATTTTATATATGAGAAAAAAAAATCAATAAAATTAAACAAATTTCCAATAAATTAAAAGATTGTCAGATAATTAAATTGACATCATTGACAATTGGTTAATGATGACCACTAAATACCACAATTAAAATGCTTATTTTGATTGCTGGATCATTGATTCAATTATGAATTATAACTGTGAAACTTTTTAAAAATTGAAAGTACAATAAGTTAATTGATTAGTTTTCAATAAAATGAATTAAATTAGTGAGAAATGAGCAATTAATTAACAGTAGTAAGTACCATTCGGTACCTGTTTCAATAGGGCAATGAACAGATTGATAATCAATGGTCATACTATCATAGTGACCATCACGGAGATGAATTAACCGAACTGGTTTTAACTGTTTATGCTCAATTAAATGGCCTCAAACGGCCTCAATTTTGTCAATCTCCTTCTCTCTCTCAATAACTTGTTAATTCATTTAATGAGATTCAATCATTACTGATTAATGTCCTTTACTTTGTGAGTAAGTGACCCCTCAGAAAACAATCAAATTATTAGTATTAATAGTAAATCGTTTTGTTTTTCTGTTCAAATCCATGTTAATTAGGTGAAAATGTTACAACATTTCAACAACAATAATAATCATCTACTTACCTTGACTTTGATAATCGAATTGATTATCGTTAGTTTAATCCATCAGCAAGTTAATTGTGATAATCAACAGTTGAAAACATTTGTTAATCATAGATTATATTCAGTTGATACTCAACCAAATGAGACATTCAACTCTCTATTCAACGATTTACGAGAATCCATCGAGATTGATGTTTGGAGTGAACCTTCAATGTTCAACAATAAATTGACCTTCCGAGTTGATCCAATCTTCCAATCCAAAGTTGACAATTTCCTTAATTCGACCAATTCAAATTACTATGTGGTCACCAATGATCTCCAAAAATGGATTGAACGTGAACGATTAGAAAATGACATGGACTATAAGAATGCCTATACACCAGGTCGATTCCATTCATCTGATTTTCGTCTAGATTATTACCACACCTATGAAGAGGTAAATTGTAAGAAAAAAAGTTCATTGATCTAACAATTCAAATTGTTCTTTCCATCTCTTCCAATGTAAGATAAACGATTACATGATTTACTTGAAAGGTAAATATCCCGACATGATTGAGATAATTAACTTGGGTGAAACCTATGAACATCACAAAATCAATGGGATTAAGGTAAGAGGATAATTACATTTTCTATGGGATCTCTCTACTCTTTAAATCACTAATTGCAGGAATTTGAATGAGAAATTATGTAATTTAAATACCGAGTGAATCTGCTGACAAACAATTGAAGGATTTTTTTGCGGGTAATTTTGTGTCTTTTTTTCTCCAAGTAGATTGGGAAGAAATCCAATGAAACTAAACCAGCCATTTGGATTGATGCAGGAATTCACGCAAGAGAATGGATCGCTCCGGCGACCGCCGTTTACATGATTTACAAATTAACAGAGAAACATGAAACTGAACCAAAATTCAGGAGTTAGTTGAGAAATTTGATTGGTATATTGTTCCGATACTTAATCCGGACGGATATTTGTACACATGGGGATCAAATAGATTATGGAGGAAAAATCGAGCTGTTCCAAAAGCCCTACCAATTCGTCTTCCATGGAATCTATTTAGAGAATGTATTGGTAAGAAATTGAAAATCATGGGAGATTATCTGCTCACCTAATGAACTTTACTGTATTTCAATATTTAGGTGCTGATCCAAATCGTAATTTTGACATTGATTTTGGCGGATATTCATCCAGTTCCAATCCATGTTCCGATATGTTTAAAGGTGACAAAGCTTTTAGCGAAAAAGAAAGTCAAGCTGTAAAAGATGGAGTACAAAGTAAGGGTAGAAAGATGAGCAAATTGATTAGATTAATTTACTTTAAAGGATATTAAATTTTTTTCATTCTTTCCATTTCTTTTGATGATTGAAGAATTGGGTAAATCACTCAAGGTTTTCATAACCTTACATTCATACTCACAATTATGGATGATACCTCATGCTTTCACAATTCAACAATCTCCAGATCATGATGAGCTTTACAATATATTGAAAAAAGTATCAGCATCAGTTAAACAGGTTCATGGTGAAACTTACCGATTTGGACCGATGGCAACAACAATCTACCCTTGTTCAGGATCATCTCCAGATTGGATATACAAAAGGGCCGGAATTAAATACAGTTTTATCGTTGAATTGCGAGATAAAGGTGAACATGGTTTCATTTTACCAAGAGATTTCATCCTACCAACAGCAGAAGAAACATGGGAAGGAGTAAAAACACTAATGGACCAGATAAAAGTAGAAGATTAACAAAATCACAAGAGATACAAAGACAACCAATCAAACTGAAAAATCTAGAAAATTTTCCAATTATTAAACAGATAATAACTTATTAAATAATACATGTATACTTACCTTTCCATTTTCTCTTCTATAAAAAGGACAGCACAATGTCAAAGGGTTAATAAAGACCTTGAACAAACCTTGAAAGTTAAATAAAAAAGAAAAACAAATTCTATTGAAAAATTTCAAACAATAAAACTAATCCAATGTTGAGAGGCTAAAAAATTAAACATAATTTACAATCGAAATCAAATTTTGACCTTTAACCAAAGAGTAAAAACAACAGTTAACAAGATTAACGGTTAAATGTAACAATCAAAAAGAGAGAAAAAAATTAATCAAAATGATGAAACTTTAATTCTAATTACATTGTAATTAATTGATTGAAAAGAAAATGATTTAATTTGAAAAGAGAAACACCGACGAAGACAGAGAAAGAAAATAATTAGACAGAAGAAGCGAAATTGACCAATCACGATTAAGAGAACAAAAGAAAACGTTATATAAGCAAAAGATTCTAATAAATTGGTCGCCATTGTTGAAGAGTTTGTGTCTTGTTACTGTTACAATTTCTTTCATCGTTTTTTGCTTTTTCTTATTCTCTTTGTTACTTAATTTTATCGGTTGTCTCTCATTTTTCGTTATTTTCTCACCTTTTTCTCAATTCTCTTTATCTTCTTTTCGTAATTATCATCATCATGTCTGGTCGAGGTGGTAAAGGTGCTAAGTCATCTCAAGGTTTGAAGTCTTCTCGTTCATCCAAGGCTGGTCTTCAGTTTCCTGTTGGTCGTATTCATCGTCTATTGAAAAAGGGTAATTATGCTGATCGTATGGGTAACGGTGCCGCTGTTTATCTTACCGCTGTATTGGAATATTTGACCGCTGAAATTGTTGAATTGGCTGGTAATGCTGCTAAGGATAACAAGAAACAACGTATTATCCCAAGACACATACAATTAGCGATCAGAAATGATGAAGAGTTGAACAGGTTGTTATCTGGTGTTACTATTGCTTCCGGAGGTGTTTTACCAAATATCAATTCCGTTTTGTTACCAAAGAGCAATAATAAAGGAAACAATTCTTCCTCTCAATCAACTCTTCCAATGGCATCTCAGGAAGTCTAAAAGTTTTCACATGTAGGATTCTACTATTCGTTTAGATGGTGACCAGTATAAAAAGTGGACAATTTCTCTCTCTATTATACCTTCTTAACCCTCTATCCACATTTCTCTTTTTTCTCCCCCCTCCCCTTTTCTAAGATGATCGTTTGTTAACTTACTTAACTGTCTTTTTTTTACCATTTATGAAAACTTGAACTCACCTGATACTTATAAATGTATCTTCAATTACTGTTAAATTTTGTCAATATTCTTCTTCATCCCATTTATATTATTCATTTACTCATTATCCTCATAAAAGATTCATTCAATTTGTAAACCTTTTCCCATACACATAATCAGCCTCATGATCCAAAAATTTCATTAATTGCTAACCATTAAAACACCATTCTAATGTGAGAGGTTAACCCCTCAAAACCCTCATGTAAATTGTAACTAAATTAAAAACCATTTTGTTAAGCTGATTCCCCCTCCCCTCTAACAATATAATCCTCGGGTTCACCGTAAGGATGAAAAGCCTTAACGGATTAACCAAAACCACCAATTAATTGTTCAAGGTCGGGATGAGAATTAATTTTTCTCAACAGAGTTGGAATGAGAAGTTTATTGAGACTGCTCACCTCTCCTGGAAGAGCAAAACAGTTACCATGGTGATTCAATATTCTCATTCTCAATTTTTCTTCTCACATCCTCATCTCTCTCTCTCTCTCTTTCTTTCTTTTGGTGTTGTTTTCATTTTTTTTTTCGTCTTCACTTGTGATTACAATTATGTTCTTCCTAAAATTGTGTTAATTTTCCCTTAATTGTGTTACTTTCAATCAGTTTCTTTTCTTCATTTTTCTAACCAATTTTGTTTTTTTTCTTGGTTTAAGAAAAACTGAAAAAGATCCTGAAAATGTCCGAGTTAAAATGTGAAGCTCCTTTGGCTGCTGGTGAAGATTGGCCTGATTTTATTGATTACCAAGGATTCAACAATAACAACAACATAAACAACAAGAAGAATAACAAAGAAATTAACCAGGAAAACGATGATATTTACGAGCCAAGTGAAATTGAATTGGAAAATAATCGACGTAATCAAAAGAGTAATAATTGTAAATTATCATCTTCATCTAACACTTTAGATGATGTTGACTCCGGTTTTTTGGAAACCAATTTCAAAGAGACAATTTCTGGTTCACTAGAGGATCTGGTTAATACATTTGATGAGAAAATAACTAATTGTTTCCATGATTATGATACATCGGTAGAGAAAATAGCTCCTGTTCAAGTTCGTGCTCAAGAAGATATTATCAATGACTCACAGTGAGTATTATTTATTATTCTATTCGAAATGTTCATAAGTATCTATGGTGTGTATCTTTCTCTCTCTCTCTCTTTCTCTCTTCATGCTTCTCAATTGTCAAAAACAATCATCTCTTTCTGGCTCTTTCCTTTCTCTCTCTCTCTCTCTCTTGTTTTTCTTTCCTCACAATCTATGACCTAAGAGAATCTTCCACCCTCATCTCTATGGTGTAATCTTATTTCCCACTCTTCTTATCCACTCCACTTCTCTCTTGCCTCTCCTTTTCTCCATCATCATCTTACTCATCATAACTTTCTCTCTCTCTCTCTCTCTCTCTTTCTCTTGTGCTGCTGCCTATGTCCATAGACATCCGACACACCCTAATCTATTTTAGAATATGCAATTGAATTGAATTTTACTTTTCCATTCTTACAATTAACTTAAATGATTAGTTTTCTCAATCGAATTAGGAATTCTCTCTTCCAATTTCAATAATAATCTATAACAACTCTAATCAATTTATCTGAAAATAATTTCTATCCGATAATGTAACTGTCTCCAAATTGAACATTTCCAATTATCATTAGATACAAAAGAAAACATTTCAAGTCAGGTCAAGTGTATTAAGTTAATTATCACCAACAACAATCAAACCGTATTTGGAAATGAATCAAGTTGATTTTTACACCATATTAATTATACAAATTTGCATCCTCATCATCATTAACTTATCATCTGTGTGGGGTAATGAATGAATACAGAAAACGATCTGAGTACAAACCTACTCTTCAAAAATCTCGAACTCATCAACAATTATAATCTAAACAATTACTTTAATTTATTCGACAATTTTTTACTCAATTCAGTTAATTGTTTCATAGTAACAGTTATAATGACAAATGTAATCGATGAAATAATCAATCGTTTATATTTAAGATTTGATTGATTTCCAATCTAATCTAAATGTCTCTCTCTCTCTCTCCTTGTTACAATTTGAGACGAACAATTTAACAACATAATCAGCTAATCAAATGATTATTTCTTATGATCTACAATTGATATTCATTTTGACAGCACAATCAAGGTTATATTTCAATTCTTTACTCAAACTCCTACACAATATCCAAGGTTTGATCTGATTTAATTGTTGGTTATTTTAGTTTAAATTGTTTCACTCTGTTCATTTACCATTTTTAAATCAATGAAATGATTTAATGAGAAATTAAATTTTCTAAATTGAAATTGTCAACCCTTTCCACCTCCTATTTAACATTGATTATCCACTGAATCCCCACCTTAACACTTTCCACTAGTTTAGTTATAATTTTTATCCAGTTGATTAATCACTTGGAACAATTAACAAACAATAGAGTTTAATTTTGTTACTTTCTCTCAATCAATTGTTATAATACTTAGAACAAGAAAGTTATTCTCATTTGTTTGTTTACATATTAAACTATCGATACAAATTGACAATTAACTCTCTCTCTCTTTTCTATGGTAATGGTTTACAATTATGTTTATTTTTCTTCTTAATTGTTACAATTTGATCTGTTTCTTTAAATTAATTCTAATTCCTATTTGTTTGATTCTTTTCTCTCAGAATGTGGTGGACCTTAACTGGTAATTTTGGAAATATTTTACCCATTGATTGGAGTCAATCTTACGCTCGACAGTTACAATTACCCTCACTTAAAGTTAAAAATCAAAAAGGAACAAATAATTTTATCAATTGTGTAAACAATCACAATAATAACGTTGATTGTAGTGATATAATTTTAGGAGATTCGACCCTTGATGAAGAGGATTTAGCCAAAGATTTGGATTTACATTCTTTAATCTTATCAAGTCTTCACCAGGAGCCCATTTTCACAGCAGAACAAGTTCTTGAAGAGATTGATGAAATAATGGAGGCAAACTCTGTTCTTCATGATAAAGATTCAACAATAAACTCACCAACAACAACCATAAATACAACCACAACCACCACCATGATTGATTCAACAAAAGTTACAACAGAAACAAAAACAATACAAAACGATGATTTTAAAGGAAACGATTGTGAAAATGGAATACGATCATTGATTTATCGGGAAAAATTGGAAAAGTTAACAATCACCCAGCTCAATGAGCTTTACATTGAATTGGAACGAATGATTCAAGGTTATTCGGAAACATTGATCCAAGAATTAGCCTTACGAGATGAATTGGAATTCGAGAAAGAATTGAAAAACACTTTCATCTCACTTCTTCTTGGAATTCAAAATAAACGTCGTAAACATCACATGGACCGTAAGAAGAGCGGCAAAGGGACTTGCGAACCGAAATACTTGACCACTGTTATCCCTTATAATCCAGCTGATGGTCCTCCTGATGTGAGGAAAATTCAAATTCTAATAAAAAGTAAGTTGATCGACGAAACGAGAAAATGTCAGAGTTTCTGTTTCTCCAAAGTGAATCAACTCGAACCTCTGAAAACAATATCGATTTAATTATCCTATTGGGAACATCTATCAGCTCAATTACTAAATTCAGTGTTTACCATGAAATCATTTCCGGATGTTAAGGTTTTGTGTTTACAGTAAAGATTATGTTTATTTTAGATCAAGTATTAAAACCGTTTCCAGAACAAATTAATCTTAATTGTAGTTGATTTGTTATTTTTTTTTCCTCCTCTAACGTTAAGACTCAACAATCACTTAATTATCAGGTTAATTTCTTACTTTTCTCAACGCAAACTTTTAGACTTTGAATAATTTAAATTGTATCTTTATGCTGATTAATTGATTCTATTATCGTTTATTTGATTATTATACTAATTTTGATTTGTTTTCTTTCACAGTTTTGAAAGCAGTTAATGAAGACAGTCCAACTGTGCCCACCCTGTTGACAGATTTCATATTAAAAGTGTTATGTCCAACATGAGAGATGACAAGATGACCAAAGATTATTATCATCAACAGAATTTGCTCTCAACTAATTTATTAATTGCCTAGAAATTACTCTTCTCTCTCTCTCCATTTCTTCAACTACATCTTCAAGTTTATTTTCCGGATAATTGTTATTAAATATTAAATAGTAACACTTCTAGTTGATGGTCAAAATTAATTTTAATGGACACTCATCATCTTCATCTACACTTTAATCACTTATATTCATGGCTACCAAATTTCATCAATTCTGTTATGTTGTTATCATCTCATGGACCACGAAAAATGCGACGAGTTAACCGCCATCACCGAAAATCTCTAGTCAATCTTAAATTCTTTACTTTTTTTCATGTGTCATTCGCCAACAATTAACTAAATTTCTTAATTTATTTTCTTTTTCTCAATGAAAACCAAAACCTTTGCTTTCTTTACACTTTCCATTGCCCAGCGCTATCAACACTTGGCTTTTAAGTCCGGAAAGAGATACAAATAACCAGCACCAACAAAATACTCAAATTGTTGATCCAGATTGATAATTATCTTAAATTGTTTTAATCATCATCACCCTTTTCAACATGATTAACTTCATCGCTGCCAATGTGTCCTGTTTAAAGAAAAGCAAAACAAGATCAATCTTTCAACAATTTACTAATTGCAAACGATTCTCTCATCGCTTCTAACTGCTACTAAACTTTTTATTGATTCATTTTTCTCGTTAAATCTAATTTAATTATCGATTGTTTTGATTATCGTCTCTCCAATTCACTTAAACGAATGGATTTCAGCCAATTTAATCCAATGGATCAACTCGGAGAATCTTTTCCAATGCAATTTAATTCATTCACGTTCATTAGAAAACAATTGTTTTGATTTTGATTTTTCCTCATTTTGGTAATAATTAATAACTAATTAACCAGAAGTAATCACAGTAATTAACAATCGATTACGAGTTTCCATCTAATACTTTGTGGATCTCGACCCACAACTCATACAATTACCACACTTTAAATTAATTATCTTATTCTTTGGTCTTTAAAACTGTAAAAAAAAGACAATTTACCAAGAGTAAAAGCAAATTAATTCTAATATAATTAATGTATTCCTGTAAAAGAGAAAGTTAATTGATTGTAATCTCTTTTTCCTTAAAAAACCATAAGAAAAAAAAAACTATTTCTTTGGTTCGTCATCACCGAAAATCAAATGTCCTCAATTCGGAAAATCAATAAAAATAAACTAACTGTTAAAACGAAAGTAAACAATCAATGGTTCTGTTAATTGTTACAGTTGTTAAGTAATCGTAATGGAAAATCATTCCAGTGTTATTTTTGGGTAGATTTAATTACTTATGCGGATTTTACATGATTTTTGACTTTAAATTTGATGTTTAGTATAATTGTTGTTGTTGGTATAAAGTTTTTCTTTTAAATTGTGATTATCGTTAATCTATAATTGACTTTGCTCCAATTTGGATATTGATGGATTTACCATATCTCTTTTTGTGTATAGTAATTAAATCCAAGATGACAATTAACAATGGCCAATGTTTATCATTGAAATTGAATAGTAATAGTAGTGATAGTATTAGATGATTAATCCGTGCATTAAATGGAGACGATAAAGTTGATTAGTAGGAATAGTCATCAAAATTATTTTCTGTAAAAAAGTCACAACTAAGTTTATCGATTCTAGAGAATGTTTAATTTCCGTCCAAATCTATTCAACATCATCTTCCACCATCACTGTTGATGAATTAGCGGAAGCAGCAGTAGCAGCAGCAGCAGCGGTTTTCTAATCAAAAAATGAAAAAAAAACACAAAATGAGAGTTAATTATGAGAAGTAATTGTAGAAAATATTGTCACAGAATCGAGCAAGTCAATTCTGTAACTTTGAGAGCCTTTGGTAGGTATTTTAGGTTGGATTTTGGTTCTTTCTCAATTGTTTCGTCGCTGATTGTTATTGGGAAAAACCAATACAATTACAATTAGATTGACATACTTGGCAAATAATTGGTAGGCGAGCGATGATTCCTTGAAATATTTGTGGTGGTAAAGTTTGATTTAGAACTTGAAGAAGTTGGTTTGGTTGAGCACAAACTGAAACCGCGTTTGTAAGATGTTCCACTCCACCTTCCATATCACCTGAAGATAGAAAATAGATAAAAAAAGAATAGAACAGAAATGGAAAACATAAGAAAGAGAAAAAAAGAAATAGAATAGTGAACAGAGATGAAGAACGAAATTTAGGCCTTCAGTGTTTCCTTTTTTTCTCTCTCTCTCTCTCTCTCTCTCCACGAATTAAGTCAAATAAAAGGTAGAATGAATTTTCCACACACCTAGACCAAGAAGCTCTTCTCCTAATTGTATTTCTTGGATGAAAAATTTCTGAACAGCATCTTGATCACGAAGATCTGGAAAATCGGTCGATGAAAAACTTGACTCTTCTTTCTTCCGAGCAGCAGCTCTTCCTAAACAAATCAAAGAGAATAGAAAATAAAACCATAAAGATTAATTCCAATTACAGTTAAACCAACAGAAAATCACAAATTAATCAATTAAATAAATTACTTACTTTCTCTCAATTTCTGTCTAAACATAGGATCACAGCGCCTTTTATGATCAAAGTAAACACAATAAGCAATAAACAAACCACCAGCAACACCGGCAGCCACTCTGAATGACATCCAACTCATATTAACGAAACTAGTCAACAATCAACCAACGATCAGTAATACAAATGATCGATGAATAAATGAAAACACTTGCAACAATTAAATTAAATCTAATTAGATATTTACAACAACAAGAAAAGACAAATTTTCCCAATTGAATGAAAAAAAATGCATGTTGATGTGAAGGGACCGTCGACTAATTTCCAATCGAAAAAAGATCAACATTTTAATCACAATTAATTGGAATTGTTGTTAATTCTTGACGAATATGACTAATTAACTAACTGAGATTAAGGGTTGAATTTTGTAAGAAAACAATTAAGAAAAGTGAAAAGAATTTGAGGAGAAAATTTTGTTTTGTTCTATTCTGATTGTGGTTGATTGGATTTTCTTTTAATTGTTTTCTTTTTGATTGTTATTTTTTTCTTCTTCTTTTCTTTAGATTGATTTATTTGATTTTTGGATAAATTTGCAATTTAATTCGCATTTTAATTCTCATGGTAACAAAAAGATGAAAGAAATTAAGTATTATCTTGTGTGTATTTGGTTGTTGTTGTTTTTGATAAATTAGATTGATTTGTTTACTTTTTTTTTCGTTTAATTGTGATTTCTTTTTAAATCAATTGATACTCTATATCTTTTTGTTATTATTATAATACTAAGATGAGAGTGGTTTAGATTAATTAGAATTAACTGTTTAATCAGATTTTTTAGATTCTGTCTCTTTAGTAGAGGAAGTTGATTCCGAGGAAGCAGTTGATTCAGTTGATTGTGTGGTTTTCCTTTTACGTAATTCTTTTGCATCTTCGGATAAATTATCTCCTTGAACATCTTCAATTAGATCTTCTTTTTCTCTTGTTCGCGGACAATCAGCACCGATTGGTGGTTGTTTGAATGGTAAGAAAATATCAATGATACAGACAATAATCTAAAGAGAATCAAGAAAGAAGAAGAGAAAAAAAAAATTGTGAGAAACAACTGAACATCATTCATAAACAAAATCGGAAGATTTGATCATCAGATTTTCTTATTATCTGCTATGACAATAGAGGAAAATATTGGAAAATAATACTAACCAATCCTAAGATTGTACCAAGAAGGATAGTCGCAAGGGCGAAAAGGACATATGAGCCCCAATAAGGGATTCCATAGTCTTGAACAAGACGATTATGGACAGCTCTCAAGGCCATGGAAATTTTAAAAAACTGAGAAACAATAGACATCCTGTAAGAAAGAGAAATAAAATTACATGATTAATAATGGAATTGCTCCCGGGATATAAAAGTGAAAATTGATTGTATAAGAATAACCCAATAGAAAATAAAAAGAAAGTCAATGATGATGATGATGAATTTTAAATCAGGTGGTTAACAATCAAAGACGTAATATGTGTAAACATTAATAATCGTCATGATATAAAAATCATCTTCTTCGCAATGAAAGATAAATTGATTCAGAGAAGAAGAAGAAGAAAAATAAATGCGTGGCAGTTTAGACGATTGTTTATCATGACGATGGTCTAGAAAATTGTTTATCCAATGATGAAACAATGGCTAATTGATATGGTTAGAAAATGAATAGAAGAAGAATAATTAATTACTGAATTGAGCTTGGATGTTTCCAATTGGAAATGGTTTCCAATGTTTGCCATTTCTTTTCTTCTACAAATCCGACAAAAGCGTTAGTCTCACGAGATCCTTTGTATTGACGGAATTGACCATCTTTAACACTGTATAAGCAGAAACATCAAGCAAAAAGGGAGAAAAAAAGAGAGATGGACATGATAGTTTGATAAACCAACATTACTAATTGTTGAGATTTAAGTATCAGATTAAAAGTGAGTAAGAAAATACATACTGATAAATAGTTGGTAAGGCTGTAACCATGAATCGACCACTTAAACCAGGATTGGCAGTAACATCAATATTACCAACCTTAATATTAAGCTCATCACTCCAAGATGAAAATGAATCCCAATGAGGTTCCAATGACTGACATGCTGGACACCATGGAGCATAAAATTCAACCATCCATTCACCTGTCAACAAATCATCCCAATTATCTTCATTCAATTTGATTAATTTACCTTTACGACATGAGACTTGATTATTTACTAGACAGAGAAACCATACACAGGTAATAACAAAACTAGTAAAATACCATGAAAACTGATGAACAGAAGAAGATGAAGAAGAAAAAGCCATTGATTATCAAAGAGAAAGTAAGAGAGTAAAAGTAAAAAGAAAAAGAAAAAGAAAAAGAAAATGAGAAGATAGAATTTATTTCTTTTTCTAATGTAACCAAACAAAACTGTAAAAGAAGAGAAAAAGAGAAAACAAAGAATCAAAATTAAATGAATCACAACAAATTGTCCAACAATAGAATTTAATTTTAAATAGAATAACAACTTACACTGTTCACTAAATGGTCCAAATTAAGATGACAATTAGTAGATTAATCAATAAATTGAAGTAAAATCAATCAATTAATATAAAAATAAACAATCAAATATAAAATCGTTAACATAAAGAAATGAATAAAAAACCAAATCAGAAAAAAAACTGGTTCGAAATTCGTGACCTCTGGTGGTGGAAAAGAAAATCAATCTGGCGGTTAAATTTTCACCGATTGAGTTAACCTTTAATAAGATCGTTGGTCTTTGTTAATTAGCTTAATTGTAAGAATTAATTGATTTAGTTAATTTTTGTTCTCTTTTTGTTCTCTTTTTTTTTTAAATTCTTTTCTGTGGAATATGAAGAGTCTGTTTCATGTATTTCGATTAGTTGTCAATCCTTTTGTTACAAGAAATCATCGGAAAACCAATAATGTGACTTGCTAATTACAAGAGAAAATGATGAGCCATTTTGTTTGTAGGCCTTTCATTTTTTATTTCAACAATTCTTCAGGTAATTATCATTTTATTCAAATATCAATAATGATTGTGTCATTCTAAACTGTTTATTCAAATGAAAATGAAATGATAGGTAATAGATGATACATATATTAGAATAAAAAAAAGAAATGGTTAAATTGTCATTACAATGGACACTTAGCATTTTTTTTTCTCTTTTTTTCTATATAGAATTTTGGAACATCATTTACCGAAAATGATGATGATGATGATGAAGACTATGGTGATAACAATACTACTACTACATGTTAATGGTCCAAATGGAAACTATGAATACTATCCAATTGATCCTTGCAACTGTTTAATATATTAAGAAGAAGTGACCAATGGCTCTCTTTTTTTATATTCTCTCTCCATGTGTGTTGAATATACACAATAATCGATCGATGTAAGAAATTACTTATTTTCTTCCATGGAACAGTTTTATTGTCTTCTCTGCCTCGTTTTCTTCATTAATCATAATAATAAAATCTACTATTGATTGTTATAAATAGTTTGCTGACTATTTGTCAACACATTAATGGTAGTAATAGATTAATCAAACGAAAAATAAGCGAGACAAAGCAAGACAAAAAAACAAAACTTTCCGTAAGTGTTGATAAAGAAAACGATAATTATTTCATTCATCTGATTTTGGTGAAGATAAAAAAAATCCAAAGAGAAACCCAATCAACACCAGAATTAGATTTACGCACCTTAATCCATTAATAATCTTTTCCACCATGAAGTTAACATTTCCCTCCATTTTTTATATTCCCTCATTATTATTAACACTCACAACAATTTGTTTACCAACGTTAACATCTCAGATTAATCTTACTTTCGGTAACGATTTAAATCTTAATCTGAATAGTAACTTTTTTTTAGTTGATCTAATTTTTTTCTCTCTTTTCTTTTACTTATTTAGTGATTTCAATTGATTCCAACTTATCATCAACTTCACCTGTGATTTTAGATGCAGTTAACAGCGGATTAAATGAATTTGTTAATCGTTCAACATCAACAACCAAACTATCAACAATTATATTGGATTCTGATTCCACCTTAACAATTAACAATTTGTGTTCAAAACTTTCAACCGGAAATTTCTTGGTAATTCTGGACATTCAAGGATCTAAAACAATCACCGATGATAATCAATCATCAGTAATCAGTAATCAATTAAAACTATTTGCTCGTAACATGAGGATTCCAATGGTAACAATATCAACTAAATGTTCATCACAATCAGAATGGGTTAATGTTGATTCAATAGAATCTCAATTTTTGGTGAACTTTCAATCGCCATTAACGATTCTAATTAGATCGCTAATAGATATAACTGAACATTTCCAAATTAACAGTGGACACATTTTCTATCAAAATGATATGGGTAAGTTTAATTAACCTCAACAACTTACAAGAAAACGATCAAACAATTAACCTTAAATTGTCTCTTTTAGCTGATTATGTTCCATGTTTAATGAAAGAATCGTCTTTGGTTAATTTTACTTTTCAACTGATTAACTTTTCTGATAATAATAATTCTTCATATCAAAATGGTTCACAATTAAATTTGATTGTTAACAATTTGGTTCGTTTAAAAGTTACAAATTTCCTCACAATTGGTCAATCATCTTTCATCAATAAATTACTCGAAACGGTAAGTTAATTGTGTTGATTTTTTATCCTCTAGTAATCAAAAATTATTACTTCTAATCAACAGTTTCGTGTCAACAATTTATTTAAAGAACCTTACAAATTGATTGTAATATCAAAGGTATTTATAAATTAATTTAATAATTACATCCATTGATCCAATTGAAAACTTAATTTTGTTTCTGCAAACATTTAATTACAGGATTCAGATAAAATTAAGTGTTTCTCTTGTAAACATGGCCAGTTAATTGTTGGTCAACCGATTATGTCGCCAAATAGTGATTACGATGAGCCTTCACCATCGCCCTATTTTAATCATGCTAAATTGTTATCGCAAAATGTTTACGAGTTTTACTATTATCATGATTTAACTCATTTAATTTTACGATCAATTGATTATTCGCTTTCTTCTTCTGGTCAGATAATTAACTCAACAGTTAATAGTTTATCACCAGGAGAAACAATAATAACCGATAAAACCTCATGCTGGAAAAACTGGCCAATAGATATCAACTCTGAAAGGAACAATGATTTAATTACCATTCCATTTGTTGAATCAATTAGAGACTTTGGTGAACAATATTATGGTAAACTTGGTCCATTTAGGCTTGTTGGAACTGGTGAAAATAACAATTTACTAACTGGTTATCAAGAAATATCAATAAGATTGAAAAAGCAACAATATCAATCCAATGAAATTCAAATTGAAACTTTAAGTGAATGGGAATATGGTTTACCCTATGGTCGAGTTTATTTTACAGCCAAACAATCAGAAGGAAATAAATCTGATTCAATATTGAAGATTGGACTTTTCATGGTAATTAATTTATTTGATTAACTGTTTCATTCCAATCTAGAGAAAATCAATTCTCTCCATTAATCAATCTAATTTACTCTTCAAATTAGACTCCACCATTTGTTGTTAAACGGATCAACGAAACGAATGTCAAGCAAATCATTTACGAAGGATTTTTGATTGAATTATTTGAGGAAATTAAAAGACGATTGGAGACTAAATTTCCTGAATATGAGTTTGAAGAAAGTTCTGAAAGTTCAATTGGTATATTGGAAATGGATGAAGATGCTGAAACAGAAGAGGACGAATTAAATTTTAATGGTTTAATTAGTGAAATTTTTCAAAATGTGAGTATTTTCCTTAATCAGTCGATAAGTAAATTAATAACTCTTTTTTGTTTCTTATTTCATCAGGATTATCAAATGGCTTTAGCTCCAGTTGAGATAACCGAGGATCGACAATTAGTTTCCGATTTTAGTGAACCTATTTTCGATCTGATTGGATTTTCGATTCTAATGAAAAAGCCTATCAAAGAATCTCATGTCTGGAAATTTATAACTGTCCTTGAACCCGATGTTTGGCTTTGTATTACTGGTGCATATCTTTTCACGTCCATTTTACTGGCCATTTTTGATCGATTTTCACCTTACAGTTATCGTAATAGGCCAGAGCGATATGAATCAGAAAATGAAGAGTGTAAAAGAATCTTCACCTTTAAAGAAGCACTTTGGTTCTGTTTTATATCTTTAACACCTCAGGGAGGCGGTGATGCACCTAAATGTATTTCGGGTCGTCTTGTGGCCGCAATTTGGTGGCTATTTGGTTTCATCTTTGTCGCATCTTACACAGCTAATTTGGCCGCTTTTCTAACGGTATCCAGGTTGGAAAATCGAGTCGACACCATGGATGGATTAGCGAAACAATATAAGATTCGATATGCACCCGTTGAAAATTCAGCAGCTGATTCTTACTTTATTAAAATGGCTCAAATTGAAGATAAATATTACGAGTAAATACCAAAGATAATTTAGATATTATTGTTATTATCAGTTGGTTAATGAAGAAATTTTGTTTGCAATTATTTTCTAGCATTTGGAAAAATCTCTCACTTGATGATAGTATAACGGAGGATGAAAGGGCTAACCTTGCAGTTTGGGAATATCCTGTTAGCGATAAATATACAAAGATTAAGGCTCAAATTGTTGAGATTACAAGACCAGGATCAATAGAAGAAGGATTCAAACGAGTTCGTAGCTCGGTTACCGCAAATGAAGGATTCGCTTTCATCAGTAATAAACAAAAAGTTTCCCTCATTTTTAATTGAAATAATTTATTGATTATCTATTTTCAGGTAGCTCTCTGGATATTGATTATTTAACTTACCTTAATTGCGATGTTTACAAAGCGGGTGATGATTGGGCATATCATCCAATTGCATTTCCAATATCCAAAAAAGAGCCTTACAATTTGAAAGAGCTAATTGATCCCGTTATTCGTGAATTAAAAGCCGAAGGTTATATAACTGCTTTGAGAATCAAATATTGGGAAGATAATCCTGCTCGAAAAACTTGTCCCGATTGGAGGAAACTTTCCAATGGATTAGTATTAGCTGATACTTGGGGAATGTTTCTAATAGTTTTGGTTGGATTAATTGCAACAATGATTTTCATCAGTGTAGAAAACTTTTTAATCATTTGTTTATCAAGGAGAAATTTGAATTCATCAAAATCAACCAGCAACCGTTTAAAGTTAATCAAGTAGTGAAACAAAAACACTCACATAAATCAGAAAATATCTAAATCATATCGAACCAATCAATCTATCAATAATTTTGCTTATTCCTCTAACATTCCCACCAAAAAAAAAAACTCCCAATGTATTAACCATTTAACCCAAATAATTAACAGTTAAATCCTCTCTAACAACAAATTAACTTGTATTAATATTAATAACCATCATCTGATTGAATCTAATTTAATTTAGTTGTAAATTAATTCTGGTTATCATCAGATGTCAGCATAGAATTTGTTGATATTTGGTTATCTAGAATTGAGGAGTTTCAAGAGAATTTGGTTTCGACAGAAAAGAAGAAGAAGAATAAAGAGAGAAAGAAGAAAAGAAAAGATCATTGGCCGCAAGTTCGAAATTCTCGAAGCTCCAGAATTTTGGATGAGAAAAAGAAGAAAGAAAGAATATAAAGAAAGAGAAGAATAATAAGAAAAGAGAATAATATTCTCTTCAAAGTTATATTCTTTTGCGTTTGCTCCATGTAAAACTGGAGATAAAATAATGAACCTTTAACAAGAATCTAAACTCAGGTATATCCACAGATTCACCTTAATAGTGAATTCTAGTCAACTCTTCATATTCAATCTTTCTCTTTCTTATCCATTTTTCTCTCTTTCTCTCTCTCTCTCACTTTCTCTTCAATACTCTAATATGATAACAATTTAAAATGTTCTAATCACAATTAACTAGATTTTAACCACAATTAATAACCAATAACAAAGTAAAAATCGTGATAAACAATCAAAGGAACAGTTAAAGACCCAAAGTGAAAGTGTTTCCATTTGGATTGAAAATCAACATGATGATGGGTTAGTGTGTTTGTTTTTTTCTACTTAATCATAACCAACTCTTTTTGATTTGATGTCAATTAATTAATTGAGAAAATTGTAACTCTCATTATCACCATTGCAATTGGAAAGTGATATTCAACATTATCGTGAAAATCAACAAACAAACCGACAGAAGACATTTAATCATCATACATGTTATCGTTTATTGATAATTCTAATGAACCTGATAAACTGAATTAGTTTGTTACAATTAACTGTGAATTTGATACAATCCAACATTTGGAATTATTAATATAAACAACAACATCAACAATCATATCAACAATCCTTTAATTGTGTGTATGTGTGTTTGTCTAAAATCATTGTGACTTAACTGGTGATCATAATAGTAACCATAGGAATAGAAACCGAGAAAAAAAAATTGTCAACATCATCACTCGACACTTTTATTTATCCTTTTATCGTATTCCTTTTATATTCATCATCATTTAATCATCACAATTAACTAGAACCGTTATCAAAATGGTTCCAACAATTTTAATACGGACCAAATCACCTATTATCATGTACATTTCATTATTGATACTATTAAATTGTACAATCATTTCAACTTTAGGTGAAACCATTGAACCAGAATTACTTTTTGAAGCTGCCTTTCAAGGTAAGTAATATATCAATACTATTAATATCAAAACGATAACAATAATCGATAAAATTTAAATCAATTCAATTGATTATATATTAAGTTAATCAAGTAACAAGAATGAAACAAAACAAAAAGTCACAGAATCAAAATAAAACATAATCATCATAAATTAAGGTATCAAAGATGATATGTTTACTCAAGTTTCATCAATCCACTGGATTAAGATGATTAATAATAACAGTTGACAATCAATTAAATCATTAACTGTCAGATTTATGAATTGATATATATATAATCAAGAATCAATCGAATCAATGAGAAATTCAAACAGAAAAAAAGTCTTATGTCCGACAAAATAAAGCGGCGATTTTAATGATGAAATTCAATTGATTGGTTTGTTCGGTTATATTGTTTGTAATCAATATTAATTACTCTTTCTTACCTTAATTGTTGCCTCTTAATTTGCAGGAGAATGTCATTCAAATGGTCCCTGTCAACATTTGTGCTTTGATCTTCATGATGGAACCTTTGAATGCGCCTGTCATCCAGGATATATTTTATCAGATAATGGTTACAGTTGCCTTGGTAAGTTGCCCAGAATTTTGTCTCTTGCTCCTTTGAATAATAACAAATCACCCTGATCAATATGAGATAATAATCCTGAATGAGAAACCTGAATAATAATAATAATGATAATCCATAACTGTTTCGGTTTGGTGAGCTCATTTCAAAACAAAACTGTTGATGTTATTGTTTTGATAAAATAGATTTTTGTTATTTTCTTGCTAATAATATTTTCTGGTTCCTTTGGTAACCTGAAAATTTTTGTTATCATAATAATAATAATATAATTTACTTAATGATTTATATATATTTATATCGTTATTATGATTAACTTTTGAATAGTTATTATTATTACTAAACCAATAACAATAACGATAAATATTTAAAAAAGTATTTACATTGAAACTTTTAATGTATTTTGATTATTCTTGTGTGTCTTATATTGTTGATTGTTTGTGTTGTTTACATTTAATTGTTGTTACTACTATTTGATTATTGAACATAAATTTCTGGTTAAATGTGTAACAATTTCTAATGTGATCAAGATTAACTGAATCATAGATTCATGATTCATGATTCATGATTTATCATCAAGTTTGAATTTATATCTATTTTTGTGTGAGTGTATATATAGTTTATCATGATATTCACATTGAATATGATAAAATATTCAATCATTTGAATCTCTAGAAACTGATATTGTTAATATTTAATGGTAAAGGTGGATAAGTGTCTTGGTGGATAGAGTGAGTGAGTGAGAGAGAGAGGTGGAGTAGGAAGATGATAAAGAGATTATTGAATTTATCTTCTTTATCATTTCATCTCCCATGTTGAATGAATTGAACAAATCCCCATTGCTTTTTTTTATTTCAAAAGATTCAGGATCAAATTTATGACTCATGTTGATCATGTTGATGATATAAAACATCCTGATGATCAATTGCTTAAGGCGATTGGCTGAATCTCATCTGATTGAAGATAAGTTTTTGTTCATCCCTTTGCTTTCATCATCATTTGTAAACAGCATTTCCACCATCAGAATCATCACCGATGATGCTAAAAGATGGAAAGATGAAGATTAAAAGTATTTGGAACTTATTGAAGGAAAATCATACAATTTCATAGTTGATTGAATGAACTTTTTTCATGATGATTATTCTGTGTCTTTGAATTTCTGCCTTCCATTAATAAACATTGGGCACTTTCAGAATTATTTCATCTTAAATAGATTCAGATTTCTTAATATCTTTCCAAATAATCACGATCAAAGGTGAATTCAATTTGATTGTTTAAATTATCATGATGATGATGATACTTTTTGCTTTCACTCTTGATGATGATGGTTACATGATGAAAAAAAAACAACAGGAAAACAACCAAGTCAAGATGATAATGATGATAACTAACATCTCATCACACAAACACACACACACAAAATGTTAACACTTAATGAATGTTATTATTTTTTACCTTCCATTATCACTGATGATTCTATATATACTATCCATGTTGAAGTTTATCTTATAAATATATCATGATTACTTGAAGCATCATTTCCGTTTCCTGTTTTCAGGAAAAGATGCGATAATGATACTTACAAGGGTGAATGAGACACCTTCATGTTGTTGTTACTATTGTTAAATCAGTCTGATTACATGAAGAAAACACAAATTTCTCTTGGTATATATTTAGAATTAAATGAATTACAATTATCTTAATCACTAATCAGGAATTGAAATTGATTGTTTTCTCGTAATTAGCTAAATAACAACAACAAGTTCAACTTGGTAATCAATCTGATTAGCTTATTAACTAAATAAAGTTCGCGATGTTTTTTTTTGCCTCGAAATTCTGATTAGCAATAAATTGTGATGATTTCAAAGCTGAATATCATTATTTATCCCGATGAAAGGCATCAGCTTTCTGACTTATTCATCTTTATCATCTTTGCATCTTCATCCTAATCATCATCATCTTTGATTCATGATAATCAGTCAACCAGAGTTTTTTTCTTCTTATTCTCCTCATTAATTCCAGGATGAGACCGAAAAGTTAAGAAGATGATAATACAATTTATCTTCCTACATATTCAATAACCATGATGATAATCAGATAGATTTAGATCCTGAATTAGAACTTTTTTTTCCTCCTCTTATCCATTGACAACAATTGTATCTAATTAAACATTCGCATTGTTAATTGTTACCATCAATTGATTTTAACATTTGACTTTTCTGATAATTTAGCTGCTTAATTAATGAAGAAAAAAAATCTTAATGATTATCCTAAAAGTAACAATTGAAGATTATCTGATTTAGAAATAAAAATAACTTTCACTCATTTCGATCTCAATCTAATCTTTATCCTATTCCTTTCATCATCTTCATCTTTTTTTTTGTTCATCTTCACATCCTCTTCTACCTCTCATAAGCATCTTCATCACCATCATTATTATCCTTCCTTCTCATCATCTTGTTAATACTGAATCTTAACTCCCGATTCCATGTCAACACTTTGATCATTTTCCTTTGAGAATACATCATCTTTTCATCTTCACCCACATTGTATTCACATTCAATCAATTTTATCTCAACACTTACCATAGTATCTCTATCATTCTCATCTCCTCCTCCTCCTCCTACACATCATCTTTACCTTACCACCTTGATTATCATCTTGTTGGAGTAACTCCCAGTGTTGGTGGAAGAAAAGAAAAAAATAAAATAACCAGAATAATATCATTTCGATTTTTTCTTTTTTTCTCTCTTCCATCAACTTTCTCTCTCCCTCTCTCCCTCTCTTTCATCTCTTAAACTTTAACATTTCACCACATCACATCTTCTTCATGATGATAACCCAAAAAAAGGCAGTAAACCAGAATTCATGGGAGAGATGAAACAGTAAATAGTCAGACTTTAAATTCTGTTATAATTGAATTGAAAGTCTAACCAAATATTTTGATTCTGATGGTCAATCATCAATTCTAATAAATTTTTACCTTAGCTGGTCATCTTCAACCACTCATGGCGATCATCCTGTAATCATCATCATCATCATCTTCCTTTTTATCATCTGAAACATTATTATTTCCAATCGCTATTTACACAATTGCCTTTATTTACCCATTTCTATTATCATCCTTGGTGTATCTTCATCTTCATCTTCATCATGATAAGGGTTTTCAGTTCAATCCTTAATTTAATTGTCAACTCTTAAAACCTTTTTTGTTAGATTATTTGGTAAAGAGGATGAATGAGAAGATAAATTTCTCATCATCATCATCATCCACCTCTTCCTCCCTAATCCATTGGCCGTTTCCTTTACAATTTAATAATAACACTAATATGTTTCTTGAAAATTCTTGCTCATTGTTACCATGGTTTTCTTATTATTATATTGATGATGATAACCTCATCATTTTCACAGGATGAGGTTACCTTTCATCTTCATCTTTCTCCTCCTCAACATCTCCCACCCTCCACCTCTGATCATTAACAAATACCCTCCAAGGTTGAACAAGCCCTGAGGTCACATTAAGTTACATGTTATTGGTTAGCCTTTTGTTTAATAGGAAAAATATTTTCATCCAATTTCATCATCTTTACTTGATTCTACTATTCTATCATCATCATCATCATCATCATGTAAATTGGATATTCATTAATAAGATTAGTTTTATATATGTTTTAAGTTGACTTGGCAACAAATTCAAGGTAATCAGTTAATTGTTGGAAACAATTTCCAAAAGACTGAAAAAAAGAGGTTGTAAACCAATTTTGATCAAATTTGCGTTTTTTTTCACTTGACACAATTAACTTAATCATCTTAATCTTACCCTCACCAAAGTGTAATTGAATTAAATAAATGATGGGGGAAAAATAGTTGATGATATTGTTATCATCTTCATCTCGTCTCATGTTATTTGTCTACCTAATCAGCTGATTCTATGGTATCTTCATCATCATGTTAATCATCCTCTTCACCTTTTTTTTCATCATGATTGTTGTTGTTGATTCATTTTCATGTTATTTGTCATCATGAACAATCATCAGTCTCTCATGAACAATACTCAGAATCATCAGATTGTAATCGTAATCATTTATCATACACTAATCATCGTTAAATAAACATGTCAACAACAGTTGAATCTGAATCAAGAACTTTTTTTTCTTCTTTCTTTGATCATGTTTTTTCATCTTGATGATTATCATGTACCAACTGAGAATTGAAGGTGATCATTAACACGATGAAATTTAATCATCACCCTGATTATCATGATGATTATCAAAAACAACAGCAATCTAATGATATCCAACATAGACTATTAATACATGATAATTGTATACACATCAACAAAATACCAACACCTCAAGTGAATCAAATTAATAGCATCAAGATTAAGCTCACTGGTCAGTTGAAAGCCAATTAATTAATTTGACAATCAAGTTAATTGCACTTCATCAGTTATCACAATAACTGATTTGATTGGAAAAATGTTTCTTTCCAATGAAAAAAAAATCAATGCCAATGATTTATAACATGATAACGATAAATATCCAACTGAATTGAACTGAACTGAACTTTTGTAAACAGATTGAAAGAAATGAGTTTTCATGATGGAAGAAACTTAAATACATTTGATTTCAGGATAAAATATTGAATGAAATGTTAACTCATGACAATAAATCATAAAAAAAAATCTCATCAAATTGTAACAAACTGATTGTGACTTTATGGTAAGAAATGAAGACTTTTACCTTGAACTAAATCAACTAATTGTTAAACATCAGAATCACTGATGAGTTAAATGATTTAAACTTCAAATATTTAATAAAAATGTTTACATTAAATCCTAAAGTTGATGAGATAAAACATGAGAAACCATGTGTATGAATGTCTATGAAGTAACATGATAAACTGAATGAAAAATATGAATTATTATTCAAACTGAATTCAAGTTTAATCCAATTTACAGGGTGAAGAGTGAGTTTAGAAATATTGAATTTCACCATGAGAATTTA